TCAAACGCCTTCAACCTCTCAAAAACCCCCACCAACCGATCCGTATACCTCGCCCACACCTCCCTCCCCTCGTCCTCACCACCACCCGCACCAGCACCCCCACCCTCCAACCGACAAGCCATAACCTGCAACCCCACAAACTGCGCCAACGCACCCACCAACCCCTCCAACCCACCCTGCGGCATCTTCCCCCTCACCTTCCCCCGCACCGTCTCATTCAAGCACAGATTCGCCAGCAAGACAGACAAATACCCAAACGCGACATTCGCATTCGATTCCTCGAGCGAGTCTGCCTCGGCAACCTTTTCGGCGCCCTCGAGATGAATGCGGAGCAGGGCGTTGAGCAGGACGTCGCCGGGGGCGAGGACAGCGAGGCGAGCGGCGTCGCTGAATTCGGCGAGGTTGATCATGGCGCCGAGGCCGAGGACGAGGTGGTCGATTGCGATGGAGCGGTCGGCGGGGGAGAGCGGGCTGGAGAGGAGGTTGAAGCGGGAGTCGATGGAGCAGAGGAAGGATTGGATGATGACGGGGGAGGCGAAGAGGGCGGAGGTGTGGGCGTTGTTGTTTGTGAGGTTGAGGCAGAGCTTTGTGGCGAGTTGCTCGACTTTGGGGCCGAAGCGGGGTGGGGTGTCGAGGAAGGAGGCGGCGATGTCGCGGAAGCGGTGCTGGTTTGCCGTGCTCCAGACTTCGGAGGCGGTGTCGCCGAGGGTGGTGTCGAGGGCGACTGAGAGGGAGTAGTATACGCAGCGTTGGTCGAGGGGGGATACTGAGCCTGTTGCTGAGCCGGATGAGGATGTCTCGGCGATGGCTAGTACCTTTGCTAGGTGGTCTTGTGTTAATAGCTCGTCGCGGTCGCCGGCTTTGCGTAGTGACCGCGTGGAAAGCTCCAGCCCGCGCAGAGCCAGGAGTCGGGGAGAAATCGACGTGGATGACGCCACGGCCCATAAGTGTGTGGAGGATCTGACAATCTCGTGGAGATCCATCACAGCCTTCTGCGCGATGCGAGACATGTTCGTGCGGCGGGCCTTTACCAGGTGAGCGATATCGTCCGTTCGATCAAGGAGGCTCGCGAGGCATTCGAGTGTGCCAGACTCGCGAATATCCGCCAAGACAGCGGTGGATTTGTCTGCAGTCAGGATAAAGGCCACGCAGGCCGAAAAGGCGAATCCGAGGATTGGATCCTGGCTATAATCGGCCACGTGAGCATTGAAGATCCGTCTGCTCAAGCCCTTGTCGAGCAGCTTCGAGACAAACCTCTTGTCAGTCAGCTTAGCTCCCAGATTGATGAGGGCACTTCTACGACTCGATAGCGATGCTTTCTTTGGCTGGTCTAGATCCTCGAATAGAGCGTCGACTTCGTTGCTGAACTGCCTGTTGGCGCCCGCGATACGAAGCTCATGGATACTCTTCATCCCAGCCCCGGAATCGCTGAGGTCGTCGTCATCCATGTCGAAGTGGGAGGTGTCTCCAGAGCGAGATATGAGAGGCTGAGACCAAGATTTGGCGGAGGGCTTCATGTCAGTAGGACTGCCCATAGTGATGGCGCCTAATATGTCGCCATCCTCGACCATCGACTCTTCCAGATGCGATCGCTGTTTAGCGTACGTTATCCTGGCTCCCGTAGGCCCGCTGCGCTTTGTTCTGAAGGAAGACGTTTGTCGCATCAAAGCGGGCGGATCACTGATTTGGCTCGAGTCGTACTGAGACGATATCGGTTCTGTTGGGACGGAGTGAAAGCTTTCGTCACCGCTACTGGAGTCCTCGCTTGCTTCCTCTTCGGACTGGATGAGGCGGTCTATGAGCCGCCGTTTACCTTGCCGAGTGTCGAGATTGGTCGCGCCACTCAAGGTTTCTGGCGATTTCCTCTTCTCGGGCCGTTCGGTTAGCTGAAGCTTTTGCAACTTCAGCTGACTTGGACTGGGTGTCGCCACGTTGTCGCCGAGGAGGTTACTCCACAACCTTTTCTGTTTTGGCGTGGCTGATCCAGCGCCGTCAAGATGCATAGGCGACCCGCTGTCCTGATATGCAGCCGCGTACGGATTGATTTCGGTCTCGAATTCAACATCGTATGGCCCAGATGCCTCGGGTTCGTGCATGTTGGTCAAGCCCGGATTCGGTGCAACCGGTATCTGAAGTTTAGCTGGTGATGATGAAGCCTTAACAGGCGGTTTCCTGCGTGCAGCACCAGTCAAACCAGCCCTACGGGGATGCTGTGCAATGCGCGAATTCTTCTGAGAGTGTGATTCTGCCACAACGCCGTTTGATTGCGATTGCTGAACTTGTTGCCGTCTTGAAGTCTCCTGTTCGTCGTTGGGAGATGGTTTTCGCCTTTTGTTGCGAGACTCCTGGGCACCTTTTTCCGGTTGCTGTGAACGAGCCCTCGGTATTGTTTTCTTCACCTTTGGTGTCGTAGTGTATTTAGCATCCGAGTCCTGCTTGGCCGTCTCATCCTCCGTATCTGTCGTTGGCACATCAAAGACCGATGCGTCCGGGACTGCCGAAGTCGATTTTGAAATTGTTGATGCAAGACTCTTCGTCTTTTGTGATGGCTTGTGCGCCGTCGATTCCTTTGCGTTTGCGCGACCTAGTTTCGTTGACAACGCACGGCTTTCACTGGTGGTTGCAGATTCCTGCTGCATCCGCGTGGAGGACCGGTCCATCGTAGACCCTTTCTCATGTGATGACTTTGGTTGAACGGTTGAGATGGAACGAGCATACACGCTACCATCCGCCTTCTGCGCGTCCGGGTTTTGCTTGACTCTGCCAGGCCCTGATACAGACAGCGCATCCACATTCCGCTTCTTGCTCTCTCCCTCGGTGACCCTGGAGGGTATCTCAACGACCGCTGTGTTGAGCTGAGAGCGTGGCTTGGACGGTACAGTCTGATGTCCTCCTTCCTTTGTATGTGTTTCGCTCGAATCCATCGGCGCGTTTGCTTTTCTGCCATTTGCCCCTGATACCTTGGCTGATGCAATGGGCTTGGAGGCCGCGATCTTGGGCCGCGACACCACCTCGTCTCTTGACTTGTCAATCTTCGCTACCTTTGACCTGGGAACGACTCCACGCTCTTCATCGTCCGAGCCAGGGACATCGAAAACATCGGGTGGAGGAGGGCGGGCTTGCTGGGTGGCATGTTGTTGAGGCTTTGGCCGCGACACAACAACGACGGCAGGTTCCGGCAGGGAAATCTTCTTCTGTGGCCGCGGCGATGTCACCGTCGTCATGCGCACAGCCTTTGAAGCCGGTTGTCCTCCCTCGTCATCGGCGAGTGGTGCGTCAAAGACATCGTCCTCGGGTGCGGCCTGCGTAGATGCCCCATTGTGGCCAACATGACTCGAACGAGCAGGAGAAGGCGAGCGAGCACGCTCAGTCGCCGAGCCCCGTGGTCTGAACTTCTGAGGCGACGGAGACTCGAATCCGAGAGGGTTGAAAGGTGCGCGCTTCGCTCGGCCGTAGGTGACGACCTTTCGGCGTGGTTGTGGCAAGCCCCCGGTAGTAGGCATGACGGAATATGCCATATGAGTTCAGGGAGACTCTTTATAGTGTGATTGTCCCGGGATTGTCTGTCGGCGACATTTGTTCTTCTGCTGTTGAGTCGGTTTGTGGACGTGGACGTGGCGCGTCGGGATGCGGTGTGCGGACTGAGGCGGGGGGGGTGGAGAAAGCGCAGATTATGCTGGAAGGGCGTTGAGAGGGTGAGAATTGTTTGCAGATATGTCAAGTGGGAGAGAGTGTGTCCGGGTGATAGTAGTGTGCAGGATTCGGGGTAGTTATATGAAGAGAGGAAGTGAAGTGAAGTTTGAGTTGCTAAAGAAAGTCAATGCGACAATGACGGACGGATCAGTATATTGAAAACAAGCCGAGCAAGTGTGGCTTGTGAGTTTGTGGCACAGGCAATAATAGAGGTAGTTAGTGACGACAGGAGAAGGGTCTGCTGGTCCCTGCAGTGACGTCGGTGTCCTATTGGTCTAATCGATTCTGCCGCTCAACTTCATCTGGAGACATTCACCGCCTGCCAAATAAGGTACCGACTTCCACACAATTCATCCACTCTCATTGGTCTCACATTGTGGATGCTTGCGCCGCACAGCGCTCTGTCGCGTGCGAGCTTCCATACAGAGACCTTCCACCACCACGGCGAGCTCCGTTCACGATACTATTGTGTATATATCAACACAGTGTTGCCCTCACCCGTCTTCTGAATCGTCTCCCACGTGGCGCTCTCCCGAACGTTCATTCACCACTCTTCTTTGCTGCCGTGACAAGCCCCTCTCATCTGAATTACAAAACAGTCCCAAAACCCCCACCATGTCGTCGAACGAAGCATCCCAGAAACCCCCCTCGCAATGCGTCGGACCTGAATACCGTCCCGCAACCATGAAGCCCACCGCCACCGTCTCGACAGAGATCCCGCACGAAAACGTCCATATCCTGCCCCAGACGCCCCAATTGATCGCGCTCCTGACGTAAGTCCCTCCCGAAGCTACACGCTCTGCCAGTCCTCCCCCTCTCTCTGACAGCAGCTCCAGCATGATCCGCGACAAAGACACCGGGCGCGCCGACTTCATCTTCTACTCCAACCGCATCATCCGGCTCCTCGTCGAGGAAGGCCTCAACCACCTCCCCGTCATCGAGCACACCATCACCACGCCCGTCGGCCGGACCTACTCGGGCGTCAAGTTCGAGGGCAAGATCTGCGGCGTCTCCATCATGCGGGCGGGCGAGTCCATGGAGCAAGGGCTGCGCGACTGCTGCCGGTCGGTGCGCATCGGCAAGATCCTGATCCAGCGCGACGAGGAGACGGCCAAGCCGAAGCTGTTCTACGACAAGCTGCCGGAGGATATTGCGGATCGATGGGTGCTCTTGCTTGATCCGATGCTGGCTACAGGTTAGTGCTGTGGATGTATATGTGTGTGTGAAGATGCTTGTAGGAGCTGAGTGGGACTGACTACTCTCTCTCTCTCTGCAGGTGGATCCGCGTTGATGGCGGTGGATGTGCTCAAGTCGAGAGGCGTGCCCGAGGAACGCATACTGTTCCTGAACCTGATAGCCAGTCCCGAGGGCGCCAGGAACTTTGCCCAGCAGTTTCCGAAGCTGCGCGTCGTGACTGCCTTTGTAGATGAGGGGTTGAACGAGAAGAAGTGAGTCTTTGTTACTATACATCTGCCCCACCCTCTCCCAAATGTTCTGCGCCAACTCCAACTGACACGACCGTAGCTACATCGTGCCAGGCCTGGGTGACTTTGGCGATAGGTTCTACACAATGTGACGGGAGATGGCGTATCGTATCGTGCCAAATGATACCATACAATACAATACCATACCATACCATACCCGCCCCTCCTCCTCCTCTCCACATCAACGATTGTTTCATTTTTGCCCAATACCATAAGCCCATCCATGAACCATCTTCACAAACGCCATTCTAGCCCGACGACAAACCCACAACAAACACCCCCAAACTGGGTTCATACATTTTGCGCAAGTCCCCTGATATGCCTCTTCCTCACTCCTCATCCCCAAAGTCCCCCTCAGCATCCATCTCATCATCCACTATAAACCCATCCCCATCATCCCGAGCCGTCGCTCCACCACCACCGGCAGCAGCAGCAGCACCACCACCACCACCACCACCACCACCCTGTCGCGACAGCAACCCACCCTGCCGACCCAGCGCCAAAGGCCCATCCTTGCTCGTCGCATCCGCATTCTCCTTTGCCACGGCGTCGCACGCGTCCACCCAGTCGGCATACACATCGACGGCGGCAGACAGATCTGGCAAGGAAGCGCAGTAAAACGTTAGTATCCGTATACGAAAGAAAAAGGCGACAGGCTGGGCAAAGGCCAGAAAACAAACTGAACTCTGAACCGAATTGAACTGAACTGAACTGAACCGAATTGAACTGAACCGAATTGAACTGAACTCAACCCGACAGATAGATAGATAGACATCGACTAACAATTAATATTCGTCTGAAACGTCTGCCCGCACACCTTGCACAGCAGCTGGCCGACGCCCAGCTTGCGCTCCAGCTTCACCGTCACCGACTTTTCGTGGTTGCAGAAGAGGCATTGGAATGTTGTGGCGAGGGCTTCGCGCTGTGTTGGTCCTTGTTTCTTAGCTTTGTTTTGTTCTTCTCGTCGTCGTCGTCGTCGTCGTCGTCGGCGTCGCGCGAGTCTAGGATGGTGGATTTGTTTGGGGTGGTGGGCAGAGGCGCGTACCTTTTTGGGCCCGACGGGGCCGCGGGAGGACTTTTTGCGTTTGCCCTGTGGGGTGGTGGGTGAGTGAGTGAGTGTTTGTGATTTGTAGCAGTGTGTGTTTTGGAAAGGGGGGGGAAACGTACCATTGTGGGATGGAGATGGGAGGGTGTTTGGTGGTGCGGTTGGTTGGTTAGTGGTGATGTGTATGGATGTGGATAGAGATGGATTGAGGCGATGGATGAGGAGCTCTACGCGTAGTATGTAGCACGCTTCGTGCTTCTCCTCTGGGACTGGGGGGCCTATGGATCGTTATCGTGCTTATCGTCGGAGTCGGAGGTTACCGCTGTAGACGGACAACAAACAGCAATGTTTACAGCGTGTGTTTAAATATGATGATTTAGATACTAGACATGACTGTGTTGATTGCAGTCGAATACATCCATCTCCAAGCTTGCCTACCGCCGCCTTCCCCAATATCAAACCACCCCCAATCCTCCGACGGCATGTCTGGGGCAAACGACGGCTGGCTGGCTGGCTGGCAGACAGTGAATGACGGTGAACAAGACTCAGGCGCAATCGCCCGACCCGGGGGCAATCACGAGGGGCGGCCTGCAGTTGGTGGTGGTGCGCTTTGACCAGCTGAGGTGGCATACCCATCCGGATCCCATTTCAGATAAAGGGCAATGCGGCTCCTCGGTCTTGTTTCTTGTTCCTTTCTCCTTCTTCTTCTCCTTCTTTTCTTCTCTTCTTCTTCTTCTTCTTCTTCTTCTTCAGAGAGATTCACTTGGCAGCCTCAATCAAAGTCTGACAGGTTAGGGGTAGCTCGAGGTCCTCCCATCTTAAACTCTACACACACACAGACACACAGAAAGTAATTCCATCGAGAAACGGACGCTTTGTTTTGCAGAGGGACTAAGCCAGTTGATTACGTCGAGAGCCTATCCCCACCCCCAAAAGTGATACACACAGGGCTGTTGTGTATCTCCCGAAAAGACGCAGACAACTACTGCGTTACCATACCTACCTGCTGCTCTCCTTTCTGCACTATCCAGCCTCCCCGTTTCCATCCATCGCACCTCCAAATTGCTTTCATCATCATCATCATCGTTCATTCGTTGTTCGCCATGACAGCTCCCAATCCACCCCCACCACCAGCACCAGCAGCATCCCAAGACGTAGCAGGCCTGCTCGCTGAAGTCCTGACCAGCCTGAAGACATTGCAACAAGACAATGCGAATCTGGCAAGTTCCATAGATGCTATAAATGGTCGTGTGAACATACTCGCGGGCGTCAAGCAAGTCCATGACTCCGCTCTGCCCGCTGCCAAACCAAGCAATGGTGCGTCTGCTGCCGTGGCGGCGGACCAGAAGGGAGATGCCTCCAAGGGCCCAGCCTCAACGGCTGCTGCAGATCGCAATGAAGCCTCGCCAGCAGTGCCAGATACTGACAGCCTTCGACGAACAAGCTTCTCGTCCAAGATCATCTTGACCACTCACCCTGGACAGTCGGGCGTTGACCCCTTCCCAATGAACTGGGGTCACAAAGACCCAAACGTCAGAGGACCTGTAGTCGTTTCAAGGCACCAGAACACTATCAAGCGTCGCAATGGTAAGTGTCCGTTCCCGGTTAGTGTCATGTACATTGCTAACCTCAAAGCAAAGCGATTGGTGCACACGGTGGGTCTTACTCCATCTACCATGCCCTCGCCGTTGCCAGCAAGAATCTCGATGTCGACCACAAGCCGGACTTTACGAATACCGAGCCAGCCGCAGATATTGGGCCGTTCCCGCAATGGAGCGACCCGAAGAAGATTGTGTCGATGGACCCACTCGGTCACCTCGCGCCGTGGCTCTACAAAGATGCCATCAACAACGATGGCGTCGAGATCCGTCCGACGATTGCAGTCACGAAAGCACACATGAAGCTGCCCGAGTTGGAGCATAGCGTCAAAGCAGGACGGCTTGTGCCCGACGGCAAGATCTGTCTGAACGAGACTGGGGAGCTCAATGTCACCAAGTTTGCCGTGGAACCAGTATGGTATCTTCCCGGCGTGGCAGAGAGGTTTGGCATAGGTAATAGATTGTCTTGTGGTTGTGACGGAGGTCGGAAGTGCTGACTGTGAGGTAGACGAGGGCACGCTGCGACGACATCTTTTTGAAGAGACTGGAGGCTCCTATCCCGAGCTCATCACGCGTAGCGACATCAAGCTCTTCCTGCCACCGATTGGAGGCTTGACGGTGTACTGCTTTGGCGATCCGGCCAAGATGGCAGACGCAAGCGTCAGACTCGCACTGCGCGTTCACGACGAATGTAATGGTAGCGACGTCTTTGGGTCCGACATCTGCACCTGTCGGCCATACCTGATCTTCGGCGTGGAGGAAGCAGTCAAGGAGGCACAGAAGGGCGGCAGCGGGGTAGTGATATACTTTAGAAAGGAAGGAAGAGCGCTGGGCGAGGTGACGAAATACCTGGTGTACAACGCGCGCAAGCGTGGGACAGACAAGGCATCGGAATACTTCCAGAGGACAGAGAACATTGCCGGCGTAAAGGACATGCGCTTCCAAGCGCTCATGCCCGATGTAAGCAACAAAATGGCGGATGGCAGCGGGTTGGGGGGGACTGACGGTCACACAGATCCTACACTGGCTCGGCATCACAAAGATTGACCGTATGCTGAGTATGTCAAAGTACGTATGACGCGGGGGATGGCGGGCAGAGTGGTGATACAGAGAACGAACAACTGACGTAGCCGTTTGTAGCATGAAGCATGACGCGATCGTCGAGCAGGGGATTCCGATTCACGAGCGAGTGCCTATTCCGGACGAGATGATTCCGGAAGACAGTCGAGTGGAGATTGACGCCAAGATCCACGCGGGCTACTGTGAGTTCTAACTACGCAACTTGAGTTTATTGAAGGTGGCAGTGGTGTTGACGAGCTGTGTTTTAGTCACGACAGGCAAGGTGATGAGCATGGAGGAGCTCTCAAAGGTCAAGGGCCGTGGCTGGGAGGATGTGGATGTAAGTATTTGGCAGGCCGGCAGAGCTTGGGCGGCGACATGAGCGTACAATGACGAGGCTGACAGATGTGTAGCACTGAGTTGAGTGTGTGTGTGCAATGGACGTGTAACTAGGGTGGCAGGATGTTGCAGTGGTGATACATGGATGGACGGATGATGGATGGACGGATGGGTGGATGAATTGCCTCGCCAGCGGGTATACTATGGCAATGCGGCACTGGGGTACTGGGTAATTAGTATGCGAGGCAGAAAGCGGCTCTTGTCCTTGTCAGACTCCGGTCTCGCATGACGGACCAGTCGGTGCAGCAGCAGCAGTGGTGAGTGGTGAGGGCGTGATTGGAGAGGAGTATATGCATGGCATGGCATGGCATGGCATAGTACAAAGAATAACAGCAGCAAGCAGCAGGCAACTCTCAGGTGACGCGGCTAGTGTACACATACCGTATACTGTATAGTGTGTATGTATGTGTGTATGTATGTGTGTATGTATGTGTGTATGTGTGTGTGTGTATGTGTGTGTGTAGTATGTTGGCCCAACCCGCACACTAATCATAATATACTATATGGGGCAATCACTGTGAATGCAACAATGGCCATTTTGTCTGCGAAGAGGCAAGAGCAAGGCAGCAAGCTCGTGTGACCCGACACTCAACAGCTGGCGGACCGACTGACTGACTACCTGCCTGGACTAACTATTAGAGGCGTATGGATACGTACGTGTACATTATGTGTGTGAAGAGAGCGCTTTGTCAGACGGGGTCGGGTAGGCAGGGGTCCTGACTGGATGGCCGGTATTGCGCGGCAAGGGGGGGAAAAGAAAAGGCAAAGTTGTTATCGACGGCCTGAATGATGAGGAGGATGAGGATGCAGATGTTGGGGTTGTTGAGTGAAGGTTCAAGGTTTTGGGGATAAAGGTGTGCCGCCGGCGTTCATGAGTGAGTGAGTGAGTGGGTGAGTCAGGTCCTCAGGCCAAACTTAACCTTACCAAGGATGTTTAATTACTTATCGAATAAAACGAGCTGTGCTGCGGCGTGTGGCAGACTGCTGCATTTAGGGATACGGCATTAGTCAGGTAATTAGGCGTTATATGGATGGAATACCGGGCGTGTTACCGTAATCTACCTGCCTGATGCTGATGCCTGATGCCTGTTAGCTATCGGGCGACGATCCATTCGCTCCAAGCCAGCCATTCCCCGTCCATCATCATCACATCTGCCCCCCCCCCAATGAACCACCGATTTGTGCTGCTGCTGCTGCTGCTACTGCAAGTAATTAATTAAACAACAGGGTGAGTGTTGTGGTGATGATCGATACTGGATTTCAGTTCGGTCGTGGCATTTGTCTAATCGTCCATCACCAATCCTGATCTCCATTCCCGTCCCGACTGATGACTTGCACATCGACTTTGGCCCACCTCGTGCCCCCAGTGTCCACCTACTACTATTACTCCCTTCTGACAACTCCCCTCATCCCAGCTAGTAATTAGGCTGTGGACCGCACGAGTCAAGACACTTCCAACATCACAAACTTCCAGGCACCACAAACAGTCCAGAACGAGTACTGCTCTCTCAACTACGCCGCCGCGCCTAAAGAAGCTTTGCGGAACGTGACGCCGCGAACCGAACAATTCTGCCTTTACCCCCGCCCCCCAAACCAACCTAATCCATTAATCAAGGGCGGTAAAGGGCTGACTGACTGGCCTGTTGGCTCGATGGGTAGGTAGTAGTAGTCATTCCACTGTAACTGTAATAGTGTATAGTAGGTAGTAGGCAGTAGGTAATAGTATCTAGTAGGTAATTAGTAGCCGTTTATACTTTATACTTTCGCCCGCGACCAAAAGAGGCGTCTCTCTGCTCCCATCATCATTAGCATCCTCATCAGCATCATCAGCATCATCATCGGCATCCTCCTCCTCCTCCTCCTCATCATCATCATCGTCCACCCACGCCTCTTGCTACAAGGCTGCCAACACTATAATATGCCGCTGACGCCAGACTTGCAGCATTCCAATTGAACACTGCATTTCCTGTCAACCCCGCCCTGTAAGCCGCCCTAATTAGTCCTGCTTCTTCTTCTACCACTCCTGTCCGACCTCCCTCTAGAAACACCTCACCTCGCAGAAGCGAGTTTGCTGGCCTGCGTATGAGCTGTTGACAACAAAGCCCCCCTCCGACTCGACCGCTAATTACTCTACTTTCCACTCCTCCTCCTCCTCCTCCTCTGACCACTACACTAATCATCACTCCATCAATCACTTTGTTTCTTCTTCTCCGCAATCCGACTGTCCCAAGTTTCATATACCTGGCCTGCCGCCCTCTACCTTCCCGTGTCACTAATACTGCTTCCCTTTTCTCCGCTGCATCTACGAACCTGCGTCTGCTGCCTCTCTCTGTCTCTCACCTGGAAACTTGGATCCCTGCGTCAACAATTCGCCAAATTCTCCGTCATCAACCGCCATTTAAAGGTCTTTCTCTCTCTCTCTCGGACTACCACCATACTCTGTTCCAGCACTGTCTCTGACCTTTATATCATCCTCATCATCCACCATCCTCTCACCCAGGACGTGATATCTGAACCATGGCCGCCAACTTTCGCATCGCCATGCCTCCTCCTCAACCCTCCCACGCCATCAAGTCTAGCTCTCGCCGCACACCGCTCACTCCCTCGACCATCACACCGCCATCAGTCAGCGCCCACACGCCCTCTGCGACGAGACACGAGCTCGGCAGTCCCACGAGGGCAGAGGCCCTTCTCGCAAAGGTTGCTCAACACCCTACCTACCGCCCCCGGCCGTCACCGCCCAGCAGTCCGGTAGCCTCCACGGCCGCCGGAGAGCGTCAACCGGTAGTTACTCGTGCCTACTCGGCCGACCAGTGGCAGCAACTTCACCAGCAACATGCCCAGCTCCAGCGATCGTATTCTTCGCACCCGCGTCAAGGTACTTGCACCCACTTTGTCTCTCTCCTATATATCTTGAGCTGTTGTTGTCGTTGGGTGACTGACATTGTCTTTTGCAGACGGCTACATCAGCTTTCCCGACTTTGAAAAGTACTGCGGCTACGACAATAGCGCCGTCGCCTATGAGCGTCGCCAAGAGCGATCTAGTGTTTCTGGATAAGTGCAAGGGAAAATCCTCCGAGGCGCCGCACACACACACACACATACACACACGTTGTGCATGCATGCTGCCAATGCACCGGATTTGATCCCCCATGATGACTTGACGAATCAAAACACACAAAACAAGTATTAGAATTAAACACCCGACGACAACGACGACGACCCCATCCATCCATCCATCCATGAGGCCAACCTAACCTAATCTAACCCAAACCAAACCCCCAACGGAAAAAAGGCGCCATTCCGTTTCCCTTTTTTTTTCAGTCTTGACATATATATGCATATATACCCCCCCAACCAAATTATCCCGGCAATCGACGACAAGTCTCCGGCGGACGAGCAGGCTCTAGACCTCTAGACCCTGGGTGCGTCTGGAGGCAGAATGTCATTGTCTTGCATTCCTGGCTGTCGGCTGTGAAAGGAGTCATTGAGCGAAGGCTCTCAACAATTTTGCTTGAGAGCAAGTTGTACTGCCCACTTGGTAAAATCATGGCTTGAGAATGAAATGTGAAAGTGAAAATGAAAGCGATTTAAGCACCTGAGGCACGACGGACTGCATGCACGGAGTAGACGCAGGCTATGAAACGGGATAATTCTCCTTTGACGACGATGGTGAGGATGATGGTGAGGATGGTGATGAGGATGCAGGGGCAAGCAAATATAGCATACCCACCGGGGAATTACGCCCTTCCATGAAGCCCCGGAGGAGGGATACTCTGGGGGGGGGGGGAAGCCGGGAAGGCAGAGATCGTTATGTACTGTATAATGATGAGCTTTGTGCGCAGAGGATAGTTTGAGAGATGAGAACGATGATGAAGAATTATTCTATGAGTATGATGATGATGATGGTGATGATGATAGTGTGATTCGTCTGAGTAGTTTGTATGTATGTATTGTGGACTGCTGGTGTTGTAGTCGTGGGTGCGGTGCGTCGTGGGTATGTTGTGCACGTGGACGTGGATGTGGATGTGGATGTGGATGTGGATGTGGATGTGGATGTGGATGTGGATGTGGATGTGGATGTGGATGTGGATGTGGATGCGGATGTGGATGACCGAACCATGTTTACCATCTGCCACGGTCATCGATCGAGCAGATATACTGGAGATGCACTCTCATCGTGGGACCACTATTCGTGATGGAGTATCTGCCTGAGGCTACAAGGCTACAAGACTACAAGGCTACAAGGCAGCAAGACTACATGGCAACAGGGCAACAAGGCAATAAGGCTCCAAGGCAATAAGATAAGGCCACAGCTACGACGCCACATGGCATGCCCCAAGGCAGTATCTGCGCCACAGCCTTGGAAATGACGTACGTTGTGCTGTGCATCTTCTTTAAGCCTGGAGCCTGGAGTCTGCTGCCATTCACACTTCTCTTTCCCTGGTCCAACTTTCATACATACACAGTATTTCCCTGTGTCGCTGCTCCCACTCTCATCTCTCGCGTTGACTGGAGAGGAGGGTCACTGTGTCTTTTGGCGCTTCTTTGGTTTGAGTCTTTGAGACGTCTTGTGGCTCTTGTTTGCGGTTTGTTTCGTGCTTGGGCTTGGGCTTGAAGTAGGTGCTACGACTATAGCTTGAGATCGAACGACACCTTGAGTTACGGCTATATCTTGAGCTACGACTATACCTCTTCTCGGGCTACGACCTACGACTACGACTACGACTACGACTACTACACCTTGAGCTACGGCTATACTTGACGTCGACTACGACTACGACTATACCTTGAGCTCGAACTACGATCTACACCTGAACCTCAACCTCGACTACGACTATACTTGAGCTACGACTACACTTCAACGCGAACTACTACTACACTTCGAACTCCTACTACACCTCCACCTCGAACCATCACCACCACAACCAACCACCCCCAAGAATGCACCCCCTCACCCCTCTCCTCCTCGCCCTCCTCCCCCAAACCGCCCACACCACCCCAAACCCCCCCTCAACCCCCCTCTCCAAAATCAAAACCCTCACCCTCCACGCCGACCGCCTCACCACCCACCGCCGCCTCCCACCCATCCCCCAACTCACCTGCACCGGCGGCAGCGCCCAGCACCTCTACACCATCGACACCCTCCGCTGCACAAACTCCGGCACCGCATACGACGACGCCACAGACATCCAATGGACCTGCACCGCCTCACTCCCGCCAGAGTTCAAACTGGGTAGTACCGAGGTGACGTGTGAGGGATTCGAGGGGCCGGAGGATGAGAATGTGTTGAGGGGGAGCTGTGCGGTTGGGTATCGGCTTTTGCTTACGGAGAAGGGGGAGGAGAGGTATGGGAATGGTGGTGGGAAGGATGGAAAGGGTGGTGGTGAGGATAGGGCTGGGCAGGGAGGAGAAGGAGGGGGAGGTGCGTTTGTGGTCTTGTTCTGGGTTTTGTTTGTTGGGGTGCTGGTTTGGATGGTGTATAGCGCTTGCGTGAATTGGGGGGAGGGACAGCGGCTTGGTGGTGCGCCTCTACCGGACTATAATGGCTACGGTGGTGGTGGTGGCGGAGATGGAGATGATAACGACGATCCCCCGCCGCCGCCGTATACATCCTCCCCTCCTCAACCGCCTCGCTGGAATGCGAAGAATGGAAACAACGGCGGCAGTAATAGTAACAGCGGCTGGAAACCGGGGTTCTGGACCGGGGCTCTGGGTGGTGCGGCGGCGGGGTACGCGGTTGGTAACGCGAGGGGGAGTAGCAGTAGTCGGCGGGGCGGGAGTGGGAATAGTCCGTGGAATGATAACGGAGAGGGGAGTAGTTATAATAACGGATATGGAAGTGGTGGATATGGAAGTGGAAGTGGGAGTGGGAGTGGGAGTGGATATGGAAGTGGGAGTGGGAGTAGTGGCAGTGGAAGTGGAAGTGCGCATTCATCGACGAGATATCAGAGTACGGGGTTTGGCGGGACGTCGAGGCGGTAGACTGACTGACGGACTGACTGGCTGACTGACTGACTGACTGACTGGTTTCGTTGATTGGTTTGGCTGGGTGGTGGTGGACGCCATGCCATGCCATGCCATGCCATTGTGGGTATATATTATTACAAGAACATCCTCCTCTACCTCCTTCTCCTGCTCCTCTCTTCCTATCCAGGCATTGAGTGAGTTTTAATCGTCTGAATCGCTGCCGTACGCTACCAGCGGACCACCTGTCGACGATGCCGTCGCAGCAGCAGTAGCGCTCTTCCTGCCTGAGCCGATCTGGTACCCCTTTAGCGCCGCCAGGGTGCTGCTTGATATTATGCCTGCTCCGGCACCACCGTTACCATTCCCATTCGGCGCCTGCTCGAGCATCAACTGCGGCCTCTCAACCTCCTGCTCCACCTCCACCTCCATCTCCAACTCCCTCCGCTGCCCACCCTCCAAATCCACCTCCATCCCCATCCCCAACCCCACCCCCTCAATCCTCTTCACCCCCCCACTCCTCTCCTCCAGCCTCCGCCTCTTCACCTCGCCCACATCGCGGCCCTCCAACTCCGCCACAAACTCCGCCGGCAGCGCACGGCGAATCGCCTCGGCAGCCTGCTCCTCGATGCGGTGGGCCTCGCGCTTCTGGGCGGCGGGGTTGGGATCGAGCGTGGCCCAGCGGACGTTGAGGATCTCGTTGTGGTCGAGGGATTGGTGGGCCATGGCCTCCTTTGCGAACTGGCCGTTGGCCTCGTTGGTGTAGGTTACGAAGCCGACGCCGCGGGCGGTGAGGACGCGGACTGTTTTTTTGGTAGTTTGTTAGTGAATTTTGCGCAGCGGGGGGTTTGATGAGAAGAAGGGGTGTGTAGGGGTAGATATTATGCAAAGACAACAACAAGACGACTCACTCCGGTCAATCTGCCCCCACTCCTGAAAATGCCGCGCGACAACCTCCTCGATATCATCCGTGACGTGGATCCTGCCGACATACAGCGTGCGATTCATCCGCATAAACGAGCCCACCCCGCCCATATCATCCCTGTAATCCGCAAACTTGTCGCGGCCGAAGCAGTCCACGTTCGGATTGTACACGTCCGTCACCGTCGGCAGGCGGTGCAGATACTCGCACTCGTGGCCGCGCGGGCACAAGCCGCGCGCGAAGAAGAGGCAGAAGTAGCTGCCGGGGATCTTGTCGGCGCGGGTGTACCCACTGTCGCGGGCGACGGAGCAGCGCGAGGGCGCGGCGGTTTTGGAGAGGTATTTGTCTTCGCGGTCGCCGCCGGACCATTTGTTGTACCAGACGTTGAAGATGGTGCCGGTTTGCGGTGGGGGCTCGGATTTGAAGGTTGTGGCGTCGACTTGGGGTCTGGCTGGGCGGCGTTTCTTTTTGATTATCTTTTTGATTATCTTTTTGTCGGCTGTGTTGGTGGTTGTGAGGGCGGTTGAGGAGGTTTCGACGGCGGAGGGAAGAGGCGAGGTCGTGGATTGGGGGATGATGGTGGGGGCTTGTGGTGGTGGTGAGGGTGCTGGGTGGGTGTCGAGGTCGGCCATGATGTGTGTGCGTGTGTGCGTGTGTGTAGGAGGGAGTGGATTGAGAGTGTAGTATAGTTTTTGGAGTTTGGATGCGTATAGAGCAGATTGTACGGAAGGGCGCTAGTTCAGCCCTATGAGTGTACCCACTGTTCAGCCGAGAAGTGCGCTAGCTACATCGGGACGTGTGTACGAAGCGGGACGCGATCATACGCATGATGCAGCGATTTGTGCCTGTGAGGTATCGAATCGAGTCTTTGGTCTATAATATATGCTCAAGATGCAAAGACTAAGCAGCTATAGATCGTGACTGGCGATAGCAAGACTTTCGGCACTATGTACTGACTACATATCACGTGATGCGCCCTACCCGGCATCACATCACCGCCAGCGCAGTACTATACTCTCTATATTGCTACCTATAACACGTCTATAAACACACGACCAGGGCCTCCAGACGGGCAAATGAGACGTGTGACGGACGGGAGATGAACCAATGGGCAGCTTACTATACAACTTGGCCAGCGTTTTAGTCTTTTAGCCATTTAGTCTCCCCTTTGCCTCTGCCTCTCTACCTCTGCCATTGCATCGCCAGGCCCAGGGCTGACACGCGCGCTATTAATGGTCCATCTGTACAATGTGCTCCGCTCCCACTCACTGCTTGCACGACGAGACTGTTAGATATCCCATTCAGCACCAGACTGCAATTCAAAACTCTTCTTGCAAACCGCTCCTGTAGAATATCACTTGCCCACAATGTGCGCTCACGTGAGGCCCCCCTTAGTAATCCGACTTGGGCCGCCCGCCCGTCCTGCCAGTGTTCCTCCTGGCTCCTCACAATCTCACACGCTCCGTCAGGTCACCGCCAGCGACAAAACCACTACCCACCATCGCTTGCCCATCTCCATCCTCAATACCGCCTTTGACCGCCCGGCTTCACCTCTTCACCTCTTCCTTTCGACGCGTCGTCGTCGCGCATCCCTCTTCTCTGCCCTTCATTTTTTAAACCCTTTTCTCTCCCTGTCCCGTCAGCCTCGCAACCGTCCGCCGACTCAATCAACGCGCGAACCCGCTTCTCGCATCACCGCACGACCCCATCTCCAACTTTTCTCGTCGCATCTCTCAATTCACTCGGACTTCCCTGGCCGCTGTCCAGCGTCCTCCCTCGCACCCTACCGTCATCCCCATCCTCCCGCTCACGCGCGCCTGGTCAATGACATTCACGCACACTTTTCACTCATAGTGCACCGGGGCCTTCTTTCGCGTTCACACACGTACACAGACACAAGCACAAGCACACAACGCGCGCATTCGCATTGAGGGCTGTGTGAAGGAAGTAGGAGACTTGTCAACAGTGCTCGTTACAGCATGGCTTCTGTACAGCCTACGAACCACATGCCTCCGCAGGGAGCCATGGGTGGGCCTCAGGGCATGACCAAGGAGGCTGTCCAGCAGATGTTTATGGTATGTCAATACGCTGTCTATTCCCTTCACGCGTATGGCTTTTTATGTTTCTGGGACGATGTCTGCGCGCGCGATGGGTAGGAACTGTTTTGTTGTTTTGCTAAGCCGCCACTTGGTTTTCTTTCCCGGCATTGTCAAACTTCTAGAAATGTTCAAGGTCGGAGCGCAGCCATACCCCGACTGTACGACGTGCTGAGAAAACATGCGCTCCCCATTGGATACTTTCATGTTTGCGCGCGAAACCATTACTGACATATGCACTAGAAATATCAGACGATGAAGAATAACGGGACTCCCGAGAACGATCCAGACTTTATAAAGACACGCACTTTCCTTCAGCGATTACAGAGCCAGCAGGCAATGCAGCGTAAACGCGCCGAGATGATGCAACAGATGCAACAGCAGCAACACACCCAGCAGGGCTTTCCTGTCCAGCCACAGTCCCAAGTCTCGCAACCACAGCAGCTCAATGGCTCTAGCCATATGCCCCCTTCTTCCAATGGGACCAGCGCCCCTCCCACCGAAAGTAAAATTCCACCGCCCGTCTCGACGTCTGTTCCTGCCTCGTCCCAGGCTCCAGGTCAGCAGTCGCCTGCCGCTGGTACTGATGCCAAATCTGGACCCGGAAGCACTAGCAGCACCGTCTTCAGCCAGGAGCAGCTCTTCACCCTTCGCAACCAGATTGCTGCCTTCAAAAGACTCTCCAAGGGCTTGCCGCTGGCGCCCAACATGCAGCAAGCCCTGTTTCCCTCCAAGAAAATTGCTTCTTTACCAGAGGTGCACGCAGAGCATTCCCGTTCCGAAACTGGAGAGTCCACCAGGTCGCCAGCTAAAGACGCGTCGGCCTCAGCATCCCTGGATCACAAACCCTACGAGACATTCACCTCGCCTTGGGCGCTCCTTCCGCGAACAGTCAACTATGCCGCTCATTCCAGGCGGGATAAGAGGCCGATCATTCCGAGCATCATGCCAACCGGAGTGGATGTCGATCGGATACGGGAAGAACGGGAGAACATAGTCTTTAATCGTATTCAGAACCGTCTCAGCGAGCTGGAGAAATTGCCGGCCAATATCGGCGTGTGGGACACGAGCAAAAGCGACGCCCCCACTGATCCTGGCTCTCTCAAACTCAAGACCCTTATCGAGTACAAGAAGCTGCGCCTGTTATCGAAACAGAAGGCGCTTCGTCAATCTATTGCACGCGAGATGATCGCTGCTGATAATTTGGCGATGACTGCCAATCGTGCAAACTACCGCCGCATCAAGAAGCAGTCCCTCAGAGAGGCGCGTATCACCGAGAAGCTCGAGAAGCAACAGCGCGAGGTCCGGGAGAACAAGGAAAGGAAGAAGCACACCGACTACTTGGACTCCGTCTTGCGCCAAAGTCAAGACGTTCACAAGGCCGGCCTTGACCATCGGGCGCGGCTGCAGAAGCTGGGTCGCACAATGCTGCAGACCCACCAGACTATCGAGAAGGAAGAGCAGAAACGTGTGGAGCGCACTGCGAAACAGCGTCTGCAGGCCCTCAAAGCCAACGACGAGGAGACTTATCTGAGACTGCTTGGTCAAGCCAAGGACACTCGTATCTCCCATCTGCTTAAGCAGACCGATGGTTTCTTGAAAGAACTTGCCTCTTCCGTCAAGGCCCAGCAACGGAGCACCGCAAACCGCTACGGAGGTGCTGCCGCGGATGATAGCTCTTCGGAAGAAGATGACGATGAGGACGACGAAGACAAGGCCGCCAAGGTCGACTACTATGAGGTTGCCCACAAGATCAAGGAAGATGTCGTCGCGCAATCCACTAACCTCGTCGGTGGCACTCTGAAGGAGTATCAACTCAAAGGTCTGCAATGGATGTTGTCTCTGTACAACAACAATCTCAACGGTATTCTTGCCGACGAGATGGGTCTGGGAAAGACGATCCAGACGATTTCACTGATAACGTACCTCATCGAGAAGAAACAGCAGGCTGGGCCGTACCTGGTCGTTGTACCTCTAAGTACGCTCACCAATTGGAACAACGAGTTTGAAAAGTGGGCTCCTAGCGTGACGCGCATCGTCTACAAGGGTCCTCCCGCCCAGCGTAAAACGCAACAAGCTCAGATTCGGTACGGCCAATTCCAGGTCCTCCTGACGACTTACGAATTCATCATCAAAGACCGGCCTGTGCTGAGTAAAATCAAATGGCTGCATATGATTGTCGACGAAGGTCATCGTATGAAGAACGCGAACTCGAAATTGAGCAGTACAATCACGCAATACTACGTGACAAAGTACCGCATTATCCTGACTGGTACACCGCTCCAGAACAATCTTCCTGAACTTTGGGCGCTTCTTAACTTCGTCCTGCCCACCATCTTCAAGTCGGTCAAGTCGTTTGACGAATGGTTCAATACCCCGTTTGCGAACACGGGTGGTCAGGATAAGATGGAGTTGACTGAAGAAGAGTCGTTGCTTGTGATTCGTCGTCTGCATAAGGTCCTCAGGCCATTCTTGCTCCGTCGTCTGAAGAAGGATGTCGAGAAGGATCTTCCCGATAAGCAAGAACGAGTCATCAAGTGCAACATGTCCTCCCTGCAGAAGAAGCTCTACACTCAACTTACGACCACCAACAAGCTTATGGTCAGCGACGGCAAAGGTGGCAAGACGGGTATGCGCGGTCTCAGCAACATGTTGATGCAGATGCGAAAAGTGTGCAACCATCCGTTCGTATTCGAGGAGGTGGAGGACCAGGTCAACCCAACGAGAGGAACCAACGACTCTTTGTGGAGAACGGCTGGTAAATTCGAGCTCCTGGACAGGGTTCTTCCCAAGTTTTACGCGACTGGTCACAGAGTCCTGATGTTCTTCCAAATGACACAGATCATGAACATTATGGAAGATTTCCTGCGCCTCAGAGGCATCAAGTATCTCCGCTTGGACGGTTCGACAAAGTCGGATGACCGTTCAGAATTGCTACGCGTGTTCAACGCACCGGGCTCCGAGTACTTTATCTTCCTGCTGTCTACCCGTGCCGGTGGTCTTGGCTTGAACTTGCAGACTGCTGACACCGTCATCATCTACGACTCGGACTGGAATCCTCACCAGGATTTGCAGGCCCAGGATCGTGCTCACCGTATCGGACAGAAGAATGAGGTGCGCATCTTGCGACTGATTACGTCAAACTCGGTGGAAGAGAAGATTCTCGAGAGAGCAAACTTCAAGCTCGACATGGACGGCAAGGTCATCCAAGCCGGTAAATTCGACAACAAATCGACGAACGAAGAGCGTGATAGCATGCTCAGGGTCATGTTGGAGTCTGTCGAAGCGGCTGAGAATATGGAAGAAGACGAGCAGGACGATGACGACCTGAACTTGATCATGATGCGATCTGACAAAGAGCTGGAGATCTTCCAACAGATGGACAGAGACCGAGCGGCAAAGGATGAATATGGTCCAACCCAGAAATATCCGCGTCTGATGAGCGAGGCCGAGTTACCGGAAATCTATCTCACTGATGACGTGCCCGTTGTTGAAGAGATTGAAGAGCCAATCGGTCGTGGCGCTCGTGAACGTACACGCGTCAAGTATGATGATGGTCTTACCGAAGAGCAATGGCTGGAGGCTGTTGACAACGATGAGGACTCGATTGAAGCTGCCGTGGCCCGCAAGGAGGCGAGGATGGCTCGGAAGCTGCAGAGACAATCTGGGGTCGGGAAGGATTCCCCGGCGCCTTCGCGTGATTCGTCAGAGTCACCTCCTCCCAAGAAGCGAGGGCGCAACAAGAAGGCTGGTAAGCGAAATGCGGATGATGCCTCTCTTGACGATGGTGACGTCGTTGCTCCGCCCAAGAAGCGAGGCCGCGGTGCCGCGCAAGCAAAGATCGTAGAGACACTGTCTCCAAAGGACCGCGACAACATCCAGGACATTCTCGAGAAAGTCTACGAGGCACTGATCAATCTCGAAGAGCAAGGCCAGCCCGGCGATCTTCCGCGCGGCGTCATCGACTTGTTCATCGAGCTACCAGACCGTAACGACTACCCGGACTACTACCAGATCATCAAGAAGCCCATCTGCATGAACGACGTGCAGAAGAAGATCAACAAGAAGCACTACCAGAGCTTGAAGGAGTTTGTCGCAGACATCAAGACGCTCTGCAACAATTGCCGGACGTACAACGAAGAGGGCAGCTGGCTGTACAACGACGCCAATAACATTGAGTCGACACTGTACCAGCGCTTGCGCGAGGAGACGGAGCAGTTCCCAGAGTTCCAGAACTACGAAGACGGAACGAGCGCTGATGGGCAAAGCACGGCGCAGGCCTCGGGTGCCGCGACGCCGATGACATCTGGGCGTAAGTAGTCCATATGCTACCAGGCCAGACCAATCGCCTAACATCAGATCAGGATGATGCGACTGTCCCCTATGAAGCCCGATATACAGCGGCTCTCTAAACAAATACAAACAAACACACACACTTCTTGTAACACGTTATTTGCACACACAGCGTTCGTGCGATTCTCCCCGGCGTCCTGGTACTGGCATGTCTTTTAGAGATTCCCTTTTGGCGAGAGACGATCCGGCGCACACACACACACACACTTTGCGCCGCCAAAGTTCTACAGCAACTCTTGCAAATATCTGCAGAGAGAAAGAGCAAAGGGAACAACACATTTTCGAAAGCGACCACCAAGTAACTAACCAACTGATCTTGCGCAACAACACTCTACTGTATTGTGTCCTCCCGAGTAGAAAAGGGGGTCTCGAGTTTGCAAGCATGGTTTTGATAGTGGCGGAGTGAATGAGTGAGTGAGTGAGTTGGGGTTACAACTAAGGGCAAGAAGCTTTAAACGCATACCACTGGCGCCCTGTTTTTTTCAAACGTCTTTTGATCTTTTGTCTTTTTTTTTGGTCACTTTACACACACACACAAAACACACATGCATGCACGCGCGCGCGTACGCCCGGTTCAGGTCTGGTGGTTACATTAGCGTAACTTTGAACAGCTGGCGGATGAGGTGGGTGGGTGTGGGTGTGGGTGTGTCTGTGTGTGTGTGGAAGTGTGTATGTGCTCACAGAGAAGCGTGGCCTGGATCTGAAGTAACTGAATCATTGCATCACTGAATCGCTGAATCCAGAAGGAGAGAGAAGACAAGAAGGAGAGAAGGAAAGGAAGGAAACTTTGTATGTTTATATTTTTATAAATTGCAAAGGATGAATTTACCAAAAAAAAAAATGAGTCTGTTTGTGAATGTGATTGTGAAAGTGAAAGAAAGGATGAATGAATGAATGAATGATCGATTTGTATGGACGTACATGTATACATGCATGCATATCATACACATACCATACCATACACATACACTTCTTTGTCGTGCTCGTTTTCTTGGGGGGGAAGAGGGGTTGTTTTTGTGAGCTTGGTGATTGTTGTGTTTGTGTTCGTGCTTTTTGGTGGGTGTGTTGTCTTGTCTTGTCTTGTCCTATTCGATACTCTCCTATCCTATCCTATCCTATCCTTCCATCGCTTCCAGACGCTGCTTGGTTTACTTGGTAGTTGTCTGTCTGTTCGTGGGTCTGTCTGTCTGTCTGTCTGTCTGTCTGTCTGTCTGTCTGTCTGTCTCCTTGTACTATTACTAGATACCCCCCGAAGCAGTCGTTTGTTTTTTTGGAATGCAATTCCTTTCCTATCCTTTCATCACCGCCTTAATATGCTCTTTCTCGCCGTTGTACTATTCCGTAGTCTTCTATTACCATATCCTCTTATCCATTCCCCCCGTATCCATATTTTACATCCGTTATTTGGATCTGGATGGTATGTTGCTGCGTGTTGGTGCTAGTCCTTGTGTATGCTGGCACTCATGCACTATCCCCTATACCACTCCCCCGTACCACGCCCCAACACCACTCCCCCCATACCTAGCACGCCTGTAGCTTAGTATATCACGATCATCAGAGAGAGAGAGAGAGAGAGAGAGAGAGAGAGAGAGAGAGAGAGAGAGAGGAGTACCGGTAGTAAGTAGTGTATCCGGCCTGTATCGTTTGTTGATCACATGGAGGTAGACCAGAAGAATCAAGTGGTTGTTGTTTATGGCCTAGGTGTTCGAGGTCCAGTTCAGAGTTCGGAAGATTGAAGCTGGGGTTGGTGTTGTTGAGGGGGAGCGTTATGTAGGACAAAGATACAAAGGCGAGGCATGCTCGAATCAGTTTAGATAGTTTTCTTTATTGTACCAGAGCGGTTGATTGACATGTTCTGTCTGTTTGTAGCTGATGTCCCGTGTCGTTAACGGTATACAGGAGCAGAATAAAACGCAACGCACGCGGATAGTCTTCAAATATAATACTACTACTAATACTACCACTACGACTACCACAATGCCATGCCATGCCATGCCACGCACCGCAGACCTGCTCTGTAGCATACAATCAAGCTGCTACTGTACTGTACTGTACTATATGGACATATCAAACGTGATCGCGGTTCGCTTCTTCTCCTCCGTAGCGCGGCATTTGTCCCATCCATCGTCCGGTTCGACTTCGATTCTTCGATTGCTCCCTACAGACAGCACCCACCCAATAAACCCCCCCCCCCCAAAGTCACTGCAATATGGCCCCTCATATAATACACTTAAAAGAACGAAGAAAAAAGCAAGAAGCGCGAAACCAATGCACCCACCACGGCGCAGAAGCTGATAATTCCGCCAAAAACGACAACGGCCTATGCTCCAGGAAATGGAGAATGCACAGCGTTGGCGGCGCTGGTAATCTATCGCGCACGTTTGTCTCTCTCTCTGTGTGTGTGCCAGACAGGTCCGTCTGCCGTGGCCCCCAAAAACTAAGCCATCAACGATTGAAGCTCATCGACGAAACAACTGGATTGGTGTCATCGCAGGGTGTTGTACAGGGTGTTTGATCTTCTCTTTTTGCACAAGCTGAGAAAGCCTCAGGTCAAGTGCACGCGCATGGTGTCGTTCGCTCCAAAGGATTTGCCGCACCCAGGACACTTCCGTGACCGAGACTGTACGCGCTCATCCACACACTCTTGGCAAAAGACGTGTCCACAGAGCTTGATGCATGTGTTCTTCCAGTTTCGCCGGCAGATCGTACACAGGACCATTTGCTGTCAGGGATTTAGCATAGGCACACAAACTGGTGACTTCAAGACAACTCACCCGCAACTGTCCTTCTGTATCTGTCTGCTTCCCCTGGCTCCGTGCTTTCCACTCTTCAATCTGTTTGTTCGAGTCGTCCACTTGTATTTGAAGCTGCTCAATCTTGACCTCGGCCTCCCGCTGTGCCTGGCAGGCCGCCGTACATGTAGCGTCTTTGGAGGACACGACCTTCTTCAGCTCTGCTATCTGAGACACGAAACCTTCGGCCACCGAGAGATGTTTAGTCATGGTTGCTTGCGTCGTGCGAACCTGGCTAGTTGTTGAATTGACTGCTTCCTTGGTTTCTGTGAGCTGCTTCTCAAGGTTCACCGCAAGGTTTCGACTGCTCGTCTCGGCCTCTTTCAGTTGGGTGATTATCTCCGCGCTCTTGAGATTCTGGGCTCGCAAAAGCCTCGACTCTTGCTCACGTGCCTCCTTTGCCTTCATAGCGCCAAAGAACTTCTGATCTGCCTTTGCTTTCTCCGCATTCAGCCTTGCAATCTGCTCTTCCCAGGCAACAAGTTCAGCCGTCTTTTTGGATGCAATCGCTTGCGCCTTCTTGTATGCGACTTCCAGCGACGGCATTTCTTCCAAGACGAGAGCATATTCCTTTTCGAGATTAACGATCTTGCCACGTAGCTGATCAGCATCCATCTGCTCCAGATCCGCACGCTCTCCAGAAGCTTGTTGCTCGCCAATCTGGACCTTGAGGCGTTCGACCTCCAGTTCCAAGGCCTTGATTCTGTCGTCGCTGGCTTTTGCCAAGTCTTGGATCTGTCCAAACGATGTCTTATGCTCCTCGGCTGCAGCTTTCCGGATAGTGACATCAGCAAGATATTCATCTCGTGAGTTTCGGATTCGACTGAGATCTGTTTCCGCCTTTGAAAGTTGCGTTTCGGAGTTTTGTATGCTGACCCGAGTCTCCTCATCAACCTGGATGCGGTACTGTGTCCTCTCCTGCTGCAGTTTTTGTGCTTCCTCACGCAAGGTGTTATTGACCGCGGTCAGGTCATTGATGCGTCGTATCACTTCGTCATACTGCGACTTCATGCCTTTGAACAGCTCTGTCTTGGAATAATCTTCGTCCGAGAGCCCGCTAAGCCTCACCTTTAGTTGCGTCAATTCGGCGGTCAGTTTCTGGTTCTCCGCATCGAGTTTGTCTAGCTGCTCCTTGCGCTTCAATGCAATGGCCTCTGCCTCTTTCTTTGCCGACAACAACTCTTCGCTAACGGGAGCTTGGACCGTGGTACCGTTGACCTCTGTCGACTCTTTCTTGACATCCTTTGGCTCTTCGTGGCTCTGCGCTGCGGTCGCACCTTGCATTGCCTGTCGTTCAATTTTAGCGACTGCTTGACTTTTAGCACGGTCTAGCTTCTTCTCCGCCACCATATATCGGTACGAAGCCTTCTCCAGACGCTCAATCAACTGATCTTTCTCCGTAGTCACGCGATGCAGCTCGGAAATGGTAACCTTCTCCTGCGCAAGAAGCTTGGACAATTGTTCTTGCAGCTTCTCAGCATTTGCATCACCAGGTGACTTGGAGAGTAGATCTGACAAGACGCTTCTGATCTTTTGAGAACGGTCTGACAAGTGTTCTTGAAACTTCTCTGAGTCTGAAAATAACAGCGATGGTGGGAACAGCGCATCATCTATATTGCGTAAGTAGCGGATCTGAACACTTCGAGATGTGCGGAGCTTACTAGGCTGAAGTGGTCGTGTCACGACAATGTCGTTGACCATGAGTCTGATCTCATCGAGGAGCTTTCATTCTGTTAGAGATCTTGTGTCTATACGCGTAGAAAGGATATTTACCTGATTGAACCATGAGTCAACCACACGCAAATGGTCGTCGTGATATGTCATTTTCTTCTCCATCTCAGCGATCTGAGACTCGCATGTTTGCTTTTCTCTTTTGTACTCGCGGAGCTGGCGAAGGATGGCATCTTTTTGAAAGTTCTGTAGCAACAAAGTTAGGTGCGTCGCGGTCTGAGGGTGGGCTGTCTTTTTAAGGTACCTCAAGATCTTCTTTCCAAGGCAGATCAGCGTCCGGGTGGGTTTTCGTGCCATTCGCGTTGTTACTCATCGCCTGTCTCTTTGCGGGAGGAGCCAGCTCATCGTGCTCGGGCACCATGGAGCGTTTGCGGTCCTCCATCTTGACAGTGCCAAGTGATGGGGCTGCGACAGTGTGGACGTCGAGACTCATGAGCAGAATGAGGATGGGAAACGTAAGTCAAGGCTGTGTACCTGCGCAGACGAACCATATAGCCTTGCAAAACAGTCGGGATGAGTAAAGTGATTGAAGGTCAAGCGTGAGACATGGGTGCAGAGAACAAGGCGGCGCGAATGAATGTGGGCAGAGTTTGTAGACTTGAAGGTGTCGAGGCGTGTAGGAGGTGAGTTGAGATCGCGGCGCCGGTTTCTCCTTTAGCCACGTGACAGATCTTGGCCTAAATGTCAGTGCGCGACTAGTCAACGCGATAACTAGTGGGGCGTTCACGAATTGAAGACGCAGCATTCTCGCGTGTCCGAGACACTGGATTGACGGTTGATCGAGGACTGCTTCACCATCGCGCGATTTCTGGAAGCTTAAAATTCTCGATTATGACCGTCTGCGCATGTGCGCCTGAGGTCCGCCATGTTGTACGGTAGTTCGAGAGTCAGTACGTACCTACATCTCGCACTCGAACGTCCAGGTCAGGTTCTAACTCCGCTACAGATAAGTCCGGTAAGAAATCTGTTGCGCCGAAAGCTTTCGCTCGACGGAAAGCACCTCAAGAGTCTACACCTCAAGCACCCACCAACGACCCACAACTACCTAGTGGAGAGAACCAGGTTACGTCCACGTCGAAAGAACCTATCAGCAAGAATGCAGACGAATCCATTCCCACGCCAGCGGCAGAAGCTAGTTCTTCAGCTTTACAACAATTACCTAGTGCACCGAACGAAGATTCTCAAGAGGATGCAAGCGAATCCGTCTCTAGACTCACAGTGCTACCGGATCCAACACAACATACCGTAATAGAGACGACAAGATCACTTTCATCTGCAATCCAGACAACTGGACCAGCATCTTACCAACTCTCGACTCCTGCGCCCAGCGAATCTGTGGTATCTGAAACACCATCCTTAGACGAAGCTAGCACTGCAACCCGATCAGTCCAGCGTCACGCCGCCACCAATAACGAGAACAATGAGCCAAATAACAGCAGCAGAGATGTGCCCATATCAGTGAATGACAACGCTGGAGAAGAGCTCGTAGTTACTCGCAGTAAGGGAAAGCGAAAACGTGTCGGCAACGTAGTTACAGATGGAACAGCGTCAGCGTCAGGTACGGCTCCGCCGGTCAAAAAGCCACGTAAAGTGCGGAAAGATAAAGGTACAACGCGGAAACCCAAAGATGTCTCACCAAACACGCCTCCTACAGATGGAGATGCAGTGGTATCGCCAGACCAGGAGTCATCACAGAGTGTTGCACGTACAAGCGGCAACGATAATCGGAGTGCAACGATAAATGAAGAAGAAGACGGAACTACTGCGTTGGAAAACGACGAGGTAGATAACTCGACCACACGTCCGGTCAAAAATCAGCGCAGACGGAAGATTCGATCGCCCACACCCGAAGATGCGGAGAATAAACGTGTTGATGTATATTCTACGACTATGACTGATATCTGCGTTGACAGAAGAGAAGGTGAAGTTTCCACAAGAGAGAGAGCTATGCGCAAGATCGACTGGGACGACGTCAAGCGCAAGCGCAAAGAACGCATGCAGTTTCCCCCAGCTAGCGCACCACGTCCTGCGCAGGAACAAGAACAGACAGGAGCAGGCAGTGAAGATGGTGCAGAAGGTGGTGACGATGCTGAAGATAACTTTATATCCAGCACAACCACAAGAGGACCGCAATTTCGGATATTGGCCGACGGCAGGTTCGTGCTTGATGAAGCAAGCACTGTAATCAACCAGCGGGCAACTGCGACACGCGACGAGGAAATTCTCGATGTGGTTGAGGAAGACGACCTCACGACGCAGATAAACCAACATTCGTTCATGTTCGATCACAAGCGAGATCCGAATGATCGACGGCCCACGCCCAACGATCGATGGGGAGTGGAGGACGACACGAAATTTTACGAAGCATTGGGGATGTTTGGTACGGATTTTGGAATGATATCAAAGATGTTTCCAGGGCGCACACGTCGGAACATCAAACGCAAATTCACACGCGAGGAGCGAGCAAATCCTTCACTCGTCCGAGCAGCACTTGTCGGACAGGTCAAGACCTCGCTCGATATCGAGAAGTATCTACGCGAAAGCGATGGCAGGGAGGAGGACCTGATTGACCCTCGCAAGCTGGAGGCGGAACTAGAGGCCAAAAGTACGGAAATGCAGACCGAGATCGAGGCAGCTAGGAAGGAATACACGGAGACGGAACGACAGAAGAAGATTGCGGCGGGTGGAACAGGGCAGAAAGACGCGAACAACGGAGCAGGTGCAGTCGGGCAGGATGTGCCGGGCGTGGGTAAGAAGAAGACCAAGAAAGCGAAGAAGAACGCAACGCGGGGCGGTGAGGAGGAGATCATTCTCGAGACGGTGGAGGATGATATCCCATTTCCGACGAGGAACAGAAGCTACTGGAACTGAGTGGAGATGGTGGACGCCACGGGAGTACTGGACTCGGTTGGCTTTTGGCAGCTCCGTCACAATTATAAGAAGAGATAATGAATCAATCACACGCAATATATGGGAATCTCTTTGATCTTACAGGGAACCACGCCAGAGCAGACGGACGAAACGTCGGCGGTCGTCATGGCGCGGGTTCCGGACGCCGGTGTGCCAAATCCGACGAAAGTTGTCCGTGCTCTTTCGGATGGATGGATAGAGACACCGACTCTGATGGAGGGGTAAGCGGCGACGATAACAGGCAGCAAGTCTCAACGTTCATGCAACGATGTTCGTGATGGTGTGTAGCGCTTACGTGGCTCAGTAGCTAATCAGCCGTATTCCAGGATAGATGAATGGGCACGTCGATCCCGCCTGCTAGGCATCCACATTCATGGTATCATGGTATGCATAGATGCTCGGAAGGAGACAGTTCGTCGTATGCATTACATGACAGTCGTGGACAGTAGCACAGTGGATCAGACGAACGGGACGAGATGCAGACCCACGCAGCAGCATGCATGCTAGATCATAGTGAGTCATTGGCCGCTGAGAGAAGCGAAGCGAAGCACCCGAACATAGCTCGAGAGCGGAGTTTTTGATCAAGTTGCCATGAAATTTAGTGTCTGGACTTGAAGGTCTGGAATGTGGAGTCTGAAGTGTATTATTGTCTATACTCTCTCGAAAGCCCAATCAACGGATGAGAAGTTGCCGAGCCGAGCGGGACAACCTTCTTTTAGCGTATTACTAATATCAGGCAGCAAGGCATGGATAGCTTGGATGCATAGTCCATTACGCGTAAGGGCAGCGGTCTTTTAGCCAGAAGAGTGAGATGAAGTGCTGCAAAGTGGACACTGGAGGCTGAGATTGGGCCTGTTGAACTTCGTAAACATGCTAAAACCAATTAATCGAATAGGTATTATGTTGGTCCGTCCGCAGCGCAGAACTCCGATCCATCTTTGTTCCCGCGTGCCGACTCGTGTACGAGATGAATGATTCCTACGCAGGTAATCTAGACTAGTTTGGTTTTGGTTATATCGCATCGTATCCTATACAGCCGTGTCGTCGTATACATCGTATGCACCCGTCGCCTCTCCAACTCGCCTTACCGCACTTCCATATACATACAGCCTTCTGTCACTCCAGTCTTCTCCTCTCCCTTTTGACTGCTGCTCTCTCGAAAAGGCAGTTTCACGACTTGTCACACGTGCCTCGGTCATCGCCATTTACTATTCGCCTCCCTGGCTGCTTTTCACCTACCTCAACCAGCCTAAGCGCGTATAACTGCTTTGCCGATCGCATTGACTCGCGGCTTGCTTTTTCGCCTTCTCGCCTTCGTTCGCGACATCTTTATATCTCGCGCTCGCATCTCGTCGTCTTCTTAATTATCGCGACTAATACTGACGGCGCTGGCAAGGACTGGGAGGTAGACGGCCGATCCTCCCCGGATTCTTTAACTTTTCTTTTTCTCCGAGGCGCTGCAGTGTGCACCCAGCTATGTCTGCACCCGATAAGAACACCATCGACAGGCACAGCAGCGACTCCAGTCAACATGTCGTGCAAGATCAAGAAAAGGTCGCTGCCGCTCAAGCCCCTATGCCTGTCGAAGGTGTGCCTGCAGATGGGATGCAGACTCTCGACCTCAGCAAGGCAGATTCCTCTGTCGTCAAGCCCATCGACAGCGAGACCGAAGATGCTTTGGAAAAGCTACCAGTAGATGAACAGCATGTTCTCCGGCGCCAGCTTGTCACTCCAGACGTCAAAGTGACGTATTTCACACTGTATCGCTATGCCACGAGGATGGACCTCATCATTTTGAGCATCGCCGCCTTCTGCGCCATCGCTGCTGGCGCTCTGATGCCCCTGATGACCGTCATTTTCGGCCAACTCGCCGGTACCTTCCAGGGCTTTTTCCAGGGCACCACTCCTGTGTCAGCCTTTCAGGATAGCTTATCTACATACACGTTGTATTTCGTCTACCTGTCCATTGGCGAGTTTATACTCACTTACATTTACACCGTTGGATATTTATACACCGGCGAGCACATGTCTGGCAAAGTGCGAGAAGCCTATCTTGCCGCTATTCTTCGTCAAAACATTGGCTACTTCGACAAATTGGGAGCCGGAGAGATCACCACCAGGATTACGGCCGATTCTAATCTTGTTCAGGAGGGCATGTCTGAAAAAGTCGGATTGACGCTGAATGCTATAGCAACTTTCGTCGCTGCCTTTGTCATCGGTTTCGTGAAATACTGGAAACTCACTCTGATCCTGACCTCGGTTGTTGTGGCCATTGTGACTGTCATGGGCGCTGGCTCAACTTTCATTCTAAAGTACAACAAGCAGTCTCTTTCGTCTTATGCGGCTGGTGGAACGATTGCAGAAGAAGTGCTAAGCTCTATTCGAAATGCCTCTGCCTTCGGAACTCAGGATAAGCTGGCTAAGCAGTACGACGAGCATCTGGGTGTTGCGGAGAAGTGGGCTAGGAAAATGTCCATTACGCTCGCATGCATGCTTGGGAGCATGATGTGTATCATCTACCTGAACTATGGGCTGTCCTTCTGGCAGGGTTCTCGCTTCCTCGTGGCTGGCGAAATGAACTTGTCGTCCGTCATTACCATTCTTCTGGCCATCATGATCGGCGCATTTTCTCTTGGCAATGTTGGCCCATGGATCAAATCATTTTCCACTGCTACTGCCGCCGCTGCGAAGATTTTTTCGACTATCGACCGTGTTTCTCCAATCGACGGTACACTGAACGAAGGTCTCATCCCTGAATCTGTCGAAGGCACTGTTGAACTCCGAAACATCAAGCACATATACCCTTCCCGACCAGAAGTTGTTGTTATGGAGGATGTTAGTCTAATGGTCCCGGCTGGCAAGACAACAGCCCTGGTCGGCGCTTCTGGATCTGGCAAGAGCACAATTGTAGGCCTGGTGGAACGCTTCTACGATCCTGTCGGCGGCGAGGTATACCTTGATGGCATTAATATGAAAGACCTGAATGTCCGATGGCTTCGTCGCCAAGTCGCTCTCGTTCAGCAAGAGCCTGTCCTATTCGCGACTACTGTCTTCAAGAACATCAAGCACGGTCTGATCGGTACAGAACACGAGCATCTTGACGATGAAAAGGTTACTGAGCTCGTACATGACGCTGCGAAGATGTGTAACGCTCACGATTTCATTACCGCGCTTCCAGAAGGCTACGAGACGAATGTCGGAGAAAGAGGCTTCCTCATGTCTGGGGGGCAGAAGCAGAGGATCGCGATTGCCCGAGCTGTTGTCAGCAATCCACGAATTCTGCTTCTAGACGAAGCAACATCTGCACTCGATACGAAAAGTGAAGGTGTCGTCCAGGCTGCCTTGGACAAAGCTGCAGAAGGCCGGACAACAATCGTCATTGCCCACCGTCTATCAACCATCAAGAATGCCGATAACATTGTCGTCATGTCCCGAGGAAGGATCGTCGAGCAGGGCCTGCATGATGACCTCCTCGAAAAGAAGAATGCCTATTACAATTTGGTCGAGGCTCAGAGAATCGCAGCCAAAACCGAGACAGAGCTCACCGAAGAAGAGGAAGACTCTGCCAGCTCAACTGACGAGAAAGAAAAGATAGAGTTGAATCTGTCTCGGTCAAGATCTAAGAGCCGTGGATACGAGGAAGCAGAAGAAGACGTAGCTCTTCGATTGAAGAAATCAAAGTCCGCAATGTCACAATCAGAGATTGCGCTGCAGAAGCGCCCAGGCGACAAGGAGCAGACTTATTCACTTTGGACTATCATCAAGTTCATCTGGAGTTTCAATCGCTCAGAATGGCATCTCATGGCTTTCGGTCTCGTCATGGCAGCAATTGCAGGAGGTGGCAATCCTGTCCAGGCAGTCTTCTTCTCTAAAGCTATCGTATCTCTGTCGTATCCTCCAAACCAATATGACCAACTCCGGAGCGATGTGAATTTCTGGGCTGCCATGTATCTCATGCTCGCTTTCGTCATGTTCCTCTCTTGGACACTGAACATGTCTACCTTTGGATATTGTTCAGAAAAACTGATACACAGGGTACGAGACAAGGCATTCAGAACAATGCTACGACAAGATATTGGCTATTTCGACAGGGAAGAAAATACCGCTGGTGCTTTGACTTCAACTCTTTCGACACAGACTACAAGCTTGGCCGGTCTCAGTGGTGCTACTCTTGGAACGATACTCAATTCCGTGTCCACCTTGATTGGCGCATTTGCGTTGAGTCTCGCCATAGCTTGGAAACTAGCTATCGTCTGTATTGCTACAGTCCCAGTCCTCCTGGCATGCGGTTTCTTTCGCTTCTGGCTTCTCGCGAGGTTCGAGCATAGATCAAAGAAGGTCTACGAGAAGTCTGCAAGTTTTGCTTGCGAAGCTACTGCCGCCATTCGCACCGTTGCATCTCTTACACGAGAACAAGATGTCTGGGACCAGTATCACGAACAAATCGTCGACCAGGGTAGAAGGAGTCTGAGGTCTGTGCTCAAGTCTTCTGTTCTTTACGCCTTGTCTCAGTCGCTCATCTTCTGCTGCACTGCTCTCGGCTTCTGGTGGGGAGGAACGCTCCTGGCGCGAGGCGAGTTGGGTCTTTTCCAGTTCTTTGTTTGCTTTTCGTCTGTAATTTTTGGCTCTCAGTCTGCCGGCACCGTCTTCTCATTCGCTCCAGACATGGGCAAAGCCAAGCACGCTGCCACCGAGCTCCTGAATCTGTTCAACCGTGTCCCCTCAATCGACACCTGGTCGAACGATGGCGAGGAGGTCCAGACGATGGAAGGCAGCATTGAGTTCCGCGACGTACACTTCCGCTATCCCACCCGTCCAGAGCAGCCTGTGCTTCGTGGCCTCGACCTGACCGTCAAACCTGGCCAATATGTTGCACTTGTCGGCGCAAGTGGCTGTGGTAAGAGTACCACTATCGCCATGCTTGAGCGCTTCTATGACCCTCTGGCTGGTGGCGTTTATGTCGACGGCAAAGAGATCTCGTCCCTCAATATTAACCAGTACCGAAGCTTCCTGGCGCTCGTCAGCCAAGAACCTACGCTGTACCAAGGTACAGTGCGTGAGAACATCCTGCTTGGGGGCGATCGAGAGGACATCACGGATGAGCAGATCGAAAAAGCCTGCAAGAACGCGAATATCTACGACTTCATCATGTCGCTACCGTAAGTCTCATACTCACAAAGGCTTTAATCGCTTGCTAATCAACGTGTAGTGAGGGCTTCAACACTGTCTGTGGTAACAAAGGCGCCTTGCTTTCTGGAGGTCAGAAACAGCGAGTAGCCATTGCTCGTGCCCTCATCCGCGATCCAAAGATCCTCCTTCTCGACGAAGCCACCTCCGCGCTCGACTCGGAGTCTGAAAAGGTGGTACAAGCCGCACTCGATGCTGCGGCCAAAGGTCGAACCACAATTGCCGTGGCACATCGTCTTAGCACGATCCAAAAGGCCGATGTCATCTACGTCTTTGACGCAGGCCGGATAGTAGAAAAGGGAACCCACCAAGAACTAATATCAAGAAAGGGCAAATATTTTGAATTGGTCAGCCTACAGAGTCTAGAAAAGATGCACTAGAGGAATATTGCGGTATTTGTTCGATCATGATGGTGATGTCACGACCCTGGGGGCGTTTTTTGAAGCATTTTACGAGCGGGCTTATGTATATATTGATACACAGGACACGAGGGTGGTGTTTTGAGTTGCTTAGATATACATCATTAATACCTTTTAATGGGAATATAGGTCATACTCATTTTGCGTCCGAGATTAGTGAGCTGGTACTGATCATCGTCTAAGACTAACCTCACCTTAGCCCCAGGTACTGTATTAATGTCGATGAATGCGTCCCTATATTTAGTTGATGCCTCACACGTTAGGCTCGCTTTGCCCCGCTAGCGAACAGACGTCCTCGCGATACATTTAATACAACCTTCTGAAGCATTCGCACACTTGACACCGCACCGCTCGCAATGCCCATATCGATTGGCCTCGAAGGCTCCGCAAATAAACTAGGTGTCGGCGTAATCTCCCATCCAGCTCCAGGGAAAACGCCCATCATCCTCGCCAACCTCCGCCACACCTATGTCTCTCCACCTGGCGAGGGCTTCTTACCCAAAGACACGGCGAAGCACCACCGCTCATGGGTTGTGCGGCTCGTCAAACAATCCATGAAGCAGGCCAAGGTGAAGGTGTCGGATATTGACTGCATCTGCTACACGAAAGGCCCAGGCATGGGCGCGCCACTTCAAAGTGTTGCTGTCGCAGCGCGCACGCTGAGCATCCTATGGGACAAGCCCATCGTAGGCGTGAACCACTGCGTAGGCCGTACGTACAGCTCTCTCAGTCATTCCCAAAACATTACACCATATTACATGCCATGAAATCCTTCTGACACATGTCTTGTGCGTGGTTTAGACATCGAAATGGGCCGCGCCATCACCGGCGCCTCCAACCCGGTCGTCCTCTACGTCTCCGGCGGCAACACCCAAGTCATTGCCTATTCCTCGCGACGCTACCGCATCTTCGGCGAGGCCCTCGACATCGCCGTCGGCAACTGTCTCGACCGCTTCGCGCGCACGCTGAACATTCCAAACGATCCGGCGCCAGGGTATAATATCGAGCAGCTGGCGAAGAAAGGCCGGGTGCTCGTCGACTTGCCGTATGCCGTCAAAGGCATGGACGCGAGCTTCTCGGGGATACTAGCCAGTGCGGACGTCTTGGCGGGGCAGATCGGGGATGACGTGCCGGAAGGCAAGCGATTGAGAGACGAGGAGACGGGGAAGTGGGTGACGAAGGAGGACTTGTGTTTCTCGTTGCAGGAGACGGTGTTTGCGATGCTGGTGGAGATTACGGAGCGGGCGATGGCGCATGTGGGCAGTGCGCAGGTGCTTGTGGTGGGTGGGGTGGGATGCAATGAGCGTTTGCAGGAGATGATGGGCGTCATGGCACGGGACCGCGGTGGTGGTGTGTTTGCAACGGATGAGCGGTTTTGCATTGATAATGGAATTATGATTGCGCATGCTGGACTGCTGGCTTGGGAGACGGGTGTGAGGACGGAGTGGGAAGACACGACGTGCACGCAGAGATATAGGACTGATGAGGTCTATGTTGGGTGGAGGGATTGAAAGGGCTGTTCCTCGTCTTAACACTTTGCCGAGAGGATGGTTCGGAAGGAAGAGGACAGGACGAAGACGGAGATGATAGCCCTCTAGCGACCACAGCAGCAGATCTCGAGGGGCAGGAATACATTCCCACCCTCAGGCAGGAACTGTGGTTCTGCTTCGATGAGCATAAAGTCCCAACAGCCTGGAAGCGCGGGCATATCACTTCTGACGTCAACCTGTCGATGAGCATCCCACAGCATGCCTCCAGGGACTACCAAAGAAGAGACCCTCTACCACGGTAGGGACAAGTACAGGTCGGATGCTATAGATGCCTGAATTTTGGCACTCACATCATAGCAGACCCGCGACTACGACAGATCATGACTCACACAAATCAAAGACCAACGAAGCCGGAAGTGTGGTCAAACCATCCTGCGCAGAGTTCGCAAGCCTAGCTATAGTAATAACAAAGCAAGTTCCCTTGCTGAGTCACACCTCAACCTGTCCATCCATGTTGATCGGATCTCGGGAGCGTCCGCTTTGTCAAGTCATGTCAAGTCCAAGAACCCTTTTTCTTCCCATTTTGGCTAAACAGGCGAATATGCTACAGAATGCTCCCGTGGCAAATTTTCTAGATCTCGCCCTATGTCGCGCTGACGGAACGTTTATCTATATCCCACTTACACTGAATCGAACCAAAGTCATGTAGACGGGGTCGAGTCGGTCGAGTCATGCATGGAATATCCAGTGGGTCCGCACAGCGCGCCAAGATGCCTGTTCTGTCTGTCTGACTGATCAAGCGAAGGGTGCATCTCCAATCATTAATTCCTATGCCATTACTAACGTTATGTCCCAAGTAGCCTCCCCGGTACAGCCAAGCATGTAGCATGCGTACACTATGCTGAAAAAGTCAAGTGTGTAGGGGTGGCAGCCTGTCAGCTCGGTTTGACGAGGCTGAGGCTGAGGCTGAGGCTGATGAGCCTGAGATGTTATCATCCATCCAAGCCTTGGCTCGAAGATGACCCCTTGCCATACACCACTCTGACGTCTATCCATGTCTTTTCACGACTTTTCCCGATTCCGCCGCGGTTGGATTCGAGATTAGACGTAGCATGGCGGTTTAAATGGCCTGGGAAGCCCTGGGGCTGAAAGTCGTTCCTGAGACTGTGCGATACTAAATACCTTACAGAAAGAAGAGTGGCCTGTATGATATAGCAATCGCCCTTAGAAGAGACACGAGTCACGAATATGGCGCCGTCGAAACGTACAACGCACAGTAAGTCGCGGCGCGGGTGTTCAAACTGCAAAAGGAGACACGTAAAAGCACGATACCCCCTTTTCCCATTACCCTCCCACTTACGAACCAGACAACTAACATCTCATCAATGGACTCAGTGCGACGAACAAGGCCCACCATGCGCAAACTGCGTCGCCCGCAGATGCAGCAGCACCTGTTCCTACAACGGCAGTCCGCCACGCTCCTCCCACTACAAAGCCCCCTCTCCGCAACTCTCGCCCTCGCCTATCATCATCTCCAATGATAACGACAACAACAACGCAACATCGACGCCCGCGCGCCACATGCTCGACCTCGAACTCCTCCACCACTGGACGACACACACATACGCAACCATGGTCGCCGTGCCCCAAGACGCATTCTACCTCGCCGTCGAGGTGCCCCGTGGCGGCATGCAATACTCCTATATGCTCCACGGCATCCTGGCCATATCCGCGCTCGAAAAGGCGTATCTGACCAGTACCAACAACGACATCAACAACACCAGCAGTAACACAGCGACAACAGCGACATACCTCCGCGCCGCAATGGAATACTACGACACCGCCAGCGCCTCGTTCCGCGGCCAGATAGGCGCCATCACAGAGCATAGCGCGCACGTCTTTTACATGTTTAGCATGCTTGTTGGTATGATCAATCTTGCGATTCCGCAATTTCGCAACAAAAACAACAACAACCCCGCCATCGACGACGATGTTACAGAGTGGTGCAGCAGCGGTAGTAGCAGCGTACTGGGCCATATAGGCACGCTGTTCGCGCTATACGTACACGGCGCCGCAATGGCAGTCGGGCATTGGGACTGGCTGATGACATCCCCGCTAGCACCCAGTCTGGTATCTGCAATGGAACTGATCAGGATGGCGCCGCGCGGGGACTTGGACGCGGATACACAGCTTGCGATGGCGCGGGTTGCGGAGGTTGTTGCGCTTGCTACCACTCCTACCCCTATTCCTACCACCACCACCACCGACACAGGCACGACGACGGCGACAATACCCCCACAACCACAACCCCCACAAGACCTAACCTACCCCCTCGCCCTCTCCTCGCTCAACCTCTGCTTCGTCGAAACCGCCAAAGACGCAATCAAGTTCTTCTGCATCTCGTTCCCCTTCGCGGCAGGAAGGGCGTATACACGTGCGCTGGCGCGGCGCGAGCCGCTGGCGTTGTTCTTGCTTATGCATTGGGCTGTGCTGTTGGATCGGATGGGGAGGGAGGCGTGGTGGGCGAGGGCGGTGGGGAGGAGGCTTGTGGTGGAGATTGCCGGGGTGTTGGAGCGGGAGGGGGGGTTTGAGGGGTGTGAGGCCTGGTGGGAGGGGATTGAGTGGTGTAGGGGGAGGGTTGGGTGTGGGAGGGGGGAAAGGGGAGAGGGTAGTGGTGGGTTGATTGGGGGGTGGGAGATGTGAGTGAGTGGTGGAGTTGCGGATTCGATTACGCTGGTTTCTGGGTCGACGAATACGAGCACCACTACTGTCCTGAGCAAATCAGGAATGCTTTCTCCACCGAAAAGATAAACTCGAGACTAATCGTCGCATACTTTACATCACTCGGGAACCCATATACACCTCCAGTTATCTCAAACGTTACACTCGCTACAAACTCATCCCACGCTCGATACAGTGAACTCAAACGGCAACAACTCCTTCCTCGCACCTGGGACGTGGTCATTACAGGATCACCTTACAGCATGGAATGGTTGAATGTTCGTCAGGAATGGTGACGTCGAGCTACTTTGGCGAGAGAGCTTGTGTGGAGACCGAGTCGGTCAGATACATGTTCGCTCTCGATATATATCACGGCCGGCAAGCTGTGAACGACAAGTCAGCATCGCCAGAGGACACTGTCTAGCATTCTTTGCTGGCGTGCTTTATGTTTACCTCGTAAGATCTTAACTCTACGCTGAGAATGAGGGCATATATAGCTTACCAAGCTGTTCGTCATCAGTAAGGCAGGACGAGTGCTGTGATGGAGCGGTCTGGTGTGTCATTGATGACCACGTCGATTGTCAATACAGTGATGGAAGGCACGGTAAGGTCAGCATGTAACTCGAACACCAGTCAAATGTACCCATATCTACATAGTGTCGCAGTCCCATTCGGATTCAGACTGTCTACCCCGACGGCAAGTGTGAGCCGGAGTTCCCAACGGGAGAGACATCGATTGAAGTCTGGATTTTCACTGCCGCTGTCTTTGCTATCTCTGGTATTGCACTCGTGGACTATGGTTTATCAACATGTCACTGAAAGTCTTGTGGCTCAAATGTCCTCGCTGAAGGATCAAGTTTTCACTGGCAAGCCATGGGTTCACGGGAGATGAGCCTCCATGTCGGTCTATTGCAATACACCTGTATCACACTTCCCACTACCAAGCGACCGCCCCTTTTGGTGTATTCGAGAGAAATGGATCTCGCAAACCTGGGCAAGACCAACCAAGTGCCGAGCACCTCCTACTCAAAACACACAACAGCACTTCCTCACCGTATAACTAGATCAAAACCCCCCAGCTCAAACCCGACATATCATCCACCACATCAATCGCTCAAACAGCCATCTACACAAAGCATCACATATCCCCACCTATTACTTTTTCGTAATACCAAAAAAAAACCCCCAGACCGTACCCAGCCAAAACCCAAACAAATGGACCCAAAAGACACAGAACCATGCACCCCAAACGTCAAAATCTACGACATGGGCAAGACCAAAGACATCGAATACGACGTCCGCGACCAACTCCGCACCCTCATCCCAGACTCCATCAACACCGTCCACATCCTCAACTGCCTCCCCACCGCCGCCCTCACCCTCAACCTCCTCCCCGGCACCATGCTCCCCCGCGCCATCATCCGCGACACCCGCGACTCCATCCTCCGCATGCAACGCGCCCTACGCGCGCCCGCCCAGCCGCTCGCAAAATGGCTCCTCCTCGTCATGGACTTCAGCGACGCCGCCTACGCCATCTTCAACCTCCGCCCCGCCAACACGGCCAGTCTCAAGCTCGCCTTCGAGCTCTGGATCATCTGGCTCTGGCTCGAGACGTTCAACAAGTGCTCGCGGAAAGCCGTGCTGTATCATCTCCAGAACGGCGTCGCGCCGGACGTCATTGTCGAGCATATGCGTGCCGCCGACCAGGTTGACGCCCATGATCATTGGGATATTCGCCAGAAGCTGCGTGATGGGCTGCCTGGTGGTTGGGTGGATGATTTGGCGCTGGATGTGCTGGATGATCAGCCTGCGTTTGTGAGACAGGCGCAGAAGGACCTGGAGGATGCGCGGCTCCTTGCTTTTGTGGCTATACAGGCTCGGAATGAGGAGCAGTCGAGGCAGGACATGGAGCGGGTGAGGCGGCGGAGGGAGGCGCTGCGTCGGACGATGACGCACTGAGTAGTTTGGGAGCCTATCCATAGTCTTTTGTCCAAATCATTCGTTTTTGGATACTTTTTGTCTGTTGGTATCGGAGATTCCATCCAAGGTCCATAGCCTGTTAACCATATATCCTACGTATTCAGTACGCCGAAATCGCGGTTCGTCGCCCTCCCTACACCCTTTTCTACGTCTACATCTACGACCAGACACTTATACCCTCAACCTCATACTCACCCCCTTACACTCCCCTGTACTCATAAACCCCCTGTTAGCCCTCCACCATAACCCATCCCAGCCCATCCTTACCCTCGCACAAACCCTCATTTATCAACCCTGCTACGTAAATAACCCACCCTTTGATCTTTACAAACACCCACAGCACACCCTCTCCCACTCCCCAGTCGCAATCCGAACAAGCCAAAAACTTCATTTTGCTCTCCCGCCACACCAGTCTCCACCCAACCAAACCCCACAGAACCACACACCACATCCCCAACCCAGCCCTAATCCAAACACCACACGCATCCACAAACACACAAACACCAGCAAGGCAACATGTAGCATCACGACATCACCCACACACAATCACAAAGACTAGGCACCAGGAAGCAAGTTTCAGAAAGCACACGCATTGGATATATTGCTACACTCTCTACTGCGGGGGCTGTTGGAGGAGGGCCAAGCGGGCACGAATCGACTCGCGCCGAGCCGCGAGCGTCATGCGAAGCCTGGCGTCGTTATCGAGAACGACGCGCTCGCCCAGACGATACGCCCTGATATCGGCGTCTGCCTCGCGCAGCCTGCGCTCGGCCCTCTGCTCCGAGGCCCTCGCGTCGGCGGCAAGGGCGGATGCGGCGGCGGCGGCGGAAGTGGCGGTGGAGGAGGAGGAGGAGGAGGAGGGGGAGGTGGTGGTGGTGGTGGAGGGGTGTTGGCGGCGGCGACGGAGCAGCTCCCTCTCCTCCATCTCCGCGAGATGGGACATCCACTGCTGTTGCTTTGCCAGGTATCTGGCGCGGCGCAGCTTGATGACGACCTCGTCGCGCTTCTGGGCCCACTCGGTGAAGACGACGGCCCAGGCGGCGACGCACTGGGCGGTGGAGGGGTCGCACTTCTTGATGCGCTCGTCCTCGGTCATGCGGATGCCCCGGAGGATGCCGAGGCAGGCGGTGCGCTCGGCGGCGTCGAGGCCACCACTATTGCAGGAAAGCAAAGTCAGCATAAGGGAATAAATATTTCGCGGTGTTAAGAGTGGGGAAGAGTGGGGTAGGGGGGAAAGGAGAGGGAGAAAGAGAGGAGAAGAGATAGGGAGAGGGAGAGGGAGAGGGAGAGGGAGAGGGGGAGAGAAGAAACTTACTTCAGGAGTTTGGTGCGAATCTCCAGCCTGATCTTGTCGTTCTCCTCGTCAATCAGGGATGTCAGTGCGTTGCGGGCCTCTTCGGCTTCGAGGAACTTCTTGACGTCGACGGATCCGTCCCTGTTCAGCTTTGCGCCGGGGTTTGCTTCTTCTCGGAGGAAGTACTGTGCGATGAACCAGAGCGAGACCTCGTTGGTTTGGTCGGACCATTCGTTGCTGCGTGCGCGGTGCACAAATTCCTTGTGCTTGCTGGACTGTGTGGCTTTGTCAGAGTCCATTGAAGAAGTCGAGGTGCGGGCGGCGTCGGAGTCTGCACCATACACGGTGTCTGACATTTGGGATGATGATTGCGGCATGGAAGAAGTTGTGATAGATCGTTGGGTTATTGGAGGGCGACGAGCTTCAGTGGGGGAGACGGGGCCAGTAGGACCGGTTACAGAACGCATCGATCCAAAGGACGTGCTAGCATCTCGGGGACCTGCGATGGCACCAGCGTTGGAGTCGATGACTGTCAAAGGTGATGTGGGGCTCATCTGACAAGTAACGTGTTAGCTAAAGCGGAAGGATGTGAGGTAGACTTAGGGCGATGCTTACGTTGCTACCACTACCGAAGGACGAAGTTGGAGACTTTCCTTCATATCGAGATCTCTGAGTATCAAAGTCAAGCAGGTCGGGCGACTGAGGGAGCTCTTTGGCAGTGCACATCATGTACAGCTGGCCGAGACTCTCACGCACAAAGAGGTATGCCTGGCGATAAGGGTCCTTCTCCCCGTATGTATCAGACAGGTGGAATTCTGGGAAAGGGTTGTTAGGATCTTTGGAGACGATCGGATGCTCATATCTCTCTGCGATAGTGACAGCAGTAGCAGGCTTGCGGTCCCTCTGGACGAACGTAGGGCCATCGGCGCCAAACAGAGGAGCATCATCAGGTCGTGGAGTTCTGTCAGGGTCATCATAATCACCGCCTCGGGCTCTGGCTTTGCCCTTGTTGCGTGGCGTGCGCTGTCCTTCTGCCTGCTGTGAAGACTCTTGTCCCTGGGATACGCTGCCAGTGAATAAGTCATCGACGTCTGTGGGACTGGCTGTCTGGGTGCTGGTCCAGATTCCAAGACCGAAGTCTCCAGTGCCAGAAATGCTGAGCTGCGAGAGATGCTGACCAAGAGTAGGTCGCGCAGGCGGAGCACGATTGACCTTGATCGGACTGGAAGGATCTGGCATATTCAAATTGAGCTGTTCATCATCATCATCACTGCCTCCTTGGTATTCGAGGATATGAGCAGGTAGTTGCATGTTATCATACTCGAACGGGTCAGAGTAGGTGCGCTGATGGTGCTGAGTACGATTGCTAGTAGAAGCAGAGTGAGAGTAAGGATCACCAGACGGTTCATAGGACGGAAGCGGACGCCTTCCTTGGTCTGACATTGCAGCAGATCGAAACGTGCCTGCCAGTGTTAGTCGAGGAATTGTTTTGAGGTCAAGCACAGCTTTCACACTGCTATAACAGCGCATCAAAGAAGCACACATACCTGAGATAGGAACTGGGAGTCGCGATCGGCGATTCTGGACAGGTCGAGATGGAAGTGCTGTTGGTAACTGCGATTCTCTGACACCAAGACTGCGTAGTCTTCGAGCAGACACTTGTCTTTCTTCCTCGTTGCGATAGACGCCAGGAACTCTATCGTCACGGCCGGTGTAAGCGGGGTCAAAGTCTGGAAATGGCTCTGTTGGGGCGTCGACGGAAATGTCAGACGATACGGCTGACCTTGCTTGTTCAAATTCTCCCAGAGCAGAGAGCATTCTTTGTTCTTCGATTGCGCGTGCTGATGGTCTTGCACGATCAACTCGCAGGGGTCGACCTTGCTGTTCTCTCTCGATGTTGTCTGACATGATGAAGGTGGTAAACAGCCAGAAACTGTGACGAAACTTGGTTGGTGAAGAAGGAAACACAAGAGGGGGAACACGCAAGGCGGTTATACTATGAAAATTTTCTTGTTATTCTTTGCTCACCGCGACAAGCACAGGTCCCCCTGGAACAGGCGGCGAGTGCGTGCTCAGTGCCAGCGGGCCAAGTGAACAAAGATCTTTGGCAAAATTATAGAATTCACTAGGCCCGTGCGCGTCAAGTAGAACCATGATATGGATTGAAAGACTGTGGAACATGAAAACGCTACTCCCTTTGACCTCAATGGTAGATGCTCGCTGGTCGTGCTGCGTGAGCCCGGAAAAGAAACTTTTGCTATGCACCCTGCGCTATGTTGAAATGCTCATTCATCAATGCAACCGACTTTTACTCCAGAAATGTAAAGAGATTCGTATGTACAACGTTGAGAGCGCGGTCGGCGTCGCGCTCCTCGATGACGCATGATATGTTGATCTCGCTCGCCCCTGAAGGAGGTTAGCGCCAAACAAGGTGAATCTGGTGACGATGAGGTGTGGACTTGCCCTGCGAGATCATCTCGATATTGATGTTATTGTCACCCAGGACACTGAAGAACTTGCCACTGATACCAACCATGTTCTTCAACTGCTTCCCAACGAGACTGACAATGGCCATGTCGGGTACGATATCGATAGTGCCGACTTCCCCCAAGTCCTCGACTGCTCCACGAAGGTCAGCATGGGCAATACTCCATTCATCCTCGCCCCCGCCTGCTAGCAGAGCTGCTTCGGAATGGATTGCCATGGACACGTGCACCTCAGACGAGGAGATAAGGTCTACACTAAGGTGCCAGCGGTCAAGGATAGAAAAGATGTTCATCAAGAACCCATGGGCACGTGTACGCTTGTTAGAATGCACGTTGAGAACAACTATGTGATGTTTAATGGTCACAGCGGTTGGACGCTTTGGCTTGCCGAAAGAAACACTGGACAGGAGCGTGCTGGAACGGCTTCTAATCATACGAGCCTCGGGCACTGGAGTCCCGGGGATGCTCTTTTCAACCTCGGAGATTGCATCTGGGAAGATGATAGTTCCGGCACTTCGAGGATTGATAACGTTCTTGATCCGGATTGGAATGCGAGCGCGGATTACCTGCTCCATGGTAAAAGGGTGAATGACTTCCGAGCCATAGAAGGTCAATTCGGCAGCCTCAGACGGAGTCACGGAGTCAATCAGACGAGCAGTTGGTACCTTGCGTGGATCGGCGGTGAAGATACCATCCACTTCCTTCCAGATCTGCAGCTCTTCTGCCTGAATGCCGATCGCAACGAGCGCGGCACAAAGATCCGTATAGCCACGTCCGATGACATTCAATAGTCCTCCAGGCACATTTCCAAAGAAACCTGTGATGACAGGTATCTTTTCTCCGCACGCAAAGACTTCCTGCGCGAGACTTGCGGCTAGATCAGAGTAGAACTTCTCGTTGAGTCCCTTGGGTGTAGGGGTATAGAGCACCTCAGACATGTCCACATATTGTGCATTGACTCCGCGGGCCTGCAATAGGGCAGCCATATAGCGGCAGCTCAGTTTTTCTCCTTTGCTGATAATCTTGTCTTCGACTCTCACGCTGACCTCCTCCAAGTGGTGGGCTGACTCCAAGATCCTGGTCAAATTCTCACATTCAGCTTTTACACCCGCAGTATATTCAGCAAGTATTTCCGGGGAGCCAAAAGTATCGGCGCCGGCTGCAACATGGTCGTTGAGAATCGCGTCGACAATCGGGCCATAGTTGCTGGTGGACTTCTTCTCGGCCTCGCGAGCTGCACGGAGGAGGCTGCATGCGTGACGCCACATTAGCCAATCTGCACCATGCAAGATGACTCTGCGAGAAATTGACTCACCGGTTCGTGGTGCCCTCAAGCTTGGTGTTGTTGCTTCTAGCAGAGCATACCACGGCAATCCGTTTGTTCCCAGCGAGGCCAGCTCTGCACGCGGTCAGCAATTGGCCATGGAGGAGAATCCATGTTTTCGTCTAAACTCACTGTACAATCTCGGCAATATTCTCCGCAAACTTGCCGACGCTTGTGCCCCCGAACTTGAGCACTACCCAGCCTCCGGGCAAATGCTTTTCCTCTTGGTGACTCGTTAACCGCTCGATTCCGTTCATGGCAGCGGCCATTGCATGTGTGTATATGGAGGAGGTATGGAGGTATTGAGGGGTGAAGATGTGCTATGGAGCAAGCGCGTGAGGACTGTGATGTCGTGAAAATAATCAGGAGAGGGTTCAGTTTATGAAGTGTATAGGTGTAGAGGGGCATTTTTCGTCTAGAGGGGTCCTCGGCCCGCCAAGACCCACTGATGAGTCTTCATGAGTCTGACAAACCCCACAAAATGGCGCACCTACATAATACGCGCCGACCGTCCCATCCGAGGCTCCCCGGATTCAAAAGGTTTCGACGATTAATAATGTGGATCATAACAGAAAGGCTCAGGCTGGAACAAGTGTAGCCTGAGGCCGACGAGATACTGGACCGGGGGACCCGGGGATCCTGGAAAGTCAAGCAATTGGATACCAGGATATATACAATGAAAGTACAGTATACAATGACAGGATACGATAAAAGTATGCAACAAAAGGTATACAGCGAAGTTATACAACAAAGGTATACAATGAATGGATACAATGAAAGAATACATATAATGAATGATACGATACGATACACATCCGCCTGTTTTATGAACAACCTTTCTATTGAAACAACCACCCCAGCCTCGCGACCAAGACGATTCCAGCTTCCGATAAGTTATTTTCTACTTCTCACATCTTATCCTCTCCTTCTCTTCATTGTGGCATCTTTTCAGGTGTATCTTAGCCACTCCGAGTGTGTGTAGTGATAGCATCCCCTCATTTTCATTCACACATTAGGGGGCTGCCCGTGGGTAGAACCTCGTCCACCTTCGCTCACACTACCCAACTCTGGGCTCGTCGAACGTGCCCCTGCGGATCCTCTAAAGAGTGGCGCCACTGGGGATCCGTTTTGCGACGATTGACCGTTCTGTGGCATTGTGGCCGTATCAGGAGCCCCGTTCAACGGATTCATAGGATTTGGGCCTGTCCACATTGACCTCCCGTCCGAACTCATTGACGATGAGTCCTTTTGTGCCAAGGACGATGTTTCTCCTTTTCGAAGCGCGTCCTCAATTGGTCGGCCTGGGGGCATACCCGGGGTTGAGGGCGAGCCTGGGCCTGAGGATATACCATTTGTCGGCGCAACCCCCCCTTTGGACGTGGGCGGCACTGGCGCTGTATTTAGAGACTCCGTCTGATTTACCGCACCTTTGGTATCGACCGTCATGCCCTCGGAATTTCGCCCATAAACGACACATCGCATGGACCCAAAGAGGAATGGGGATTTTTTTGGAAAGTTCATGCTGGGGTTGATACACAATTCCCGCTTAAGCCCGTTATTCTTCTTGTCAGGAGGCACAAAGTCTGTCCTCCATTCGAATGGCGTATTCTTCATATAGGCGGGCTTATCGGAGTTGCAATTGTTGCTCTGCCACATCTGGCAAGTGACATCTGTCTCTCCGTCTGCTTCGAGCTTTACACTTTTGAAATTCTCCCACTTGAAGCAATTGTCGTCATTCGGTTCGGAACTACCGGGGTTAGGTTTGAAACTACCGGGGTTAGGTTTGTAATCCTGCAGACAGCCTACCTCCGGATAGTAGCTGACGCAGGGTCCGCCTGGCTTGCAGTCTTCCGCGAAGACAAATGGAATGGCGAGGAAAGCCGCAAGCAAGACGGACGGCTTGAGGGAAGACATGATGCGAAAGAGTGTGGCTTCTAAAAAAAAAATTGGATTAATCATCGGACACACAAATGTTTCTGCTGAACAGCAGGTAGATAGAAACCTACATAATTTTTTTTTTCCGGGGGGAATGACCTGGTGTGGAGTGACTTGGGCTCCTTGTGATGTAGAACCTTCTTACTTGCCACGGCCATAGCTGTCTTTATATAAACATATATGTCTATATGTGTCTATATGTGTCTATCATGCTCAGGACTGTATGAGGTATTAGCTGGGGGGTTTTTTTTTATCGCAATGAAATTAAGGGCTGCTTGTGCATGCGCGTTTGAATGTCACTGTTTGGTGTGCTGTTGTGTGGTAAGAGCGTGCCCAGACCAACTCGGGCGCTATTCATAATAATCCGAAGTTATTTCGCGCAGAATCATTCAGACTGCGACACTCGACTCGAGGGCTCATCCTCGTTTACACTGGTGTTAGAAACGTCCGTCTTGGCATGCCGAACTGCCGAATCCATGTCGTAGGATTCAGTGACCTCACTGCCCCTCGTAAGTGACTGTGTCAACTTCAGCACGACCATCTCGACGTTGCCAGACTTCACCGGTAAATACTAAAGACAACTCAATCAACCAGGATGCTCGAGGCGGCTATTTGTATTTCGAGTGACATGAAATGAAACATACAATCATGATACCCCTAAGGCGCCACGCTATGCATATGGCCGTCTGAAAACAGCCTCCTGAGCCTGTGCCTAGGATGTCAACCAGAAAGGCCAATAACACCGTTTGCGCCCAATAGCGGTCAAAAATGTTCACGCCGCGGTGCTCCGTTCGCCAGGAAATTCACTCATCTTCTGTAGAGGTTTCTGTCTCCCCTGTCGCGGTCTCTCCTATCCCTATCTCGGCGATCTGGACTTCTGCTCCTCGTCCGCCGCTGCAGACCTTGATCGCGGTAGCGCTCTCTTTCCACGTATTCATCTCTCCTAGGCCGATCGTCTCGTGACGGTGGTGGATCATCTCTCGAATCATGTGATCCACGTCGCATCTCTCTGGTGGGAAGCTCATCGCGGTCTTTAGACACTCGGTCTCGCATATAGCTTGGTACGTAGGTATCGACATTACTCTTACCAGGCCCATTGCGAGCAGGTCCCCCTCGGTCCCATTCACGATCACGGTCGCGACCCTCCGGGCCACGATATACTGGGGGTGGGTTTGGGAGAGGATGACGACCCTCTCCCGGTGGCGGTGGAAGGGGATGTCTGTAACCTGGGTCATCTCTACGTCGACTTTCATCTTGCCATTGTTGGCGTGGAGGCCCGTCTCTGCGATCGTTACGGTCGTATCCCCGGCCATAATTCCCTGCTCGAACTCCGGGCGGCGGCCCTGGCGGACCTCTTTCATAGCCACGAGGTCTTTGATCCCTCTCACCATTCATCCATTGACCATTAGGTACGCCGGGCGGTGCTTGTGGCGGACCTCCACTGGCTCCGAAAGACTCACCATTTGGCCCCATGCCAACCGTTCCACCAGCAGGTGCTGGTGGGAGAGCAGCCTTGTTACCACGGGTGCTTCGCCGGTCGAGTTCATGTGAATCCTGAAAGGTAGGGAGGTCCTCTGGCTTGGCTGGTAGAGGGTCAGACTTGAAATAGGGATGTTGTAACGCATCCAGAGCATTTATACGTTTACGCCAGTCCAGCTTGAGAAGCTCTTGCAGTAGAGATATTGCGGAGGAGCCTTGCCTACAAGATATATGTCAGCAGTGTTGGTGTGATGTTGGATGCGATGTATACATACTCCCTAAACGTTTGAGACAGAGTACCTTTGCGAAGCGGGAATTGCTTTATCCCTTCGCAGCCAGGCAGCTGATTCCACCCAGGCATATTAGCGTCAGTCGGTGATCCGACTAGATCAAAGATGAGATGAATCTGGTTCAAATCGCTGTTCCCCGCCATGATGGGTTTCCGTTTGAACATCTCCCCAAACACACACCTAGTCAAAGTTAGCTGTCGAAGAGGCCGTACGGTCGAGGGTCGTACCCAGCGCCCCACATGTCAATCGCCGTCGTGTACTTCCGCAATGATAGCAATAATTCTGGCGGCCTGTACCATCTCGTCACGACCAGCGCGGTATACTCTCTGTTGGCCTCGCCAGCACCTCTTCCTGCTCTGGGTACCTCCTCGTCATAATGTCTTGCAAGTCCAAAGTCCGCAATCTGGAGGATGCCCTTGTTGCTGATAAGCAGATTCGCTGCCTTCATATCTCGATGCAGAATCTTGTTGTCGTGTAGATATCTCAGACCCTCCAGCAATTGCAGCATGTAACATTTGATCTGCGGCTCCGTGAATCTGACGTCAGGGTTGTCCAGCAGTCCACTGAGATCATGCTCCATATACGGTGTAACCATGTAAAGTACTGCTTTCTTGCGACCTTCTCCTTTTGGCCTCTCCACGGCCATCTCCTCGAGTTTCAGGACGTTGATATGTGACAGCATCTTCAACAATTTGATCTCCCTCAATGCTGTGATCGGGAACCCGTCCTTCTCGTTGTGCATGAGGATTTTCTTGAGCGCTACGAGCTGTGATGTCTTTCGCGATCTTGCCTTGTGCACTTCGCCGAATGTACCTTCGCCCAATTTATCCATGACCTGGTAATCTCGTATCGACGAGCAGCCTTTGTATGTGCGTTGAATAGGGGTGACGCCTGTTGGCGTCGCCTGTGCCGGAGGAGAAGTCATCTTCGTGACGAGTCTGAACAATCTAAGCCACTGTTCCACCTCGATCTCAGCGGATCGAATCCTCAGTCTCCGAGTTCGAGAGAGGCTCTGAAATTATGATGATGATGCGCAGGTGTGAAGGTGACGACATGGATAGACAGATTATATGAGCGCAAACATGCTCATAGATGCGGGGACGGAGATACGTCGAGGGTCTAGGCGAAAATAACTATTGTAATGGAGTGAACAATTGTCTGATCAAGATGAACGGGCGCGCGAGAATGCGCTGGGCGGGGCCGAATGATCGCCGAGAGATTAGATCTGAACTAGCGATCATCACCTCGTCCGTCACAACCTCATCTCACGGCTCATAGTCGTGGAATCTCCGATCAATTACAGCTTCACACAACAAGCATGAGGAGGTATGTCGCTTGACAATAAACAACTGGACTTTCTAACTATCGGTAGAACCCTACCACTCTTTGCCGGTCATGGCAAGCCTCATGCTGCCAACGGACACCCTGTCCACGTTCATCCTGCTCGACCCCTCTACCGTTTCTTCGCCCTTGCACTCCCAGCAAGCATGTGGTTTTTTGTAAGCTAGCAGCAATGCCTCTTGCGGGAAATAGCATTGATGATGATGACAGTTGATGTACCGCGCAAAGAAAGATGGACCAGCATTGCTGGGATGGAAACATCCTTGGGATCATTGATCGACGCTTAGATTGGAGGATCGTAGCCGAAGAAGGGAGATGTATATATGAAGGTTCATAGTGTATTCAAACACTAAGAAGACTCCACATGGGGATTGGGAGGTGTTTCTTATGTCAAACAAATCACTTGAGGAAGGCTTTACTCCTGCAGATCTCCGCCCAGAAACATCACGAAACTTTTCAGACTGACCACAGCAGCCTTTATAATTTATCCATCTACAGGTACCCACAGCAAATCTATATCATGTATTGAATCACCATTCGACTGAGTCTTACATGTGTCTCGTACATGATATTAAGAGTCATCGGCACGACTCTCCTTGAATTGAAAGAGAGACAAAAGCACACCAAAAAGTGGTATGACCGAAGAGAAACGCAAAACAAAACTCATATCGCGCGGGTCGAACTTGTGACCTTTGGGGAACCGAGAAAGCCGTAACAAACTGCGCTTTTTTATCCGTCGTTGATGCCTCTAGACTAAGAGGACAGTAGTGACAGTAACTGTGAGTTGTCAAATCCGAACCAAATATATACTGTGTATGGCAGGACAGACGTCATCTAGGCTGAGGCTGCCTGTTCATGTGGCGCTAGTGATGTTCCCAATAATCAGAAATGGCACGATCAATCAGGGTCGCGTCACGTTGAACGCGTCGGTGAAAGTCTGTTCGGGAGCCTGCCATTACCTCATACCTGATGCCCACACTATCTACAGTACCTCACTCTTTCTTCTCTTCTCTCTTCTTCTCTACTGCCGCTTCTCAAACAAATAATGCCCGACACCCCATACCTCGCCCCCGTCCCAGGCAAACAGCTCTGCGCACGCCATATAAAACACCTGCCAGCGCACCCACCATACACTCGCCTTGTCTGCCCCGTATGTCTCTACCAAATGCGGCCAAATCTCCTTCTTCGATGCACACATCTTGCTCAACCAATCCTCACACGTCCTCGCGTAGTGTTTCCCATTAACATACCATTGTCTTGTTAGCGTCAAATCCCTCTGGAAGAAATGCATCAGGTCGGCGCTTGGCATTGTGCCTCCCGTGAAGAAGTGTGTCGTCATCCACCCGTCCTCGAAGTCGTATGGTGTATTAGCGTGGTGGAAAATATGCAGAAAGAGCTTGCCTGATGGGACCAGGGCGTGGGAGACTTTGGCCATGAGGAGCTCATAATTCTTCATGTGCTCGAAGAGTTCGATCGATATGACGCGGTCGTAGGCGGCGGCTTCGAAGGTGTGTTCGACGACGTCACCGGTGACTATGGTAAGGTTCTTCAGGCCTAGAGCAGCGGCGCGGGCGTCGATGTATGTTTTCTGGGTTGCGGAATTGGAGAAGCCTGTTATAGGGGATTTGGGAAAGCGCGCGGCGAGGTAGAGAGACAGACTGCCCCAGCCGCACCTGGCCACGTGATGTTAGTATTAAGGTTGCCTTTGACTTGTGATTGGCATAGGATATCAGGAAAGAGGAAAACGTGGGCATACCCCAGATCTAAGACACTCATTCCATCCACTACACCCGCCCGCTGCACATATAGATCAAGCATCCGATCCTCCGCCTCTGCCAGACTGCCTTTGATTCCCCCGCGACCATCATCTTCATACAAGCAACATGAGTACTTCATACGTGGCCCTAAGCATGCCGCCAAGACTCCTGTACCAACTTCGTAGTGCTGTTCGTTCGCCGTTTTGGTCTCAATGGCAATCGGACGCGTGCGCAGCAAGTCGACATACTTCATTTTTGTGACCCACGAGCTCTCAAGGGATGTCGAGGAGATGAGCTGTATGCGCTGACGCAGCTGCGTGCGAATACCGAGACGGATTACAGCGTGCGGGAGGACACCGCTATCAAGGAGAGCTTCGGTGGAAGCTGTTGCGGTGAGCCATGCTAGGTGCCGGTCAGAGAGATGCATCTTGCACAGGGGAGCATTTAATTTGATTACATAGATAGGATGTCATCGTGCTGATCGGTGCTATGAAATCGACCTGCGACCTCCAAGCGTCTAGAGGAATGATCGTTGGGTCTATCTTTCATGGGATCACGATGCTGTAAGCGTGGTGTTGAGGTTTCCAAAAGATGACGATTAGTATCGCTGGAAACGGGTGAGTTAGGGCGGGATTTGATTGGGTAGGGCGGGGCAACAAAAAGCACAAACACTACATGCGCCTGATTGGCTTCTCTTTGAGATGTTGATTATTTGGGGTAGGTCGAACATAAAAGATTATTTGAGTTTGATAGATTCGGAACAGCAGACCAAGTTTTTGCGTGCCAGATCCGTGCCATTGCTGGTTTCTGCTTCAATACTTCTCGTAGAGCTTAGAGTAGCCCAAGGCTCCAAGCTACGAACGCTCTACTAAACAGCCGAGAGACTGCATGACGTACTTCAAAAATTGATCACATATTTGATTCTTTAGTGTATCGTGGTCAAGTCTCGACATAATAGTTTCAAATTGGTGAACATGCTGATTATGTGAGAGGGAAATCAGTGGATAGAGAATGTGGAACCTGGTAACTATCGTGCTAGTAGACTAATACCTACAGTGAAAGAAACTCCAGCATACGATTTACATAACTAAGAAAAAGGTTGGAAGCCGGTTGAGCTCACTGAAAATAAGGCTGTTATCAAGGCTCGTCGGATTGGCCAAGCCGAGGGCGACCTAAAGAATTCCATACCATTTCAAAAGGAAGCAAGTCGACGAGAACATGTCACAGTAGATAGGGGCACAAAATAAATTTATGCTAATTAATGAAGATCCATGTGTTGCACGGCAGCTGTGGCGCTAATTTCTACCCTTGTAAGCTGAAGTCGCCTAGCATGGATGGATCGTCTCTCTCACGTTCCCTTGGTCTCTGCTTCGCCGTAGAAACATCCATTCAGGATAAATGCAAGTTGCTGCTCCGCTATGACCTGAAAGTCGATCGAGAAGATCACGACAGTCTGACGCCGCTGATGCATGCAGTCAAGAGGGAGAACTCCGACATGGTTCAATGATTGATAAAAGAAGTCGCTTTGATCATCATTTGCCTTGACATCCCTCACAGTGTAGAGTCACTCGCAGGCCAAGGATGCTCTATGGAACGCGGTCCGTCACTGCAGTCATCACCAAGCTGACTATGACAATCGTGGATAAGAGGAACGTCTTTAAGTGCGAAGGTATTTCTTCTGGGCCAGCCTAAGTCTTCCGGTTAATTGAAAGGCGGGGTTCTCCAATCCATCTGGCCAAGCAATACATCATGGTGAGTCCCCTGACCGTGAGGTTGGCCTCGATAATCTCTAATACGCATGGTGTTTTCTAGCCTCGCTGGTAATGAGAATTACAACTCACACTTCCTGCAAAGTCATATGCGTTCTTCATGCCGATCCCTGCCGCTATCACTGCACTACTTTTTCCTCTCATTTAACTTCTCATCAACCTTACGCTATGAACCTGCATGACGTCTATCAGGTACTGACTGTTCGGTAGATGCTTGTTGAAGGCAGCGTAAACTTGCTGTGTCTATCCTGACGGGCAATCCGCAAAACTTCACGTTGGACTACACGCGACAGGCATATCAATTCAAGCACAGTGCTTGAATAATCTGCTGTGACCATGGCTCACCTAGGGAGAGCTAGGCATGATTGCACATCATTACCACATTGTCACTGATACTTTCCATACTCTAGAAGGAAGAGCCATGTCATGTCTCTATCTATGAGCCTGGTATTGATTTCTTACTCTCATCTCAGGCATGCGCTGTCTCCGCGAGTACAGAATATACACGTTATCTCCGCAAGCTGCAAAACTAGTCGTGTCTATATGGATGAGAAGACGAGACGTCTCCAGACACATATTTGACAAATGGTTCAGGTACGCATATATGCACAGCTGCTCTCTCAGTTTATCCGGCAGACACACGTGGCCACCTCCACACTCCACATCAATCAAATTGAAGCTCTTAGAGACCTCCGATGATCCCATGTCTTTAATATCCACCAATCGGTCAACTGAAACGCCCATCTCCTCAAAAGCAATGGTCAGCCACGATTCTTTGATTGCGATTAATCAGACTAATCAGGAGGATACGAGGGATATTGAAAAAGATATTCTGGTTCACATCTTGTGGCAAAGCATGCGACGATGTCTTGAACACAATGGCCTCTGTTGACGCTTAACTACGCGTGACTGTGTATGTTATTCAACTTGAGTGTCCCAGTCTGTAGATCCTAATGCTGTCCAGTGTTCCTTTACATCCAACCGAGATAGATTTCATCAATAGTGGACCGTCGGATCAACAACAATTCTTAGCAGATGAGCTCCAATATCTCCTGCGGCTCTTACAGGCCGTTCCTGATTACAGTGTCCCGGAAATACCGTCCCGCATACCCTTGATATAGAGGACGACCAGGGGAATGATCTTAAGCCGCATTGGCATATCATAACATGACAAGTACCTTTCAGAAGATGCTTATTATCCATTATATATAGTGGTACCTCACGCAGAATCTTTCTGGTCTTTCCTATCTACAGATCAATCGAGGACCACGCTATCATATCACAATGTATCAACGCTTCACCCTCGCTTCAGCGCTGCTGAGCAGCGTCCACGCCCAGCTCGTCGGCACTCAACTGGCCGAAACACATCCCGGTATGACCTGGAAATCATGTACAGGCACCGGTGGCACCAGCTGCACATCCAACTCCGGCAAGGTTGTCCTTGATGCCAACTGGCGCTGGCTGCATGATAAAGGCGGCTACACCAACTGCTACACGGGCAACGAATGGAACAAGACCGCCTGTCCCGATAACAAATCCTGCGCCAGCAACTGTGCGCTTGACGGGGCTGACTACTCGGGAACTTACGGCATCACGACCGGTGGCGATAGTCTGAAACTAACGTTGGTGACCAAAGGCCAGTACAGCACGAACATTGGCAGCAGAACTTATCTTATGGAGAGCGATACGAAGTATAAGATGTTCAATCTGTTGAACAATGAATTTACGTTTGATGTGGATTTGAGTGGACTGCCTTGCGGATTGAACGGGGTGAGTGTTTATATGTTGTCTGAGAAGTCATGGCTGACAGCATACACAGGCTCTCTACTTTGTGGCTATGGATGCTGATGGTGGTATGAGTAAATACAGCACGAACAAAGCTGGGGCAAAGTATGGTACTGGGTACTGCGACGCTCAGTGTCCTCGTGACTTGAAGTTCATCGGGGGTGAGGTAAGACTAATTTGCTTGTCGACAATACTCCTTCTTCCAAATTTTTCTCACTTTGATTCGCGATCCTATGCTAATGCTTGACCTAGGGAAATGTTGAAGGTTGGACGGCTTCCTCGAACGATGCAAATGCTGGTGTCGGCGGTAAAGGCTCTTGTTGCGCCGAGATGGATGTGTGAGTCTTCCGGAAGATTTGGCTGAAAGTCGTGTGCTGATTATCCGGACAGCTGGGAAGCCAACAGCATCTCTACGGCATTTACACCGCACTCGTGCACACCTGTGGGGCCGTCCATCTGCAGCGGCGACTCTTGCGGAGGAACATACTCCGCTGATCGCTACGCTGGGAACTGTATGACCCTTCCATTCCAGTAACAGTGCATCAGCATGCAACGAACATGACAAGTAGCTAACGCATATATCACTAGGCGATCCCGACGGCTGCGATTTCAACTCATACCGCATGGGCGACACCTCCTTTTATGGCCCTGGGAAGACCGTTGACACAAAGTCCAAGATGACTGTCGTAACTCAGTTCATCGGGTCACCCCTGACCGAGATCAAGCGCTTCTACGTGCAGAACGGCAAGACAATTGCCAACTCACAATCGAAGATCCCCAATGTCACCGGTAACAGCATCACCACATCATTTTGTGATGCACAGAAGGCTGCGTTTGGAGATACCTACACGTTCAAGGACAAGGGTGGTATGGCGAGCATGAGCAGTGCTATGAGTAGAGGTATGGTGCTTGTCATGAGCTTGTGGGACGATCATTACTCGAACATGCTGTGGTTGGATTCAACGTATCCTACGTAAGTGATAGAAAAGTTTCACGGTGCTGGGTGGGTGCTAATCAGCTATTAGGGATAAGTCTGGCCCTGGATATGACCGCGGGACATGTTCCACGTCTTCTGGTGTTCCAGCTGATGTCGAGAAGAACTCGCCGGGCGCATCAGTGACTTTCTCCAACATCAGGTTTGGACCAATCGGTTCGACATTCAAGGCTTTGTAGGAGGTTCAACTCCAAGTGTGGGTCGGAGAGCTCGTGGAGCCTCAACGTTTTTAGACCATAGTTCCTGAACTGTACAACGCAGATCATGTCACGAATGATGTAGATAAACAACAAATACACTCGTTCACACTGTACATTGCTCTTGAGATAGAGGAAACCGTACATTTATAATTATCTATAGAGGCCCCGATTCACTGTTAGCGAGGTGAAGTGAATTGCCAGTCCACTCGGCAATCAACCTGCATCAACATTGTTTGATGTATCACTTCGGCCACTGATCTCATGACAGCCCTCTTCATCTCGTCTAGCCTGCCATTCAATCTCTGACCACTCCTTTCCTAGAGGCCGCCCGGACTGGTCACCCTAAATACTCCGCACCTCAATACCGTACCCTTCTTCCTCTCTTTACTACACCCTCCACCTTGTCGGCGCAACCTGTTACTTACTGTTCACAACCACCTCTCCGAAGTTACCAGCCAATCTTTCGGCCTTCTTCAGGTATGTCTAGAGATCCATAGCTTACCTGTACACTAGGTATCAGGAATGCTAGCTGATACAACCCACAGCCACTCCCAACGGCCATTATAATCGAATCTGACAAGATGCCTATGAACTGGGACACAGCCACCGAAGCCAAGCTCTTCAGCTTGCTACTGCGCGAGAGCAAGCTCTCACTCAGCGCAGACATTTTGAAGCGTATTGCGACAGAGATGGGTCCAGGTATGTTTTCTCTCTTCACCTCCTCATGCCAGCTTCACATCCACGACAGCTTCCCGTTTTCGTCCTTGCAATGCATCCCTGTTCTCGTCCTACAAAGCGCTGACTTGGCAACAGAGTGTACACCCAAAGCCATCACACACCGCATTGCAAAACTCCGCGCTCTGGGTGCTACGGCTGGCGATGGTACGCCTCCGGATGCAAACAGTTCAGCCCCTGCAACGCCCAAGAAGACGCGTGCCAAGAAGGCCCCTGCGACGCCCAAGTCGGCGAAAGGAAAGCGTTCAAAATCTGTCGTTGATGAGGATGATGAGGAGGTCAAGGAAGAGGTTGATGAGGCTGAGTTGGATCATGGTAGCGAGTCTCCGAAGAAGAAGAGTAAAAGGGCTGGCGTTAAGAAGGAGGCTCCGGTCTCTGATGCTGAGGAGGATGTCTAACTTCTACTATGACGTTGCTCGGATCTTGGAATCGAGATTGGATTCTAACGTTCTGGACAGTGATGGGTAGGTAGTAAATCCTAGAGTCCTAATGGTCTGCTGAGAAGAGCCCCGGGAGTGTTATGATGCTACATCATCTCCTAGTTGTCCTTCAAGGGTCTTCATGGTAGCAGACAGATCTTAAGAACGTCTAATAGCAGTTTATTCATGGGGGCGAAAGAACGTCTACCTCGCCTGGCGCTTGCTTCAAATATCGTGAGATGCGAAGTGAGTAGGCACTTTCCACCGGTCGTGCGCATGTAGTTATGACAAGTCGCAGTCAGCGATATCACGCACACTGGCCACATATCCAACCCATCGGCTCACACGAGCAGAATCTGTAAATACCTCTCACAGTTGCTAGCAGGCGTGGAATGAGCCATGGACGCTCACAGAGGACGGATACGCGCTTTGAGTGCCCGCTTCTATGATAATGCTTAGGTCAAATGCAACGGGCTCCAACTTGAGTGACACTTTTGGACAGAATATATCTAGTTGCATTGATCTTGTTGTCGATGTTGCAGCCCAAGGAGCTTTGCCCGTAGAGATAAAACATAATGGCGCAGACCAGCTACAGACGATCATGGTTGCATGCACCAGTCTGAACTATGAAGAGTACCCGAATGTGTGAATTCGATCAACCTGTTCGCTCTGGAGCGTTCTGCTCGACACATCTATAGAGTTATAATCTTATGCGCGGTTAAAAGGTTGAGGCGTGGTCCTGTAGAGAGGCTGCAAAACAGAGCTATCTAGAATGTCAGATGTTCAGCTCATCCAGTTTCATGGTATGATATACCTGCAATTTGATGGGGGCGGACCTCACGCTCTTATAAGAATTATAATTTGTGTGTAGTCAGTTGCAGTGTCCGTGCTCAAAACGGAGCAGAGTTTTGCAAACAAAATACGAGCAATACAAGCCTAGCTTACCTGCAGAAGCATTCCAGTCGACCGGACCATGGATGAATGTATCCCAGATATTTTTGCACTAAGTGAGATTGGAGTGAGAAATCAATCATTTTGGGCAATTGTCAAGTAGCAAACCCACTTTTCTGAGGGGTTTTATATTCGTGAATGATCCTCTCCTGGTCTGTACGACGAGTGGGGCAATTGAAGCTCGGTTCACTTCATTGGTTGAGACTCCACGCTAATGTCAAACCGACTGTGTCTCTATATATAACCAGCGCAATCAACTCAAACTCTTCTGCCTAGCTTGGCTTGTTTAGAAAGCCCTATTCGGTACGCAGAAGGTAGTGGAAGGGTAGATGGTTTGAGAAATCCCGAAAGCAAAATCTAAATTCGTACGATGTTGAATCGGCAGCAAGTCGAAAATCTAAGACGACTGTATCTTGTCAGCGGAGCTCCCGCCATAGCTTTAATGCCTCAGTACTGCTAGTTACATACATGTTCAAAACCTGATGGACATGGGTCCAATGACCGCTGGTCATGATCTATGATCGAATGTTAGAGCGACAGAATGAAGTATGTAGTCATTAGACCGGTGTACAATTCCCTCGCCCATAAAAACATATAAAGGCAACTAAATGGTTCTCGAGTATGTAACAGAGACAAACAGGAAGTCTGTCAATCACTTTAATCTCTGCTATGCGGGTTTTAAACACTCTCATTGCTATGACGGCCGTCAGCGGCATAGTCGTCGCCGCTCCCCGCGAACCCGTTCCTCCCGCCGGGCCCCACGACTTATGGGCGGAGGGCGCCGACTACTTGGCAGACTCCATGGAGTCATGGGAAAGCGCCTCCAGATCATGGAACCAAGTCGCCGGCCAATGGGCGCACGGAGTATACCAAGATTTCAGACAATATCTTCGCAACATTGCCCATCGCCCCAAACGCATGGCGTTGGCACTCTACGATGCATTCGCTGCAGAAGACAGCACCGCTCTCTGGAGGGAATTCACACACGTATTTGACCACTGGAGGCTACCCCGACATCTACAAGATGGATACGTTCGATGCGAGAAGCAAAGACTTGATGAATTCCAGATCATGAACGCTGTCAATAGGACACTCAAGTGGGCAGCATTGTTTGGACATAATGGGACAGAATTCAAACGCAGAGTGGATTTCCGTTATGCCGAAGCTAAAGCATTTGCCTGTGACTATGGCTGTGGACAGACCATCCATCCCGAGGACCTTGTACTCATGATGGCCGCAGTGAAGTACAAGTGCGGGAACAATGCGGGTTATTTCGCCATGGAGCCATGGAAGGCATCCTACGGTTATACAACTTGGGACAACGACAATTTTTGCTGGAGAAGGCGGCGGGAGCCATCTAAGAGGTTGAAGTGTAAACATTATTGAGTTTGTGTAAGTTCCACAGCAGATCCCTTGGGTACTGCTCCTCGAGTCTGAATAGGGCAGATCTTGAGTGAAAACAGTGTGTACAAGAGTGTTCTATCATCCTTTGTGTGTCCACCGACTGTTTTTCCTGTATATAGCAATACATAATTTACCTTATAAACAGGATGTCCATAAAGGGCACTACCACTTACAACATCTGATCTATGCGCCACCTCATACATACTCATACTCCTCACCTCCTACGTCCTAGCCTCTCTCACTGCGCTCAATTCTGTTTCATCAAATATTGATTTTTCGGGTTGAGCCCAAAGTCCTATCTCGCCCATGCCATATGATAATAGTCTCTAGCCTCGGGCTGAATTTGTCAAACATCGTACAAGATGCGTTTGGGTTGTAATCCCCGGCGTTTAGGAATAGTAAGCAACACCCACGGGTAGCACTGCATATGGCAAGACAGATTACTCAACACCTGGAATACCGAGTGAGTGCAGATTAGATACACGAGAAGAATATAGAGGCCAAAGCTCCGAATGAAGCTTCCTAAGCTGTACAGATGTCCATCTGTAGGCATCATGGGGACTTACGGCCGAACATGTGTTGCGTCGATGGGTCTGATTAGTATGCCAATCTTGCAATTCATGTGGTTGTGATTAGTATGAACATGCATGGATACGAAGTTCAAGCTTGTGCCTACATCCATCGTATGAGTTCCAGATGCATATAATGCAGCCCCGCTACTTCAGCTCTTCGATTGCCATCGTCCATCTTCCACTCCGGAACACCTCTCCATTTTAAGATTCAAAGAGATATAACCGACCATATTATCAACCATAACAATTCCATACCAATCCTGTACCACGCAATGTCACCTCTGCCCATAATCTTCGTCGTCGGCGGCACCGGTGCCCAAGGCCTCCCTATCGTCCATGCCCTCGCCCACACTAACCTATACACCCTTCGTGTCCTCACCCGTACCCCGACCTCCCCACGCGCCCAATCTCTCCTCGCCCTGCCCAACACGACACTACATGAGGGCACATTCACCTCCGAGACCTCTCTTCGCAGCGGCATGCGCGGCGCACACGGCGCATTCATCAACATCGACGGTTTCAACGTCGGCGAGGCCGGCGAACTCTACTGGGGGATCCGCACCTGGGAGATTGCACTAGCGGAGGGGGTCAAGATGTTTGTGTGGGGCAACCTGGAGTATGTGCATGCGATGAGTGGGTTTCGGGCGGAGATTCGGAGCGGACATTATGATGGCAAGGGGCGGGTGGGGAGCTGGATATTGACGCAGAGAGCGAGTGCGGCGGTGAGGGAGAAGGGGATGAGGGCGGCGCTGTTTACGACTGGGCCGTATATGGAGATGGTGATTGCGGCAGGCACGCTGATGACGCCGCAGGTGGAGGATGGGGTGGTGACGTGGCGGGTGCCGGCGAGTATGGATGGAAACGGGGCGGTGGCGCATGTTGCGCTGGAGGATTGTGGGGTGTATGTGTGCTGGTTGTTTGCAAATGAGGAGAGGGCGGATGGGATGGATCTTGGTGTTGCGATTGGGCACCTGCGATATGAGGATCTCGCGAAGGGTTTCGAGACGGTGACTGGGCATCCAGCGGTGTATGTTGAGACGGAGTTTGAGGAGTATTGGCGCGAGGGACCGATGGCAAGGGCGACGGATCTGCCTACGGGATATGCCACGAGTGTGGACGATCCGGCGGTGATGACGATGAGAGATAATTTTACCGGGTTTTGGCGTGTGTGGCAGGCAAGTGGAGGTGAGCACCCGCTGATAAAGAGAGATTATGCGTTGTTAGACGAGATCCATCCAGAAAGGATCAGGACGGCCGAGGAGTGGTTTCGTAAAGAGGATGAGAAGGGGCGTGAAGATGGTAAAGGGTCATTGTGGGAGCGAGTTCAGAAAGACTCTTTGAGGCCCTTGTTGAAGAATACGGAGGATCAGAGGAGTGGGGCTGTTCGGCCAAAGAAGTAGGTTCTGCAGCGAGAAAATTTGGGAATGGTTTTGCTGTTTAATAGTATTTGTCGGTGGAGGCCGTACGTGGTGATATGTCCTATGATTTGTGGTTGTAGTGGCCAAAGACAGTCACACGAATGAGACCCTTTTCAATCTGGACCCAGACCATACAAGTTATTGTTAAGCACAGGGAGGACTCCACCATCGACCATGTACTTTGCGAGTGCCTTCTCTTCCGTATCATTATTGACAACCCAGTATCCAATCGTCCAACTCTTAGAATCATCGGAATGGTCATAAACTCGATGTGCCCAATCTCCTATCCCTCCTTGTCCATCGCCACGTCTTGTACTGATGTTTTTGATGCACGCCGTCAGTAGGCTGAGCATGTTTCGCAGATGAGGAATCAAATGGAGCCATGAAGCTTTGTTCCAAAGCTGCATATGGCTTAGCTGCAAGTCTCTGAGACAACTTCGGTGACTCCTAAGAAACTGGAGTATGAATTCCTTAGACGTATCCATTCCTCGAAGGGTAAGGGAGCTCAGATGAGGCCAGTAGTTGTCACCAAAGGACATCGTGAAATCTTGCTGAAGCCAAATTCCCCGATTCGTAAAGCCTGTCAAATTTGACACCCAACTGGCGTAGTCCTTTTATCTCTTCAAGTATTTGGGGTAGATTCGTTAGATGGTCTGGCAAAGGTTTCGCATATAGTCGTCGGCAGTTCAAAGCGCGTGCGCCAATCCGAGGGCCTGGTTCACCTGTGCTAGGCCATCAAAGACCAGTTCCGATCTCGAGATAGAGCTTTGTGAGATGCAAACAGGAAGAACGATAGTACACCCTCGGTAGCACAAAGGCAACATAATCAACCCTTTCGGCTGTGAATATGGCAAGAGGAGTTGGAGCTGAAGAGCAGAGGATGAGGGCCATAGAAACTTGTCTCTGCCCAACTACACGTTCTCGAGCCTTATTGTACATAATCCCTTCTGTGAGGTTTGAGACACGCTCGGAAGTCTGGTTTTGGAAGTATGGTTGAGTGCTGAAATCCTTATACATGCGCTTGGCCATCTTAGGCTGCCGATATGACATCCACTTGCCAGTCACGCAGGTCAATTGAATCAGTTTTTGATTGCTGTTTCGAAAAAATTCCAGTCTCTCATGGTTGTCCACATGTCTTGCTGTCGTGCTACAGCAGCTTCAAAACGGGTATACGAGTTGAATGACTGCGACTCCGGACACCTGCTTCTTTGCTGAAGCGTTGACCTAGTCTCCCATGCCCGAAGGAACTGCCCATGGTCATTAGCGCGATATTGTTGAGCAAACTCTTCGTAATCATAATCCTGGTTTGCTTGCGACTTCCACTCGTTGTATGTACTGAGTTCGGGGTTCAGGAAAACGTTGTGATGGATAATGTGACGAACACAATTCGAGATGACGGGATGCGTGCTTATGTCCACAAGTCTTTGGTAACTATCCTCGTTGTCGAAGACTGTGACTTCTGAGAAAAGGTGCTCGGCCGCAACTACGGCAACTTGCTTATTCACGAGTCGGATCTGTCTCAAAGTTTCGATGTCAACCAACGATAGAACCATGTAGAACGGTTCCACAGAAATGGTATTCATATGCTAAATCGAAGCAGGTAGAGAGAGAGAAGGAATGATCAACAGTCGAGATGCATAACGGATGCAAAGTCCTATAGCATTCAATGATATCAGCAGCAACGATGTTCGCATGCGCATGTAACAGAGTGCTATAGTATTCCTCTGCAATCTTAAAAACAGTAGCCATCAAATCAAGGTCTCGCCGATATGTGTGTGCGGTAGATGTTTCGTGAAGTACTTTACGTTTACGTTGCACCAAGCGAGTAAGTGCTAAGTGTTGGCGTTTGATGGCACATTGTCGAAGGACCAGACTTACTGTCCAGTAGTAGCATGACAATGGAGGATTGCTCTTCAAAGGGTATAAATTGTCGATGATATCGATGGTATCATCAAAGTTATGAAGCTGATGCGAAGTCTAATTAATATCCGGTACCCATGGATGCGGACTTAACTCCGGAAATAGATAGATGCCCCGCAACGCACCACCGGGATGCCAAAAGTTTTCTACTCTTCAGCCTTCATCATTGCCTCTAATAACAACAGCAAGAAGTCACAACCTCGCTACTTGGCTCTTGAGCCTGTGTCTGTACGCCCCTTTCAAAGAACATTTCCAGGTCCTTGACATGGCCACGAATCTCGATCCGTCCACTCCCCTTCGTGTCCTTCTCGTCGGCAATGGCGGTCGCGAGCACGCTATCGCATGGAAACTCACACAGTCGCCACGCGTCGAACACGTTTATGTTGTTCCTGGTAATGGAGGCACAGCAGGCGTCAAGAATGTCACCAACGTGACAAATGTCAAGGCTGAAGACTTTCCAAGTTTGGTGGCTTTGGCAACAGAGAAAAATGTCAACCTGCTGGTACCAGGACCGGAGGCTCCCTTGGTCGCTGGTATAGTGGACTATTTTAAAGAGCATGCGAAAGATGTGAAATGCTTTGGTCCGTCGCAGAGTGCTGCGCGCATGGAGGGTTCAAAGACCTTCTCCAAGGACTTTATGCACAGGAATAACATCCCAACTGCCGAGTACAAGAACTTCAGCGATTATCACGAAGCAAAGGCATACGTAGATTCGATTTCTCACAATGTCGTAATCAAGGCGAGTGGACTAGCGGCAGGGAAGGGTGTCATAATACCCGCATCCAAAGAGGAAGCTCAAACTGCGCTACGAGAGATTATGCTAGATAGAGAATTCGGGGCAGCAGGCGACGAAGTAGTCATCGAAGAGTTTATGGAGGGCGATGAGCTCAGCATCCTGAGCTTCTGCGATGGCACAAGGCTGCAATCACTACCACCAGCCCAGGATCATAAGCGGATATTCGATGGCGACAAAGGCCCTAACACTGGTGGGATGGGAACATATGCGCCCACGAGAATTGCTCCAAAAGATGTGATTGACCGAATACACGAGACCATTCTCCAACCTACGCTTACAGGCATGCATAAAGAGGGCTTTCCGTTTGTGGGCATTCTCTTCACTGGTTTGATGATGACCAAGAGCGGTCCCAAAGTCCTGGAATACAACGTGCGATTTGGTGACCCAGAAACGCAAAGCTGTCTCCCGCTGCTCGAGTCTGATCTAGCCGAAGTCATGCTTGCGAGTGCAGAGGGCCGTCTCAATGAGGTACCCATCGTAGTATCTCACAGGTCTGCCGCCACCGTCGTCGTTGCAGCCGGGGGTTATCCTGGTTCATATGGCAAAGGCTTTGACATTAAGCTAGACTCCGTCACGGCAGGTAAGTCACGGCCAAATCCAGGCGCAAGGTTTCTGAGATTAATTGTTACTCCAGATACTGTTATATTCCATGCCGGCACAAACTTCATCGACGGAGTCCTCAAGACTTCTGGTGGCCGAGTCATTGCGGCTACAGGTGTTGCCGATACTCTTGAAGAAGCAGTAAGGAAAGCCTATGAAGGTGTAGGAAGCATACATTTCGATAAGATGCAATATCGAAAGGATATCGCTGCGAGAGCGCTGAAATAAGTACCTCAGTTGATACGAAGCATATATGAGCGCGTAGAAGAAGCATTGAAGTGGATAGAAAAAAGCGCTTTTGCTATACATACAGATGACTGACATAATCATATAGTCTCGAGATACCCATAATAGACAGTTATATGAAGCCCTCCGACCTGCCGTGCCTTTATGACGAATGAAATGCGAGACTTCGTGGATGTTCCAGTCAATGTCTTGAACAACTCCCGATGGATCTTTATGCACTTACATAGCAAAAGCCTAAGTACATATCGCCTCATATACTGTATTCTACAACCCACAGCACCTAAATCTGTCTTCGCAAATTATCTCGTACTCGCAAAACTTCACCTTTAAATAGTCTCAAGCACACGACTTTGCACAACAGCCCGCCATCTACACACCTCGCAGTCTTCAACAGACCAGACCAAAATTTGAGTCCTTTGTACGGTTCGATCGTCAATCGTCGCAGCTGCTATGCATGAGTCATCTCATAAAATCACATCAATCGCAGTTTCTAGCCGTAGCATCATATGTAGGGTCTTGAAGCTCCGCGATATGCATGGATGCCACGACATGCGCTGTTATGGTCTGATCCTGAATGCGTGACAGGATTGACGCCTGAAGGTATTCGAGGTTCCGTTGCACCAACAGAGCACAGCAGCAAATTACGATGTCCACAGCACTCTGTTGTTCAGGTCGTCTATAGCAAGAGCACCCTAAAGAACGAGTGCTCCCATCACAGCAGCGCCTCCAGCCGCGAACACGAGCGCCCCAAGGCTAGGGAGGTTTCTACTACCCGCACCACCGATCTCATCAGCATCCCCACCCAGACTGCCTACTGCAGCTCGCAATGAATCCCCTGTGAGACATTGTGGATCTAGCAGCGACGACTGCAAAGGAAGGCTGGCCGGACTGAATGTCGGTGCATTCCACGATACCTCCGCACCTACATCCGCAGATATCATGCCGCTAGTCTCTATATCCACCGCTGCTTCAAACGTGATACCGACCGCAGGATCATACGCTGTTTGCCCCGAGCCTGGCGCCGCACAGTCGCCATTCACGTTGGACAGAGCCGCAAAGTGAATGTTGAGACTGGGAAACCCGATCTCGAGGCCGATTTCGCCGGACACTTCAATGTCATCGGTGACATCAACCTCGATCGTCGCAGAGACTCGGAGTGCCAGGCCTGTCGCTACAGTGAATGCGAGATTTGGTGCGCTGACGCCGAAGGGCAGGGCCTCGAGTTCGATGCCTTCTATGCCCGTTAGGCGATTGTTTTCGTTGTTCCCGACGTCGATTTCAAGCACTAGCTCGCCTGGTATATTTAGCAAAAAGCCGGCCGCGATGTTGACTTCGGAGTCAAGGGTGATGTTCAGTGGCACGCCGAAACGATAGTCGAGCACCAGTGTTGTGTCGTCGGAAATGTTCCTGCTGGCTGTGAGGTTGAAGAGCGTGAAGAATGCATCTACGGCGTTGAAGCCCGGCAGCAGGTCGATCTCCAGGGATACGTTTGAGGTCACTTCGCTGACGACCAGGGAGACGGTACCGTCGGTGAAGAAATCGAGGAGGTTGTCGGTGGAGATGTCGATGTCATAGTTGCCTTGGACGGAGCAGTTTCGGCACGTGAGGTCCATGTTTTCACTGTACGAAGTCAGATGTAATCAGCTAGCCACACATATGATAGGGACTATACGGCAGAATGACCGCCGAAGCAAGAGCCGGAAGAGGCCCAGACGTCGACGCTGAAAAGGACGAAGCAGCTTGTCCAGTCGGTGACGGTCCGACGACTGGTGCATCCGTTGTCGTGGGCTCTTCAGGAACCATGATTGTCGTGGGCTCCGCAGGGACCACCGTTGTCGGACTTGTCTCACCCGGCGGGAACTACACCTCATCAGTTCAGCGCAGAACCTCTCGCCGCAAAGCCTTTCTCACCGTCGAGTATCTCTCATCATCGATGTCCGCAACCGACCGCAGTCCCCATTGCGTATCCACATCATACCCGGCGTTCGTTGTGCCTACCGCCGTCAAATCCATATCCGTCGCATCCACCGTACTACTTAGGAACAACAGCGACTCCTGATTCCCAAACACATATCCGGAGCCATCAATTACGTCGATAGTCCACAGCAGATTTGTGTCATCCGAGCAATCCGCAAGCACGGGAGTCCCGGCCGAGTCGACGGTCATACATAGGTCTGGCAAGGCCTGTGGGCGGATGATCCAATAACCGTCGTCAGCAGCGGTGAAAGCGAAGGCAGTATCGGTAGTCGTGAGTACGATGCTACGGCCAGCCTGGGCGAGGAAGTAGTCGTTGATGACGGACTGGACCTGGTAGTAGACATTTGAGTCGGGGCTTGAGTTTGTGAGACTCATGGTCGTTTGCGAAGTCGAACCGGTCTATGCGTTGTACTGGCACCTGGGTAGCGAAGCCTTGGACATGTCACAAGGGGATGAATTTATAGTTCCCTAGCATCGTCAGTCTTGCGGCTCTGTATTCACTCTGGGAGTGGTGCTCATCCAAGAACACATAGTGCCTTGGCATGCATTTAGATCTGCAGGATCTCAGTTGCCTTTATCGATTTGCTCGCATTTGATACACCAATAACGCTGTGCGTGAACGCCTGCGCTCCGCTGCTATACATATAAAAGGCAAGGCTGATATGTGAGGTATGTTAGTCTGCATATCCGCGACGGATAGGGAATGGTGGCAACTCTTTGGTCGAATTCGACCAGTCTGGATTCCTCCGTTGAACGCCCAAGGACCTTGCCTTGATCGGTCAAATTCTCAGCCCCAGCCCGATCGATACATATACCAGAATCCATGAACGACGGGATTTCACGATCTGACGATCTGACGTCTACAAACTGCAAACGTCAGAATACGCGGTTCGTATCAACCTCGACGCCCAGGCTGTGTGGCTTTTATTAAGCATGTCTCATACAAGAGTTCGTTAATTAATGTGCGAACTCTGCATGCACCATCATAAACCTTATGTGCCATCACATATAATTTCTAATAAAAGGACTTCACGTGGAAAACTAATCACCCAGGCTGTATCGATCAGGTCATCTGCGTATTATATATATATGTACAGTTTCGACAACCCAATATCTCGCTTTGTCTACCTACCAACCCAAGAGAAAAGAATGGCCAAGAAGGCTTTGTGGGAAATAATGACAGAAGAAAAAGTGCGGCGAGAAGCCATTGAGTCCGACGAACCGTTGACAACAAGGAAAAGCACTGGACTCGTGCAAAACGCTAAAAAAACACTCAAGACCGCCATCGAAGGAAACAACGAGGTTGGCCCGTCTTTCGCTTTCTCTCCGGCCTCTATTCACAACATGCTGTATACGCGTACCCTTTTCCCCCAGCACCCTATTCATCGTCTACCAGTTTCCGCGCCATGTGTGCTCTCTTCGCTAATTTGAGCAATATCTCAAGTTCGCCTTCGCCAGCAGCGACGCACATGTCTCTAAATTGACCCTCCTTGTTACTGATCAACTCCCATGGCGAGCCACATTGTACAATGGAGCCCTTGTCCATGACGACAACTTTGTCATAGTCGATGATTGTTTGTAACCTGTGTGCGATCGTGATTGTGGTGCTCTTCAATTCTCGTATCGTGTCTTGGATCTTCGCATCCGTTGCATAGTCAATAGATGCTGTTGCTTCGTCCATGAGGAGGACTTGCGGATTTTTAAGTAATGCCCGAGCCAGGCACAGCAATTGCCGCTGGCCTTGCGAAAGATTAGTACCGGATTCTGCGACAGGCGAGTTGAGGTTTAGGAAAAGATTCTTATTCTCTTTAACGCCCTTCACCCGGATCGGATTGTCAGGAGTAGGAGACTCGGGAATCACAATCGTAGCATCCGATACATCAGATGCATCCGGATGAAAGGGCGATGTAATACTGCCGGGATTCGTTGTAGCAATCACAGACATACGTCTTGTGGTCAGGCGATCGCTCTCATCACTGCTGTCGTCACTCTCATTTGCGGCGACCGTTGGTGACGAGGGTGTGGTGGAAGCCGTACTGGTGGCAGTTGATCCGATCAATTGAACACGTCGTAGTGCGGTAAAAATTTCTTCGTCCGTAAAGACACCAAAGGGGTCCAAGTTACTGCGGATGGTACCAGAGAAAAGAGTCGGGTCCTGGGGAACCATGACGATATTCTGACGTAGATCCTGTAGACCCAACAGACCGATGTCTAAATCGTCGACAAGAATCTTCCCTTCCTCTGCTTCGAGCGCCCTGAACAGAGCTAGTGCCAGGGAACTTTTACCAGCACCAGTACGGCCAACAACGCCGACCTTTTCGCCCGGCAGGATCTTCAAAGAGATCTTCTTCAGAACCGTATCGAAATCTGGTCGGTAACGAGTGCTATAATTGACGAATTCTACCGACCCTTTTAATGGCCAGGAAACGGGTGGCTTTGTCTCGGTGATCATGTCTGCTTCTTGCTCGACGTCGAGATATTCTTTGATACGTTCCACTGAATTCATATTCTGCTCGTTGGAAGAGTAGAGGCGGACAAACCAGAGAACGTTCTCAGTGAAAGTCACAGCGTACGTCAAAGCCAGACCAGCCGCACCAGCATCGATCTTGCCGACACTGAGAATGACAAAGGTGCCAGAGAAGAAAGAGACCATGGCGCCGACAACATCAACCCTGAACGCGAGCCAACGATTTGCAGCCCATAGGTACAAGAATGGCCGAGTTTGAGTATTAATCTTTGTTAGATTGTCGCGTATAAAGCGAGCCTCGTCGCCATAAGCACGGATAGTGGTCATGCCTGAGAGAGATTCTCCAAACTGCTGATAGATAGGGCTGCGCTGTACCGACTCGAGACGTTTCAGGTCTCTTGATGAGTTGATGTAAAATTTGCCAATGAAGAAATAGAGAACACTGATAAAAGCGCCCGCAATCAGGAAACCGGGCGTGATAATGGAGATGAGGACAACGATAGTGAGAATTGATCCCATGCAATGAATGACACCAATGGCAACAGGTGCGATTTCTTGGTCGACAGACTCGATATCCTTGGAAAAACGATTCATGAGCTGCCCTAGAGGAGTGGAATCGAAGAATCTGAATTTGGCGTGAGTGATGCTCTCTATCAAACGAGTGTGGATCCTTCTAGAGGCTGTTAGGGAGCCCTCAAAGAGAACAGCCTCCCTGGAAAGTGTGATGATCATGAAGAGTATACCAAGTAGTGCGTAGATGCCCAGATAGTATCCAGCGTTGACTTCCATATCGGATGCAATGCTGAAGGTATCCGTCTTAGTCATGAAGAAGGGCAAGTTCCACACGCAGGTACCACTTCTTAGACAAGACCCCATACTGCTGATACCTCCAACGTGTGTGACAGGTGTTTGATTCTCGATATTCATGACACGAGCTTCTTTAGGCAGGTAAGCTGTCGCCCATTCTCGCACCCAGACGTTGGTAGCAACAGAAGCAATTTGTTGTGCCGCGAAGACCAAGACAGCGAATGACCAAAACCAGAAACCTCCCATAGCACGTAAATAAAGAGCAATTATTCGAATCTTGACTCCGCCGACTGCTTTAGTCTCTTCCGGTAAATTCGTCTTGGTTGATTTTGCGGATTTGTCATTTGATTGAAGGAAAGTATTTTCTGAGCCTTGCGCTCTGACCTGCGAAGTGCTAGAGTGGCGGCGTCCCGGATGATCACCTCTATGATGGCTAGCATCAAGCATTGAAAGGCTGGCCTCACCAAGAGTATCCTCTTCTGGATGATCCGGAACAATGGTCGATTGAACCCTAGACGGGCCTCTCGACGCAGGCCGGGATGCAGTCAGATCTTCGCCTAGTTTGCCAGAATCAATGACCTCAGTTGGCGTTCCTTGGGCGACTATTTGACCATTGTCAAGCACGACAGCTAACTCAGCTTGCGGCAAACATAGAGCGACGTTGTGTGTCACCAGAATGCAAGTCCTGTTATACATCAACGGTCCGAGTAATGCCTTTTCAAAGATCCACTTCGCTGTGTGGGAGTCCACTGCACTCAGCACATCGTCCAGTATGACGTGACGGGCCCTGCTATAAAGCGCACGTGCAAGTGAGATGCGCTGCTTCTGCCCACCGGAGAGGGTCACACCCTTCTCACCAACAAGGGTCTGGTCGCCTTGATCAAGTATCTCCAGGTCCCGTTGCAAAGAACATGCTGCAATGACATCCTTGTATCGTTTTGGATTCCAGGGGCTTGCGAAAACGATGTTCTCCTTGATGTTGTCGTTCACGAGCCAGGCTTGTTGCGCACAATATGCAACTCCTTCATAGAGTCCTGTCTTTGGATCTTGTCTCATTTCTTCTCTGCTGCGCCCACCGGGCAAACGTACAGCTCCCCTCATAAGGGTCATTTCACCAAGTAATGCCATCAATAAAGAAGATTTACCTGAGCCAGTTGAGCCAGCAATAACGTTCAGTTGACCCACTTTGAACTCGATGTCAAGATCCAGCAGTCTGAAAACGTCGCAGGCCTCGTCCGTTTCTTTGCTTCCCCAAGAAAAGGTACCTTCGTTGAAACCAATAAGGGGCTCGCCTTCATCGTCGAATTCGGTTTTTGCCAACTGGTTGTACTTGTCAGTTTCCGGTTCGTTCAGGTACTCTTCGATACGGTCTGTGGAGACTTTCGATTCTTGGACATGCGCAACCATGTCAGCAAGCTGATCAAGAGGAATGCGCAGGATCTGAAACAGAGAGAGCGCCGTGAACGCAACCGATGGCACGAGATCCTTCTTTTCAACAACTGTATACACAAAGAATGAAAGGAAAGTGATGAGAATCGGCGCTCCAGACCAGACGGTAGCTGCAATAGCCCACCACATGTATCGATGGCGTAGGTGCTTCAGCTCCACGTCTCGTTTGTCGTCCACCATTCCAATGAAGCGCTGCTCCCATGCAAAGAATTTGATTATGCGAATATTGCTCAGTACCTCGTTTGTGGTGTGAATCCTGCTGTCCGTGGCGGCTAAAATCTTCTTCTGAATAGATGCGAATCGCTTGGAGATGAACAGGTTGATTGGGAGGAGCAGAGCCATCATCCCAATACCCGCTATCGAGCTGTATCCCATAATCTTGTACAGGAGATAAACAGCGAGCACAACCTGAACTGGAGTGTTCGCCCAAAGGAAGTGCAGATAGGCACAAATTTCAGCCACTTTGAAAGAGTCCACCGCCATTAAATTGATGATCGCGCCAGATGTGACCTGAGCATCCGCTGCTGCTGCGTCGGCCGCAGCGGTAGACGCGTCCTGGGTCTTGACATTGTCTTTGGCTTTTTTCTTGCCCCATGTGAATGCACGCTTCAAGCGGCTAGGTTTGCTATCAGCGCCAGAGGATTTATTCGCCTCTCCTAGGACCTTGTCTGTGCCGGACGCAGCTCTGCGTTTCAAGGCCTTGGCATATATCTCACCAATGATGACAGCTTTGAGGCGGATGCAAACTTTCCGGCCGACCCACAAAGCTTGGCCATCAGCGAGGGCTGAAGCGCAGCCGGAAACGAAAAGCAGGATCACATAAAACCAAGCAGCATTCACTGGAGTCTCATCTGGTCGTTCTACGTATTCCAGTATAACCTTCAGGAGAAGCGTAGGCGCGAACGTGAGGAATCCAGAACCAACAGCCCAGGCAGCCTGTATTAATAAACCTCTCTTGAAGTATTTGAGTAAGTGCCACGCAAGTGCATTTGTTTTCTTTACAGCTCGGTAATCTGCTAACACGGCCGCGGCTTTATCTTTGGGCAATAAGTTCCAGACATCTTCCATCTCGTACGTTTTCGTATAGCCTTTCCATACAATCGCATCGACCCATGAAAATGTTGCGAGAGACAGCACACTGGCCACCTGCTCTTTCGACGGCTCCAGACCATTCTCATATTCCAATTTAACAGCTTTGTTTTCCTTTCGAGTGGTCAATGCGATTGTAGCTAGTAAAGTCACAATGGCAAAATCGGCTATGGTCAGGTTACGTGAAAGATTCGAGCGAGGGTGGATGATGGCCGAACGGAAGAGCAAGACGGTGAGAAGCCAGAGGGCACCATATATGAACGCTGTATGATACCAGAGCTTGGGAAACGATAATCTGTTTGAGCTGGAGAATAGCAGACGCAATGAAGCCAGAATTGCGACATATGTCCACACAGCAACTCCAGCAATACCTGCGGCGTTACTTGTACCACGCCAAGCGTGATACACAAACGCTGTGATATGTATTGCGAGCTCGCCGAGAACGGCTAGCCCCTCAAGTGCGACGATAAACAGCTCGCCTCGTGGCCGGTTTACTTCGATGATAGAGTTCCTTGTGACATGGCTTGCGGTTGCTGCCAGGGCGAGCTCTTCATTGGAGTCGTAATCGTCCGTATCGGTATCGTCGTCATAGGTGCCATTTCCATTTGGCTCAGCGTGAGATACAGTGCCGTCAAGTGGCTTGTAGAACTTATGTGATCTTGATTTCCCAGCTGTTTCGTATATCTGTTTGCATAGATATAGTAGAGAGGTGGCGCACACGATCAGAGGGAACAGGCCATGGAGATAGCTAGAACAGTGGTATCAGCAATCAGAATACCAATTAGACGACTTTCGACCTACTCTTGTTCAAAGCATGTTGTAAAATCGTCAGCCCTCCAGATGGGCGACTTGCATTGGGCGAACATGTCCTCCGATTCTCCCAAGCTCTCAGCGGGGATCAGTCGACATGAGCACTCGGGTGGATGTTATGAGCGAGCGGAGGGGCACATATGGCAGGAGCAGCCACAAGATGTTGAGGTATGTGTGTGAGGATGTGATGGAAGCGACTTCGCAGAGGAGACTGGCTGCAGTGGTGGATCTGGCGCGCAGGAAAGGTTTTTGTTGTTGTCAAGGGTATTATCGGGCTCTCAACGGTCGCCATGCACGTTAAGCATCGAGATGTACAAGCTTCCCTGGTGACGTTTGGGACGTTTGGCCCACTGTGGCCCGTGCTGGCCACTGTTTCATTGCCCGAACGACAAAAACAGGAGGCGGAGGATTGCTGAGCAAATGAACAATAAACGCTCAGACTATTGTGTGAAGTTATTCTTGTTATTTACCGCCCGAATGTCACTGTTATTCCTGGTGTCGGAATTATGGTGATACGGTCAATGATGACAAAAGACACAAATGCGAGTCTGCTGATAAGTCGAGTCGTGCGGGGGGGCGGCTGGACTTGATCGGTTATTGACCACAGACAGCTTCATACCTTGCAGCTGCATTACTGCAATGTAGACAGGCAGGCCATCATAGTCGAGTCTCTGGACGAATCAGAAGTTGGCTGGTACTGGACATCATTGTAGATTGATTGCTTGGCCTCACGTACGTCCATCTGTCTACAGGTAACATTAGCGATTCAATCATAATCGCTCTGCGTCACGTTCTCTGACTTCCGACATCGGTGTAGATTGTAGTACAGGCTCTTCGCTTCTATGTACATCTGGTGGTCAGACTATGTATGTATTTCCTCCTAGCCACCTACTGGCGAGGCTTAGCCTCCGGTACCCAAGCGGAGTACTTATGCTTCGTTCTATGATCGTTTCAGTGTAAGTCGTTCCCCAAATAGGATTCCCACGTACGTGCTATATGTCTTGAATCCAGAACGACTCCATGTCAATGTCGGCCTGTGCTCCTTTGGCTCCCAGACACGTTGTCCAACCTGCATCAAGGGATCGTGGGTTGGAGGTTTGTCGACCATGTAGGACATCCACGCGTGCCTGGTACCTCATGTAAATTGTGGGATGTAGAGGAATTGTAATCAGACATACCAGCCTGGCTCAATCTGTGAACTGGGAAATGCAGTCAGTACTGCCGTAAGGCGTGTCCGTCGTAGACAGAACCTACGGGTCGAATTCATGCTCCTTATAGTCCACCCATCGTGTCCGCACTGAAGAATGGTTTAATGTCTGAGTGGCATAGGTTGAAGCAAACACTAACATGGCAGCTCTTCCTCAAGATTCTCATAGAACTTGTTCCCGAATCTGTCCTTGCCGATGAGAGTTCCTGCCTTTGTATCACCTGCAATGTGTCAGAGCGAGCTCTTCCTGTCGTGACCTTGTGACTGACCGATGTTCTACGTGTAAGAACCAGTAATTAGTATATGGTGTATACTGATTGAGTTGTCGAGCATCGTACCTGCATCTGGTGTCCGTATTCCTATGAAATGATTGCGTTAGCTAGCGTAATTGAATCTTACACATTGGTGCGGCATACCTTGAAACCGATCCGGCGGAGATTCCGCAGAGTTCTTAGTATTGTCGACATCTTTGCGACGAGTGAGTGGAGATTTGTCGCTAAAGACGAGTCCTTTGAAGTTCGATATCATCATCTGGGAGGAAGGACCGAGTGGTCAGAGCTCTGATGACATAATCGACATGGCACTCCATGAGGTTCTACGACTTTGAGACTTATGCACTTCTACGGCCATTGACCTTTATATGACATGTTTAGACATGATAGTACGCACGGTATTCTGTCGGGCATCTACTCGAAGTAGCGGTGTAAAAGCGCGAATGATATCGCCGAGAAGATTCAAGGCAACCAGAAGATTTTCAACATCGACTTCCTCAGATATGCCTACGTCACCTTCGCCATCGAAGGCTTCAATGCTAGGTGTGATAACTGAGGAGCTTGATAAAGTGTCACCTCGATTTGAGATACAGCCTTCCGATATCAGAATCTTGCGTTCTCCTACCGAGTTCTATGAAACTCTTAAGGTCAGCATCTCTTTTCAATGCGGGTTCAGGGGCTCTCGAGTCGTTTTGCCGAATCAGACGCTTTACTACATGGATATAGTTTCATAATCTACTTCATTGTAGCGGCAGCTTCCTGAATGCTTGTATTAGCATGGCAGCTAACTGTTGATGTAAAGTAGACCAAGATATCGAACGCAAAAAACCGTATATACTTATCAACCCTGTACATCGGCAAGACAGAACATGAACTTGTAAGCATAATCTCTCCCATGAGTTACACTGCTAATTCCCTGATAGATTGCTACCATACGCGGAGCTCTCCAGAAAAACGAGAAGCTCAAAGTCTCATTTCTGACCGATGCACTCCGTGGCACGAGAGAGACGCCCAATGCCTCATGCGCATCCTTACTCGCTCCTCTCGTCACTGAATTTGGGCCGGAACGTGTTGAGATACGCATGTACCACACACCAAATCTCACAGGGATTCGCAAAAAGCTCATCCCGCTACGCATTAACGAAGGATGGGGCCTGCAGCACATGAAGCTTTATGGCATCGACGACGAGCTGTGCATGTCCGGCGCGAACCTATCCGACGACTACTTCACCAATCGCCAGGATCGATACCACATCTTCTCCTCACCCGACATCACCAAATACTTCCACCGCATCCACCACACCATCAGCAGCCTCAGCTTTCTTATCCAGCCATCCCCCGACACACCCGCCGGATACACCATGACATGGCCATCATCCAACCCTTCCCCCTCCCCCATCTCCTCCCCCTCAACCTTCAAATCAACCTCCACCGCCCTCCTCGCGCCCCTCCTCAAACCCTCTTCCCTTCCACCACCCCCTTCCTCCCCAACCTCATCCCTAATCTACCCCCTCCTCCAACTCACCCCAATCCTCTCCCCCGACACATCCACCGAACAACCCACCCTCCTCAAAATCCTCTCCCTCATCTCTCCCTCTCCTTCTGACCCATCAACTCCGGACCTCCTCACCTCCCCCCGCTGGACCTTCACAGCCGGCTACTTCAACCCCTCCCCGCGCATCTCCCGCGCCCTCCTCGCCACCCGCCCCCACGCCTCAACAATCATAACCGCGCACCCACACGCAAACGGCTTCTTCAACTCCCCAGGCATCTCCGGCATGCTTCCCGCCGCATACACGCTTCTAGCGCGCCGCTTCACGGACCGCGTGCGCCGCGCCGGGCTCGCCCCCTACATCACCCTCAAGGAGTGGCAGCTCGGCACAGTAAACACGCCTGGCGGCTGGACGTACCACGCAAAGGGCTTCTGGCTCACGCTGCCGCGTGAATCACAGCATCCTTGCCTGACGCTGATCGGGAGCTCGAATTATACGAAGCGTAGCTATGGGCTGGATTTGGAGGCGAATGTGGTTGTTGTGGCGCGGGATGAGGGGTTGAGGCGGAGACTGGGTGAGGAGGTGGAGTGGTTGCAGGAGCATGCGCGGGAGGTAGAGAGTGGAGAGTTTGAGAAGGCGGAGAGGAAGGTTGGGTTGAAGGTGCGGGTGGCGATGTGGATTGTGAGTGTTGTTGGGGGTGCGCTGTGAGGGATTGGGGTGTGTGTGCAGTGTATAGAGTGTATGAGTATTTGAGGCGAGGGCTGGGTTGTAATGGCTTGAGTGTAAGTGTTGCGTGCTTTAGGTACGTATGTTGAAATATTCTTTGGAAACGAGAACAAAATATATATTGCTTCGATACGACCGTGACATCGAAGCTCTTGAGAGTCATTGGCCATGTTCGGAACAGAGTAGTTGATAGTTGATACACCCAAAAGACTTGCAAATCATTCATCGTATAGGGCTAAGTAATGCTCCTGTCAACAGGCTTTCAGGTCTAACTAGCTAATTGCCCGCATCATCTTATGCCGAGAGGGGAATATACCTGTAACCAGTAACCTGCTATTGTTTGCAAGACGAGCATCAGAATAGCATCGTATGCATCCCACGTAATAAACCCAAAACACCATTGTGCAACCCATCCGTACAAGCATGCACCTTGTAGCCTTCTTCTCTGAGCCATCCATGAGAGAAGAGGCAGTCTTGATTTCCGAACACTGATAGACCGAGCCGGTGGGGAATACGAAAAGAAAGTTCAGTTAGCGGCTGTAGCACAGTCAGATGGCTGGATAAATTGCATCTTTGAGAAACCTACTCTTCCGCCCACTCGTTCTCACGGCGGATCTGGTCCTCCTCTTCTGGTGTAAAGTCGTTCTGGATGTTAAAAGTCTTGCGGATCTCGTCAGGCGACTTGCCCTTGATCATGTTCGCGACAGTCTTGCATCCGACATCGAGCAGAGCCTTGATATCGAGATAGTTGGCGGCGAGGATGATCTCAAATAGCATTTCCTGGTCGACCTGCATGAACTTCTGGTCCCATTCGTCAATGTCTGTCGTCTTCTTTCGGTTGTCGGCGTCATCGTCGGCAGCGGCGGGAGGGTCCTTCTTGTGCTGTTCACACCATTCGAGCACTTTCCTCATCACGGCCTCGTTGACCTAGAGATTTGTAAGTGGCGTCGGAGTGGTTCAAGTGGTGATGGAACGTACGTTGGGGATAGGGATTGCGCCCTGTTCGGCAGCCTCAGGGCCAAGATCCTCAAGCAAGTTCTTGATGAGGACAGAGCGCTCAGCGACTTCACGGTCTAGAGGACATGTCAGCGACGGTTAATTGGTGGCGGGTGGAGCGCACGAACCGACGCGGATCTCAATGCCATCAGAGGTTTCAATAAGCACGAAGGGCTTCTCAGTAGAGTCTGCAGCAGCCATTTTGAGGTATGTGGCGTTGTTGTAGACGACTGTGGTGTGTGTGTGTATGTATGTAGTAGGAGTTGTAGAGTGGATGAGGTGGGGTCTTTATAGCTCTAGTAGTGGCGTGCGGATGGTCGTGGATGGTCCGTCTGCTTTGGGGTTTGAAGAGGCAAAGTCGATGGGTGGTGGTCGTATTATATAAGGGTAGAAGCGCGCTCTGAAGGTGGAGCCTTTTTTGTGAATAACAAGTTGTTGTAGAGGAACAACAGGCAGCGGCTCCACGTTGTTCGGTGTCCTTTGTTCCTTGGAACTATGAACCTGCGAGTTCCTGAGTATATCCGCAGTATTCCGAGGCACTAGGTCCTGCAGCCTTAAATCAGGCAACTATCAGCCTCAAATTCCGGGCCCATTCACGTGCGGCGGTGCGTCTTCTATTTATTCAAGTGCTTCTGCCTTCAATCCAACTCCTCGCAGCTTACATGAAGTGTTTGTGTTTCAACGTCATTCATTCACGTCTAACACGTGGATGGTCCGTGTTTTGTGTTTGCTTCCAAGAAGTATAAATATGGCGCAAACAAAGCAAGCCTAGGGATAATAACACTGTCTGCCCGCAGGCACACCCATCTTGCCATTACGGCGTCTACAAAAGCATCTATACTTGGACTGACAAGTCTACCTATTTTCACGCAGGATGGTCTTGGAACCGAGATTGGGTTGGTGGTGGTGGCCGGCAGAGAGCAAATATGCCCGACGCAATCAATATATGAACAGATGTCGTGGGAGAGTGCCATGTCGATTGATGATTGCTACAAACAGACTGGTATAATGAGACGACAGGTCTTCATAGATTGAGCTAGCGAAGAGTCTCTTTGTATTGAAGCATCATGACCGGCAGACAACATTTTACAACTAAGAGGAACGTTAGTCCGATTGAGGCCTGGTATTTCAGGTTTCCAAAGTCCAATCATCCGTCCAGTGACAGTTTGGACCGGGGAAAAATGTGGGTCTCGATCGAGCCGAGAAAACGCCGGCGCGCAGCATCACGCTTAAGACATGAGAGATTCGATGTGGAAATGTGATGCTGAAGGATCAAGAGGACAATAGGACCCCTACACTAGATATCTGATGTGTGTTTCGTCACGGGCATCCAATGTAACACAATACCCGTCTCCTGTTCAATACTAGCCCCCTTTGCGAGTCCTCATAGTATATGTAATATATTTATTCTATAGCGTTCGGAGAGAATCCCCCTATCCACCTACTTATGTCCGGCCGTCTGTCCACCTAAACCTTTGTCTTACTTCCAGCTGGTTTGATCATTCCACACTTCTGCACCTCACCTTTGTTCTTTTGTTCGAGGCGCAAGTCGGCGCAGCATGCCATCGCCAACAGCGGTCTATCATCACCTGCTTTAGATCCTTTACACCCCGTCATAGAAAGATGTGGCGGCGGACGTATCTGTTGCTCATCCTGGTCAGGCTCTGGTTTGCCCTTTCACCGAGCTATCTGCATCCCGACGAGAACTTCCAAGGACCAGAAGTCATCGCCGGTGGGTTACTTTCCTCTGCTTACAGCTTCTTAGCTAACGAGATACCTTGCGCAGGCCGAGTCTTTTCCTACCAAGTACACCTCACCTGGGAGTTCACCTCCGAGAATCCTATCCGGAGTTCGTTTCCGTTATGGCTGACCTATGGCCTACCAATGTATATTCTGCACTGGATATGGGAGGGAGCTGGGAAGGGCGAGGTGCCTCCATTCATCGTATACTGGGTGCTGCGCATTATCATGTTTACTTTGAGCTTCGTTCTTGAGGACTGGGCCATACACGAGCTCGTACAATCGCCGAGCCAGCGCCGTCGCGCAGTGCTGCTCGTGGCATCGTCTTACGTGACGTGGACTCTACAGACCCATACATTTTCGAACTCGATCGAAACTCTTGTGCTAGCCTGGAGTATGGTTTTGATCCACCGCATCGTCGAGGACAAGGCAAGTTCGTCGCCTGCGCCGCAGGGCCGTCTACTGACATCTTTGTTAGGAACGCTCAAGCGCACTTGCTTGCACGTTACTAGGATTCCTCTCGGTGCTTGGAGTCTTCAACCGTATAACATTTCCTGCATTTCTTCTTGTACCCGGGCTACAGCTATGTCCTCATTTCAAGCGAAAGTAAGTCATCAGATCTGGCGTTTCGGACAAAGCTTACCAGCCATCAAGGCCATTCTCTCTGCTTTTCATAATACTCTCGGTCGCCTTTACAACTTTCCTCGCCATCGGTTTCGACACCGCATTCTACCAGAACGAGACCTTAAACTTTATCGATCTTGTCCGCCGTCCCGTCATCACGCCATTGAATAATCTGATATACAACTCGTCTTCAGAAAACCTTGCACAGCATGGTCTGCATCCGTACTACCAGCATATCGTTGCGAATCTACCACAGCTTCTCGGTCCGGCGTTTCCCCTATTATTTCTCTCTTATCGCAAATCATTACGCCTCGCATCTGCCGTTGCCGGCATACTTCTCCTCTCCCTGTTTCCGCATCAAGAAGCGCGATTCCTTCTCCCAACGATACCCCTTATTCTCTCCTCGATACGACTACCTAAATACTTGCCGCGGCTCTGGCTAGCCTCTTGGATCATATTTAATGCTTTCTTTGGGATACTCATGGGGGTATATCACCAGGGTGGTGTTGTACCCGCACAAAATTACATCGCAGCTAGCGAGGAGAACATCTCGCACGTCTTCTGGTGGAAGACGTATAGCCCTCCAGTGTGGTTACTGGACGGCAAGAGCGAAAACTTGTCCACAATCGACCTCATGGGGCTGCAGGGAGACCTCATGGTGGCTCGTGTGCAAGACGCGCTGAGCTGCGACCACTCCCGCACTCTAAACTCCACTTCCCCAGCAAGCGTCTACCTTGTCGCGCCTCGCTCCGCGTACTATCTAAAACCATATATACAAGGCAGCGATAGCGCGACACCAAATCTGCTCCACCTCGAAGAGGTCTGGAGCCATACAAGCCATCTGAACCTAGACGATCTAGATTTTGGAGACGATGGCATCTGGCCAACACTATCCAGAGTAGTTGGCGATCGTGGTTTGGTCATTTGGGAAGCACGGAAAAGTTGTTAATGTATTAAAAAAATTGTATTGGGCTTGGGCTGTGTTTGGTTAAAAGGGTGTGTGGTTGGGTTGGGCCTGGGGTTGGTTGGCTGGTGGTGGGCGGCGGAATATAAAAAGGCACGGCGATGTCTACCCTTGGTGCAGCGCCTTTGATGCTTCTAGATTTATACCCCTGTACACTTACGGCCTTGGCGCCTCGTCTTGACTATCGATCATCTTCTTTGTCTCTCTCGTATATGTACTGAAAAGACTAGCTTCGCAGCAATCTCACTTTTCTTGCAATACACGGACACGTCACGTTTCCTTAACCGCACTGATGCTGCAGCGGGAGAGAGAGTGAGACACGCGGGAACAAAGACTCTGCGAGGACGCTCAGCGACGAGCTAGAATTACGGGATCTACATAACTACCTACACACACAGAACGGGGCTAAAAAATATTTTTCGGAGATAGAGTACGCGCTTTTCTTTCGATCGCGAGAACACTGAAGAAATGCAAAACATGTAAACATTCAAAATGCTTTTTTGCGTTGCGTTGCGTCGCATAGCGTAGCAAGACAGAACGAAAAAAGGACGAGATGCACAGAACGCTGAAAAACCGCTTCATTTCTTCGGCAGCAGATACTCCTTGCGCCCCGTGACCTTGTCAAAGACCGTCGCGACAACACCACGGATAGACTGCCTCTTGGGCCGAGCCTTCATATCAGCCGCAAGCTTCTCGTACACATCCGGCAGGCCGATAACTCGCTTACTGCCATCTGCTTCGGCATCGTTGTTCTTCTCCGCCTCGTCCGACGGCGGCGGCGCCACAACGACAGCCTTGTACTTGCGGCGCACCTCGTCGTACGCAGGCTTGTTGTAGATTTCCCAAAACTCGTCGTGGGTGTAGTACGTGCGGGCATAGAGCAGCTTCGCAGCGAGGAGTTCCGAGGCCTTGGTCTCGAGCTTACGATTGAGTTCCTTGAACGCCTCGGCGTCACGCGGGCCACGGCCATAGACGCCGACGCCGTAGACGCGTTCGGTGCGGACGGCCTGGACAAGGGGGTTCATGCGGGAGGAGATCTTCATGCCGTCTGCGGAGAGGGCGGGGACGAGGAAGAGCTGGCATTTGGGCATGACATCCTGGACGTAGGAGATGAAGGCAGCGACGTTGGAGGCGGGGACGCCAAAGTCCTGGACGACGTATTCGTCGGCGAGGCCGGTCTTGTGCAGGGCGTGGTAGCAGGTGCGGGAGTCGAGGAAGGGGTCTGCGAGGCGGCGGAAGGGGGCGATGTTGGGGATGTGGAAGTGGTCGAAGGCGAGGTTGCCGCCCCAGAAGGCGCCGTGGTCGAAGCGGAAGAGGTAGTCTTCGAGGTGCATGGTGAGGGTGGAGGGCAGGTTGGCGTAGCGCTTCTCGACTTCGGCGGAGAACCAGTGTACTTGCATTTTCTTGAGGGGCGGGTGTGCTGCGTCGTCGCTGATGTGGCCGGTCATCATGACGATCTTGGCCTTGTTGTAGAAGATGCCGTCGATGTACTCTGGCTGTGGAGTCGAGGCCACGGCGGCTTCGAAGGTTGGGACTACGTTCTCTGGACCGTCGATCTTGGTGATTTCGAGATTGACAAACTTCTTTGCATCGAACAGTTCGACTGTCAGCAGAGTGACGATGCCAAAGGTACCCAGACTACCACCAGCATGCTCGAGCAGATCCTCGTTGACAGTCCGGGACGCATGCTCCAAGGATCCATCACCAAGTACAATCTCAATCTCAGACACCGTGTTCTGGAACAGGCCATGCTTGTGCATGTTACTCTCGCCCGACATGCCCGAATAGCCACCCCCGACCGTGATGCCCTTGAACTCCATCACAATCTTCGGAACAAGACCGGCTTTCAGCGTGTGCGCGACCAGCGCGTCCATAGGCACATTCGGCTCGGCCTTGACGGTCTTGGTGGCTTGGTCCACTGGAAAAAGGCGATTCATGTCGCTCACATCGACAATGTTGTCCCGCGTAAAGTTAAGCGGCCGTGTTGATGAGGTCGAGCCATGATAGATGCGAAAGTGTCGACCTTCGTCGCGGAATTTCTTGACGGATTCTTGGATCCGCTTCACTGATTCCGCATGGCTCGAGATGAGCTTCTCGTCGGTGGCAGACATGTCTTTGTTGCTGGGTAACGAATTTGTTGATGCTGACAAAGGAATGGTGTCCGCGCTGACAGCAAGGGATTAGCTATGATTGACAGCTGTGTGACTCCCTCTACTCACATTGGGGCAAATTACTTACAGCAGCTTTGATGAGCTGAAGCTTCTGATTGATGATACCCTATCACGTGTAATGATGTAGTAAGTTTCTTGATATGTGACGACGTTGGATTTTGTTGATGGAAAAGGTAATTACAGCTTCAGCGCTACGCTCAAAGGGGCAATCGCGCACAACAGTCTGCACAATATGATCTATCGATTTTCACAACGATAAATGTTGTTTTTTGTGCAAATCATTCAAGTGTGTACGACTCCCACTCATTCTCAAACTCCAGTACTTGTACGGGTAAGATCGTGTATCAAGTTGTATGTTCATCATACGATGCGAGAAACACGACGCGTCATTAGAGTACACAGCCACGCCTTGGTATGGCCCCACCATCATCAAGACGGAAAGGACAAATCACGATCGTTTTGTGATCACAGGGCAGACGTGGCGTTCAGTTCGATGAGATGATTGCTTGACGATCAGCATTAAAACTCTGAATATGCAAGATGAGAAGTGTCAGCGCTGCTGCGGTGTCCTTGGATAATAATCTCCCAAGTGCTTACGTGTCATCCGAGCCGTCGTCATCATCGGGATCACGTATCCGGTGTACACTCGAGTGTTATCACGGATAACCGCATCAGGCTTCCCGGATCTATTCCGAGTCTTCAGTAGCAACAATAAGCATCCAAGCGAGCAGACGATGCGAGGTTTGCAACATCCAATGAAGGAGCTTCCGTGGTTTTCATAATCTCTGTATCGGTGGAGATGGACCTGATTGCGACTCGACGGTCCTTTTGTTGTTTAGCAGTCTCAGATCTTGCCCGTGTTCTTAAACATCGATCCGCATTACGCACGATCCAGCTCTCGGAATAACGTATGGACCATCGAATCAGAACGGCTGCAACCTCGCTATGAGCTCCAAGTGCGATACTAAGCACCCCTTGAATTTGGATTTAATTACATTAGGAATGAAGCGTCGAGCTGGTCGTTCTAGGTACGGGTCGAACAGCATGCTCATAGGTACTGCAGGTAGATCCTTGGCAAAGCATATTTCTTTTACCTGGTTGTTCTCGCATTCTTACATTGTCAACTTCTTTCCCTGGCCTTCTTGATTCGTCTCGAGAAATATGGTGGTTGAATGACGTCGAGGAGATAGCCACCACGAACGTCTCCAACCAGACCAGATCTCCTCTTGAAAACATATTTCGTTGGAAGCATAGTCAGGTCTAGAACGTGTTCTGAATGTTCAAATATCATCAACGCCTTGATGAGCGACACTAATACAACATCTCAAGAGTTGTCTGAATTCCTTTGGGTTTTGGATTTCATAAACGCAGTCGGTAGAGCCGTGTCTAGACTTTTCTTTCACGCGCGACTGACTACCCCATCCAAACTTGCGGTTGATGTCGTGATTAGGATTTCGTGTCTTATGTCGCTCAAGCCATCAAGCTGTTGTTTATTGTTTGCTCTATAGCAATCATCTGACAGGGGTACCGGATCTCAAATGCCGATTTCCAGCGCAGATCACCGTCATTGGTGGGGTAGATCTTTGGTCACCGACGAAGAAGACGTCAGACAACGCTTGAATCTTGCATTTCAGTATACATATAACTATCATGGCGCTAATTCTGGATATAATCAGCGGAGCATGCCGAATCACTATCTGCATTTGCTGTACTTGCAGAACTACCCGATGAACAGATGTATTGAATTGGGGTAGATGCAAATCGAACGGGTCTGACGACATGGCTTCGCCATCTCTAGATTGTGAAGTTAATCATGATGCATGTATGTATCGTTTCATTCTTGAGTTGAACCGCTCACTCAGATCAAATCTCTAGTTGACAATGGAAATGTCATCGGTTACAAGACAGAATGTTCGGAAACTGTCGAGCGTGATGAAACGAAACCACAAAAGATGCCCTCCAAAACGATATCTCGTCGAAGTCTCGACCTTACCATCTCCTTCGCCAAAGATCAATGGTTCCTCATCGTCATGGGCATTCTCATCGTTGTCGCATCGCAAGCCCCGGTGCCACTATCGCAACAGAAGACCAAAACAAATGTCATCAATTACCTCGCCGTATCTCTAATCTTCTTCCTCAATGGCTGCGCCATCCCAAGTCGGGACTTTCTCGAGAACCTCAAGCGCTGGCGCGTACACATCTTCGTGCAACTGCAGAGCTTCGTGCTTGCATCGGCAGTTGGCTTTGGCGTCATGGCTGCGACGGGAAGCAACGCTCAATTCTTCGATCAGGAGTTGCTGGTAGGAGTCATTGTACTGGGCTGTTTGCCGACTGCGTGAGTGGTTCTCGTTTCTTAAAGTCAGAGAAGGGGGTGTGCTCATTCCAACGACAGCATCGCATTCAACACCCTCATAACACGGAAAGCCGATGGCAACACTGCGCTCTCGCTCACACAGTCCGCCCTGGGAAACATCCTAGGCCCCTTCTTATCCCCTGTGTTAGTCCGCATGTACACGAGCGTGCACGCGTGGTATACCACCGGTCTGCCCTCCGACCAGGATGGATACAGAGATCTGTACGCACGAGTGTTCAAACAACTCGGGCTGTCCGTATTCGTACCACTAGTCCGTCTCCCCAATCCCATTCCTCGCCACCAGAAACACACACAGCTAAGCAATATATCCCCAGGCCGCCGGTCAGATAACCCTCGCCTTATGCCCAAATATCACACGCACAGCATTGTACAAGTACAAGCTCATCAAACTCCCCTCCCTCGCCCTTCTCACGCTCATCTGGTCAACCTACGACTCCGCCTTCGCCAGCCACGCTTTCGCGCCCCTGCCCGCGAGCAACATTGTCTTTACAATCTCTATTCTCGCGGCGCTGTACCTCGTCTGGGCGGGGCTGGCATTTGTGCTCTCGCTCACGTGGCTGGCGCCTGAGAATGTGGTCGCTGTGGTGTTTGTCGTGGCGACCAAGACCCCAGCGATCGGGGTGCCGTTGACGGGCGTGTTGTTTGCTGGACTGGAAGAGGAGCGTTTGGATCGGATGCGTGTTGCGACGGTGGTGTTTCAGGCGCTACAGGCGCTGCTGAGTGGGGTGTTGTGTGTGCCGTTGCGACGGTGGCGGGGGAGGATGGAGAGGAGGAGTGGAACGGGGAGATAAAATCTATAACGGAGATGGATTATAGATACCCGGTAAGAAAAGACATCAGCATCGAGTATTGAACCGAATCGAATTGAAGTGTCATAGTCTATATACACTCCTCGTCCGTCCCCCATCCCAGCCAAACACGTTAAGTGAATCACACCTCTAGACCTTATCAACATGCGTAACGCTCCTCTTACGCTCCTGCGTCTCCGCAATCTGACTCAGACTCATCCCACGCTTATCGCCATCCATCTCCGCCACATCGACAAACGCGATCTGCGGACGGAACTTCTTGCTCTGCCACGCCTTGCCCACAATGCCATACAACTCGTCCACCTGCTCAAGTGCCAGACCCTTCGTCTCATAGATCATAAAGTACACAAACGCGATACACACGAAGCAAAAGCTGCCCCAGACAAAGAACACCTTGGACTGTAGATTCGCATACTGCGCATTGACCATGTAGGGCGTCGCGTAGGCGATCGCCCAGTTGAGCAGCCAGTTGGACGCGGTGGTCATTGAGAGGCACTTTGCGCGCACCTTGAGCGGATACAGCTCGCCAGTGACTACCCAGGCGACGGGGCCCCACGACGAGGCGAAGAAGAAGATGTAGAAGCAGACGAAAGCAATGGCGGTGTTTTGTGCGGCTTGGTTGGTGGTGCCGGCGACGGTGCCGGTGATGGCGACGATGTACTGGCATACGCACATGCCGATGGCGCCCATTAGGAGTAGGTTGCGACGGCCCATCTTCTCGACAAGGTAGAGGCCTGGGAAGGTTGAGACGACGTTTACGGAGTTTGTGATGACTTGAATGATGAAGGAGTTTCTGAAGCCTGCGTTGCGGAAATATTGGGTGCCCTGGGTGTTGGATTAGTCATGTGGTGAGTTTTATTGGGATGTATGCGTGCTGTGGCTTACGTAGTAGAAGATGAAGTTGACACCGGTGAGTTGTTGGAGGGACTGAAGGAGACAACCTGTGGCAAGACGTTTGCCGATGGTGCCCTTGAAGCACTCGGCGTAACTCGCAGTGCCGATGCTCATCTCGTAGTTGTGGTTGGCTTGGATCTCAGCGAGCTCCTCGACGACGGCAGGATGAGTGACGTCCAGACGGCGAAGTCGGGCAAGAGACTTGGCAGCCTGATCGTGCTTGTCTTGCTTGATCAGGAAGCGAGGGGTCTCAGGGAGAACGAGCAGGCCGCCGCACAAAATGAGAGACCAGGCGAATTGCACAGCAATAGGGATGCGGTATGAGCCACTGTCCATTCGACCTTGAGTGGAATAGTTGACAATGGCGGCGAGGAAGAGACCAATGGTGATAGCAAGCTGGTATGTACCGACGATCGCTCCTCGAATCCATTTAGGGGCGGTCTCACTCTGGTACAAGGGGATCATGGCAGAGATGAGACCGACAGCCAGGCCGGCGAAGAATCGTCCAGCAATCAAGAGGTCCTGACCGGTCGAGGCGGTCTGCAGGATGACTCCCAGGTTGAAGACAATGGCAGCACTGAGGAAGAGACCCCAGCGACGGCCGAGAAAGTCGGCAGCAGGAGCAGCCAACAAAGCACCAAAGAATGTACCCGCAGACAGAATAGACACAATCAGAGAGTCTTGCGAGGCAGTAAGGGTGTTGTCAGGAGTGGTGGAGAAGGTCTGTAGCCAGTAAGGCATAGCCAAGATACCAGATATGGTACCCGTGTCATAGCTGGGAGAAGGTTAGGACGACAGTAGTAACACCGGAAGCAAACATACCCATAAAGAACACCACCAAAGGCCACAAAGAGACCGATGGCAATGGCAGGCCACGCAGCACCGGGGACATCCTCAGGCTTCTTCAGAGCCCAACCCATGTTGACGCGAATTGATAGTTGGTCGAGTAGGGCGAAGGGACAAGCACTCAACACAGAGCTGGATCACAAGCAGTCAAAGAGGATAGAATTAGAAATGGTAATTTATCGTGAAAGAAGGGGAGGTTGGGAGTTCTTGTAGTGGGCCTGAAGCAGACCCTTCATGGGAAGACATGATCTCGAACAGCGGTAGAAGCCGTGCAATGGAGTATTTGGTGAAGAAAGCGCAGATTTTTATGATACAGAGTGGAGGCGTCTTGTTAGGGTGGCATGGATGTGGAATGAACAGAGGTCTACAGAAGAGCCTGGCCAGTTAAAGTGGATATTGTACGGGCCCTTGACAGCCCACAGATGGAATATAGATGGAGCGACAATGGAGATGATCGTGAAACTGTCGAGGGTCTGATGCGGGGAGTGGAGATGTTGGATGGCGGAGAGAATGGGGAAGCATCCAATACCAATACTGATATCGATATCAATATCAATATCAATGATGATGTGTAGTGAATGCGGCGAAACTCTCCTTGGCGCCTCAGGAAGACGTGCAAAGGTGGCTGGAAAGGGCTTCGGAAGTGGAGAAATTTGAGCGATAATTGTACCGAGTATCTTGCCTTGATGCCTGATGCCTGAGTATGCGGAGAGTCAGGCAGCTACACATATGCCTAGGCGGCGATAAGGCTGTAAGACATTAAGGCCTTAAGGCATCACTGGAACCAAAAAGTGTAGATGAGATAGGTACAGTAGGGCTTGGCATGGCCTCCGTACTTTTCAGCATGGTAGCTACGCGGACTTGTCGCCGACTCTCCGGATAATAGGGGTAGTATTAGCCATCAAAAGACCATGACCAATTTACAGGTAATTAGATAGAAGGCGATAGTAGATGATTTCGATCCACGTAGCATTCTGCACTATCAGCTAGTGTATCTAATTATATCTCTATTAATACTAAAGACTGCTATTTCTGACGATGTGAACGCCACGGAACTGTTATGCGACAGCGTGAAGCTACATCCCAGCTGCAGAACGGGGACGTGAAATATGGACAAGGGTTTAAAGGCCATAAGAGTGAGACTGTGCATTCAAGCCACATCCGTACATGCATATTATATACAGTACCGATAATGCATCAATACCGTATCATTGTTTGTTTGATGTGCAGCGCATGACTCGTGGCGAGTGGCTGCCGGCTGCCTGGGTGCCCGATACGAATGAAGCGTCATCAAAACATCAACATCTTCGTGTTGCTCTCGTGAATTCCGTCCTCCGTTAATCTTGTTCTGTCGTCAAGCTCGCCAAAGCCCGAGGAATCCGTCCGATAAAGTTGTCTTGGTCTGCCGATCGACGCTACTCGAAGTTAGTTTGACTACAGCCATCGAAACTTATTTGCTGAACCTCCCCCAAAGAGGCTTGGACGACAGCTGTCGTCAAACTTAATCTTCTCCTTTCCCTACACCGAGACGAACTCTCTCTCCCCCAATTCCAGTCTGCGGCTCTGCTAGCAGATCGCCATCCACTACTTCACTAGAGCCTAGGTGACATCTGCCACATGTGCACTTTACAGTTTACCGCCTTGTATGTCCTTCTTTAGCACCGTACAAGCCTAGAATTCTTCAAACCCAGACCCAACCTGCACATAACCTTAACCCGCTGACTGTGCCCTGATGCGATCCGTTCCAATGCGTTATATCCTGGGTCTTCCTTGACTTCTTTCTCGACTTGGTCATGTTCGTATAGAGTGTCTTGCCTCTGATCATGCTGGCTGCTCACGGCCTTACACTGATATATGTTGTTTCAATCTTCAGTGTGCTAGCCACCATCACCGTCTCGCTGCGATGTTATACCAGACGCTGTCTGTTGAAGAGGTTCGGTGCTGATGACTTCCTTGCAACAATAGCTCTTGTAAGTCCCAAAAAGCCACCCCGACCCCCAACATCACTGATCCTGGAACTCGATTCTACAATTCCTTGCCATGATACCCCTCCGCTGACCGTAGCACAGTTCCTATATCTCATATTCAGCGTGTTTTGCATACTCGGAGTTCGTTTTGGAATTGGGGAGCACGTCTCACAGCTCGATGATGAGCACATCAAACGGACTATGCTGGTACCGCTCCCCTCCTTACTCACACTACCAGCTCGTCTTAACAATGTTCAGATCTGGTGGATCGCCTATCTCATGTACGGCGTCATCATCACCATCGTCAAAGTCTCCGTCGGCCTCTTCCTGCTACGCATCACCATCTACCGCCACCAGCGTTATTTGTTATGGCACGCCATCCACGTCACCATAATCGCAGGCGTCATCTTTGTCTTCATCGTTGCCTTCCAATGCAAGCCCGCCTCCTTCTTCTGGACGAGACTCGCCCGCGACAGCACACACCAGGGCACGTGCATCAACCCCCACACCTATGTTGCCCTGGCATACTGGTTCAGCGTGATATGCGTCGTAACCGACTTCATCTTCGCCGGCCAACCTATCTTCCTAATCTTCACCCTGAATCTGGGCTGGCGGGATAAAGCCATCCTGTTCGGCATCCTGAGCATGGCGACAATGTGCGTAACCTCCTTCCTACATCGACTTCAAATCCCTAACGCTACCAACAGTGCCTGCTTCGCCCCCATCGTCCGCATGTTCCACCTCCACGCCCTCACCAGCGACGACTTCCTCTGTACGTCTCCTCTCAAGACCTTTCTGTCCCTTCCACCAAACTAACCTACCTCCCAAACAGACGCAACAACCGACATCGCCATCTGGTCTTCCGTCGAGCCCGGCCTCGCCATCACCACCTCCTGCCTCGCCACCCTCCGCCCCATGTGGCGCCACGTCCGCACCCCCAAACGCACCACCATGGTCGCCCAAGCGCCCAACTCCTCCGTCTTCAAAGTCCGCGTCTCCGCCGGGCTCGATTCAGCCGGCGACCATACCGCGCGCGCCGGCGACGAGATCATTCCCCGACGACGCCACGAGAGCATATATCCAGGCGACCCGGCTCTGACCAGCACCATCACCACCACCATCACGTCCACCAACACAGCCACGACCGCGGCGCAGGCGACGCAGGAAGTGCCCATCTTGCTCGACGCAGGCGGGCTGTGGGGCAAGGTGTTTCCGGGCATTGTCTCGGGCCGGCACAGTATTGCCAGACTGGACGAGAGCGAGCACCCGCGTGCGGCGGGCGAGTTGGATCTGTTGACGAGCTCGAATACGTTGCGCAGCATGGAGACTGCGGGCAAGTGCTCCGAGGACGGCATTGTATGATACCTATAGATCCCCCCCCCCCCATGACTGCCGCCGCTGGATCGGCGATGAACGCATATGATGCTACGCGTGGGGTTAATGATAATGAATAATAATGGGCGTGTCGTTGTTGTTCGAGGTTCTTGAAGTCTGTGCAGATATACGCTGGCTTTGGCTCTTGTTGTGTGTCTACTTTGGTGCTCCGTCGTCTGCTCGTATCTTCGGAACAGGCTCCGACACCACACATCTCCACTTAGGTGTGCAAAGACCTCAAAGAAATACCACGTGCATCATGAACATCGTTCATGAATTCCCATGAACTGCCGTGGACGTCGGAGATGTCGATCACGACGATCACGCCACACGGCATGGATCCCATCCATTCCAAGATCTACACGGCGCTACCCGGATCTAAGCCAGGTAGCTAGGCCCCGTCCTCCTGTCTTCTCCGCCTTACCCCGTCTAACTGTATTCCATCTAGTATATAGTAATAACAACCCATCTTAAGCCCACGACTTCGGAACTTCCTTCGATTTCAAATAATGGTGATGGTGTATGTATGTATGCGGAGAAAGACGGGGGAGATGCAGCGGATTGCTAGATAATGCGAGGTACGAGGGACACGAGTGAAGGATGCGAATACGTACGCTAGATGATGATGTTGGTATAACTCTAACATCTTGATAATAGTATCGATTAATTAATTACAGTACTAAGGTAGGACAATAGTCCGGGAACATTTCAGGCAACCTTCAGGCCATTTGATAGAACTACCAACTCCATATACTATCCACCACGTACACCGACATCAGACAGCTTCACCCTTAGTATTAATTCTCACCAGCGCCGTACATGCAATCAACAAGAATTTGTAAACATCACATCTTGCCACACATAATGAGGACTAAGAGCTCCTACTACTTCGTGAATGATGCCTGGTGCCTGTCTGTGTAACTACGCACTTGTATACACACACGGAAAACCAGCAAGCACATACATCCAATAGACCATTTAGGAAAACACAAAAGAACACACCAGAAACAACACGTCAAACGCCATCCTATGCAATTTTTTAATATCCGTATATATCCTTGTGACGCACAAACTGCAAGCAAACAGCGAACACACAGCAGACTACACTACAGACTGTAGACAATGGACCATTAACTAGACAAATCATCTCATATATCAGCAACCTTCTTGTCCTTCTTGTCCTTCTTATCCTTCTTGGCTTTCTCTTTCTTGACCTTGGGCGATTTCTTCTCGTTGTCGCCATGAATGGTCTCCTTGGGCATTTTGGCATGCTTCTCTTTTTTGGATTGCTTGGTTGCACCTGCTTGTAGCGTGCTGCTGTCTGCTGACTCCTTTGGCTTCGCTTCATGAGTGGTTCCAGTCGCTACTTTCTGGGACGTTTTTGAGTGACTTTGCTTTGGGAGTTTTCTGTCTGGAACAGTCTCCTCGGAAAACCCCTTGGAAGCACTCTCCGCGTCTGTTTCCTGGGCCTTTTCATCCTGTATAACGCCGTTCGCGTCCTTCTTTCCCTTGTCCTTGCCCTTGCCCTTGCCCACGGCCTTAACATTGACGCCCTTCCGCCTCAGCCGGCTCATCTTCGCCCGCTCGATATACACCCTGTCCTCCTCGCTGTCAAACCCACCAAACTCATCCTCCTCCTCGCTCTCTCCCTCGTCGTCCTCGATCGGCGCCCGATCAACATCCATCTCGTTCCCGTCCCTCTCCTCATGACCCTGGCCTTGCACCTTACTCATCGCACTGCTCTCGTTCGGCATCACCGCGCCTGCAGGTGTCGGCCCCGTTTTCCTGAATTTTGCAACAAAGAAGCCGTCCACGTTATACGCGTGCGGGTAGTAGCGCCGCGTCTCCTTCATGTGCGGGTGGAACCTCTTCGCGGCATACGAAGTAAATCCTGGGCGGCCAAAGGTGCCGAGACCGGTGGGGACGAGTTTGACGTTGGGGCGTTTGTTGAGTGCGTACTGCACGACTTGTTCGTTTTCTTCGACCGTCACGGAGCAGGTCGAATACACGATGTAGCCGCCGGTCTTAGACATGTGGTCGACACTGTCGATTGCGGCGAGGAGGAGCTGTTTCTGCAGGTGCGGGAGTTTGAGGAAGTCTTTCTCGGTCTTGTTGGTTTTGACGGACGGGTCTTTCGCAATGACGCCTGTGCCGGAACAGGGCGCGTCAAGGAGTACGCGATCGAAACCGCCGATGACGCGTGGGAACTCAAGAGCGTTGTAGTTGCAGATAATGGTATTTCGCACGCCCATGCGGTGCACGTTACCGATCAAACCCTTAGCACGACTCTTATTTGCGTCATTCGCAAAAATGCACCCAGTGTTCTTCATGAGAGCGGCGATGTGAGTGGTTTTGCCGCCAGGGGCAGATGCCATATCCAGAATGCGCTCATCTTCCTGAGGGGCGAGAGCCATGACAGGCAAGAAGGAGGATGCGGCTTGGATTATGTACTGGCCGGCGAGATACTCGGGCGTCGCACCCAGGGGTACTTGGGTTTCGAAAATTTGAAGACCTACTTTCGACCATTTGCCTACGGGCTCGAGTTGCACACCGCGGTTGATGAGAGATTGCGCGAGTTCGCGACGATGAGTGCGGAGAGTGTTTGTGCGGATGACGACTGGGCGCGGAGTTTCGTTGGCTTCAAAGAACGCAAATGCCTCCTTTGGAGAGAAAAGGGAGAAAAGCTTTTCGGCGAGGAATGCAGAGTAACCATAGTATGTGCAAATATCCCTGAGCAGTTGCTCGGTATACTCCGTTCGTGAGCGGCCATTCTCAGCCAGATTCTTGAAATCATCGAGCACACGAACGTTATCGGTGATTCTCGATCGCAGCATTTGCAGATCAGGGGTCAACAGGTTCGCTCTGGCGACACCTTCTTCGTCAACGTCATCGAGGATCTTCGGTCGGTCTTCGTTGGCGATATTCGTGGTCATGCCCATCTCCTCAAGTTCTGCTTGTGCCTCTGCGTCTTCCCGTGCTTTATCCATGTCCATCTTTCTTGATAGACCCTCGATGTTCGCAGCTGTGAGCTTCTCCGCCAGCGCTTCCTCATCTTCATCCTCGGACCACATGCGCTCTTTTCGAGCACCAGCATCATCATCTGAGTCCATGACACTGTCATCATCCGACCCAACGTACTCATCTTCTCCGTCGAGCTCTTCATCATCACTGCCAAGAGCATCGAGCCCATTAGTCTTCTTGAGCTGGCCTTCCATAGCATCCGAATTGCTCGCAGCATCATCGCTACTATCTTCGTCTTCCTCCTCGCTGTCGCTCTCTGCAGGCGGAGGTGGTGGCGGAGGAGGACTTTGCTTCTTCTCTTTCTTCTGCTTCTTAGCACCATTTGTAGCAGGCTTAAGCGCAGGCGCAGCGCTCTTCACACCATTAGTCTTTTGAGGTTTCACCGGTTTGTAGTTTTCATCCAATGCGCCCGACATTTCGTACTTGGGTTTCTCCCCAGAAGTCCTTCGTTTTTTGCCATTTTTGGTAGGAGCCGCGGCAGGTGCGTCTTTCCGCTTGCGAGTGACAAGTGATTCGTCAAGTGGGCCTGGCGGACCTTGCTTCTTCATACGACGACCGGGACCCATGACTGCGGTGTGGTGTGGTGTATGAAGTGAGAGCAATGTTTAACCTGAATATATAAGCAATTCTACCGACGCTCGAAACTTTTTGCTAGAAAAAATCCCAGCGGGGAGCTAGTGGCTCGACCGCCTTTCGAGGTGGGACTAGCGCCGTGTTTCCCGCTTCCCTGGAACCCTTCAACACCAAATCGTCATCGCGAAGTCTAGAGCGCGCAACAGAGACCTCTCTATTCCCCGTTAAACTCAAGAAAAAATGTCTGAAGAAGCATTCGCAAAGTCGTTCATTGACGATCTGGCCAGGCTACCAGTTACTGGGCCCAAGGTCCTCTCCGCGCCATCTCCCAGTGTATGTACTTCCTAATCATACGTTTACAGTATCCTTCCTTGACTCCCACATACTGATGCACGTACAGCTACAGTATATGCTTCCAAAACATCCGACAACGCCTCAGAAACGGAAGCGCACCACCTCTTCTCCCGATTCCTCATCATCCTCGACCATCACGATAACACTCAAGCCCCGCAAAGATGGCGCTGAGCTCTCCCTTCCCGCCCAACCCCTCACCACGTCAATCTACGACCTCAAAGCCGCCTACGCTGCGCATACAGGCTACCCGGTGGATAAGTTCAAGTTGCTCAACGGCATGAAGCCTGAGACCACAGGGAGCAAGACCGTTGCAGAGATATTCGGGCTCAAGGAGGGAGAAGATGCGAAAGACGTGGAGTTCAAGATCATGCTCATGGCGGGTGCAACGGCACAGCCAATGCCAGACAGAGTGGTCAGTCCCCCTGTGACTTTACCCGTAGATGCGAAGACGGATGTCACACCAGCCGTAAGAAGTCCAGACGAGGCGCCAGTGGCGCAAGGCCTGAGCGGGGAGGGTGTCATGCATACGGAAAAGTTCTGGGGAGACCTTAAAGGATGGTTGATACAGCGGATACGAGATGAGAAGGAGGGGGAGCGACTAGCAGGGCTGTTTAGAGTTGCGTGGGAAAAGGCATCGGCGTAATCTCATAGGGCACAGTGCACATTTGAAAGTCACTATTGCAACTATGTAGGGAAATGTATCAATTGGAGCGTTTAGATCTGAGTTCTCCGCGCGTCCAACAAGTCAGTGGAATATTGAGCCCATCAGACTGAAGTACACCAAAGACGAAGGCGGTCGTCTCTCATATGGGCCCGCCAAGGTTTATGGCGTGACCTCGTTGTGCAATTCATTCTTCTGTGTTGCGATTGAGCTGTGCATACGCACTGGTGGCTATTTCTCGTCGCCCGAGGGAGGCCTATAGTCTCTTGAATACCTTTGGGCGTACGCTGCCTTCATACTCCAAATCCTCGGTTGCGCTGGCTTGGATGTCCGCAGCAAGGCCTGGGAGTGCCATCTTGAGCGCCTCCTTAGAACCAGCGTAGGTCATTTTGACCTGTTCAAGGGTGTCGTCAGCGGTTGGTTCTGGTAGGGATGAGTTCTCGATGAAGACTTACAAAGACGCCAGCGTCGTCAGGGATCCAGCTCAGAAGACCAGGCTTTTCTTGTACAATACCTTCGCCACTTGTGTGGTGAAAGTCATAGACGGCATATCTGGCACCGACTCCCTCTTTACCACGCTTATCTTTGCTCTTCGATGAGATTAACTTCTCACGGAAGACATCCCAATCATCTTCTTTGCCCGTCTCGTCGACAACAATTTCCTTGCCATCGTCGCTGATCTTGAACAAGATGAATCTGAACGCCTTCTTGCTCTTCAGCTCTTCATAGGCGGTAACGCACTCAGCGGCAACTTTGATTCTATAGGCGTGCAATCAGTCCGTGTCTGCACCGAGGGGCTACCGCTATGCTGTGTTGTATAAAGAGACATACCCTGATTGAGCCTAGATACGGGCGTCAGTCACTGGCTGTGTTCTACTAAGGAAGAATAGAGGAAGGCTTACCATCGCGATCAACTACAGTAGAACTTTTGAGATGAAGAACGGTTGGAATTAGGGGTCCGCAGGCAGCGCTATAAGTACATTCTGTCAGCGTCGTCATCCAAGGCAGTGAACGACTGTATGGGCGGCGCTATTGGGCGCCAAACAGGCAGCGACATACAGATACTTGGGCTCCAGTCGCCAATCGTAGAGCGAGTTGATTCAGATGGGGTGAAAATATAGGTATGAGGGCGGTGAGTTGTAGGTAGTTTGCTCCGTTTGTTAGATGTAAATTTGAATGGAGGGGCAACCTTGGAGCCTTGTTAGGGGCAGCAACTGCGGGATGTTTTGGGGTCGCTGGAGGGGCTTCTCGGTGCTAAAGCAACCATTCCACCGCAACGCGGCCCCCCTGCGATTAAAAATGTATGCGCTTCGCTCACGTGCTCGACATGGAGTTGCGCGCGACGACTTCCATCGCATCCTGTCTCCAGCAGTAGAGATGAATTGCCGATTCGATTGCAGTTTTTTGATACTGTCTAGACAATAAATTACTTTTTCCTTTCCTCCATCCACGGTAGTAGTATACAGGGGAGTTGGTACATGTCAGAATTCCGCTCAATAATGCAAATATGAAGTCAAAGGTATGAAGACAACATTTGAAGAGGAGTGAGGAGTGGGGGGTTAATCATATACATCAGCCAAGGGCGTTGGGACGAGAAATGGGTATACAAGAAATCGAGTAGACGCGGTTCAAGGTTCCACGTTTTAGAATCCCATACCGCCCATACCACCCATGCCGCCCATGCCACCACCCATACCTGGCGGAGGTCCCTTCTCTTCAGGTGCTTCGACTATGGCAACTTCGGTCGTTCCAAGTAGAGAGGCGACACCACTAGCATCTCTCAGTGCTGTACGTACGACCTTGAATGGGTCAAGGATACCAGCCGAAATCATGTCGACATATTCGCCCTTAGAGCTGTCGTAGCCTTTGTTAAAGTCCTTGCCAAATTCATCCATGAGCTTGCCAACAATGACGCTACCTTCCTGGCCAGCGTTCTCAACGATAGTCCGTGCTGGACGAGTGATTGCGTTCTTAACAATGGTGATTCCAAGTTGTTGATCGAAGTTGGCGGGCTTGATGTCGTTAAGTGCGTTTGCAGCAGCCTTGAGAAGACCAGTACCGCCACCGGGAAGGATGCCCTCCTCGACAGCTGCTCTAGTAGCGTTGAGAGCGTCCACAATGCGGTCCTTCTTCTCGCCGACCTCAACTTCGGAAGCACCGCCAACCTTGATGACAGCGACGCCACCAGAGAGCTTGGCGAGACGCTCCTGAAGCTTCTCTTTCTCGTAATCTGAAGTAGTCGGGTCATTGATGACACCCCGAATCTGTTCGCAACGCTGGGTGACAGCATCCTTGGTGCCCTCGCCATTCAGAATTACAGTGTCCTCCTTTGTGATGGTGATGGAACCAGTGGATCCGAGCATGTCGGGAGTAGCCTTCTCGAGCTTAATGTCAAGTTCATCAGTGAAGACGGTACCGTTGGTGAGAACAGCCAGATCGCCTAGAATGGACTTGCGGTTGTCACCAAACCCGGGAGCCTTCACAGCAGCTACTTGGAGTTGTCCACGGAGCTTGTTAAGAATACAGACAGCTAGAGCCTCACCATCGATGTCCTCGGCAATGATGACAAGAGGACGGCGCATCTGCTGAGATGCCTCGAGAGCGGGTACAATATCCTGGACAGCGGAAATCTTCTTCTCAGACAGAAGGATTAGTGGTTTCTCGAATTCGACTTTTTGCGCCTTGGTATCCGTGATGAAATATGGGGAAATGAATCCCCGGTCAAATTTCATACCCTCAGTAACCTCGAGCTCGTCTTCAATGGTCTTGCCCTCCTTGACGGTGATGACACCTTCCTTGCCAACCTTTTCCATGGCGTTGGAAAGCAGCTTTCCAATATGTGTATCACCATTGGCCGAAATAGTGGCGACCTGCGAGATTTCCTCGCTGGTTGTGATATCCCTCTTGTGTGCTTGGAGATACTCAACCACAGCCTCGACTGCAGCTTGGGTACCACGACGAAGGTCCATTGGGTTGCAGCCGGCGGCCACGTTCTTCACTGTCTCTGAGAATATGGCACGGGCAAGGACTGTTGCGGTGGTAGTACCGTCACCGGCAACTTCATTGGTTTTGGAGGCGACATCTTGTAGAAGTCTAGCTCCAAGGTTCTCGAACTTGTCCTCGAGCGTGATAGCCTTGGCAACAGTTACACCATCTAAAAAATGTCAGTTGATATCTTCTTCTCGCAAGATCCATCATCACTCACCCTTCGTAATCTTGGGGGATCCGTAGCTGGACTCTATCAAAACATTTCGGCCCTTGGGACCCAATGTGGTAGCGACAGCTCTGGCGAGGGTGTCGACACCTCTCAGTAGAGATGCGCGTCCCTCTACACCGAATTTGAGCTCCTGAGAGATTTCAGCCTTTGTTGGATTCGATGTTGATGTTGTGCCACGTACCTTGTGTGCAAATCGTTGCTGCTGTAAGTTGAACGCGGAGGATCGAAGCTTGGAGCTCGAGTTAATGGCGGAAGACCGCGTTCGGGATGAGAGTATGCGCTGCATGATGCTTGTGAGGTGCTTTCAGATGATGGAGAGATGGAATATGACCCAGACAGTGCTCCAGGACTCCAAGTGAATGACGAATGAAGAAAGGTTAGAAGTGGTGTTGTGAAGGGCAGACGCTTAAGTGATGGAAAAAAGTTGAGGTACGAAGAATGGACGAGAAGATCCTATGTGGCCCGTGCTCCCGACCTCAGTCCGAGGCTACCTACTGCTGGCCACTCGGTTGTGTCTCGTCTACAACATCGTGCACCGCTGTTGAATGAGACTTCTGTTCCTTTGTATATGCATCACGCAGGTCTATTGTATTTCAACCCCATAAGGACGCATATTCGTGACACCGCCATTAGCCCCCACAAGTTCGTCACGAGCAAGATAATCTTAAGATTTGAGTATGAGTATTACTCACTTGAACCTCAACGTCTTTACTGCTAATGCTATCAAATCATTGCATCGCAAGGGCATCATGAGAACGGCCTTGACATGTATGGTAAGTTCTTTCTGGAAGCAAACGCTTTGCCTTACAGAGCGACCAAATCTGGAATAGACCTTTGGAAAAAGGTACACAGGTTACATAATATGTTATATCAGGCACTGAGTCAACATAACCACGGACTTACAGAGCCTCTACATCAGACACTTGTACAGGCAGGCATTGAGGAATGTCTGGCGTGTTCAAAGGTGTTGGAAATGTCTATGCTAGAGCAAGCTAATCAGGAGATAATAAACCACCGAATTGTAGCGCTCATTCTGGTCCCTGTCGCAAGATCTAATCCTGGAATCTGAAAACCGGATGCCTCTGTGGGCGCTTTTGTGTTGACAGATTACGTTAGATGGATCGAGACCACGCGACAACACCTAAAATTTCGTCATAAGAACGACCGCGGCGCAAACGTGTCTGTCGAAGTCTCCAAATCGACCGGCCGACGGATGGCAAGGTCATGAAAGAAGGTCTGATGGAGTTTTTCGGCTGCGAACAGGGGTGAGCCTACGCCACATGTTTCATAATCTCACTTCGTCGTCGGTTTGGTCGTTGCGACTCTACCCGGAGGTCACTTTCGGAGACCTTTCCTGAGACCATGGATATCAGACCATTCCTCAAATAAGATCGAAAAGATTTCACAACTATCATCCGGCAGCACAAAGATGGATACAAATCATGTCGTGCTGGCAGCACTCACGATCCATCCAAGGTGACTGGAAAATCAAACCACGTATCCGATCCTTTCCATCTCGCTTGACCAGCATTGCCTTGCAAGCAATTTATTTCGAACCTTGTCCTTGGTATCCCTAGTCCAGATGAAAGTAGTGCTGTAGTACATGTGTTGTAAGTTAGAAATAACTAAGTTATGGGAGGGTCCCGCCCCCAGTCTACAAATGACATCCATTTGCTTGCAGAATGTGCCCCACTCAAGTTTCATTTCCCTATCAACAGTATTGCCGCAACCTTCATCTTTCTCACCACAACCTCATCTTTCCTTCCTTTCGTGCTTCTTGCCATTCCGTTCTTTACTTCTACACTCGTTACTTTCTGATTCTGCTCGCCCTGGCAGGCCGTCATTCATTGCATTACCAACACTCCTTTCTTCAACGACAGTCATCATGAGGCCCTCGGTTCGTTCTTGCTTCGCCGCCGTGGCCTTTGGTGCTGCTGCGTCTATGGCTCAGGACTTTTGTGCGCCTGTTACCGAATATGTCACTGTCACTGCTGTTGAGCCTATTGCCTCAGAGGTTACTACCATGGAGACCCCTTCAAGCGACTTGATGCCAGCCACCGATGTCTTTGCCATCACGACTTCAGAGTCATTCTGCGAACTTTCGCCTGTGACGATCACTACTACGCTTGAGCCAACGACGATTACGGTATATACTAGCCCCACTGAACCCTCGGTCGCGGAAACAGAATGCAGTCTTTCAACTGTCTGGGAGACCGAGATCCTCGAACCCACTACGGTCACTATCTATCCAAGCTCTATCGCGATGTCGAGTATGGACATGCATTCAATTGTTTCGTTGCAGAGCGATGCAGCCCCCGAAGTTGCCCCTACTACCAAGGTTACTCAGGACATCCCTTATGGCCCGTCGAGCCCAGTCGTCCCTGCACCCACTCCAACGCCATCATCTGTGGTAGAATCCCCTTCATTCGTATTAGTTTCCCAGGTTGAAGGCACGAAGACTTCGTCTACATTACCTGCTGCGAGTCAGACACATGAGGATACTACCGGCTACGCCAGCAAGTCGGGTCAGGCGACTTTCTATGACGGGAACGTAGATGGCGGGATGTGTTCTTTTACTGGTAAGTCAAGATTTTTAGCCTGTAGATCTTTGAATAGAGACACACTGTATAACTAGGCTGGATCAAGAACTGAATTTCAGTCCAGGCTACAAGATACCATCTGGCATTTTCGGCACCGCGCTCTCTGACTCCAATTGGGATAACGCCGGCGCTTGCGGCGCTTGTATGGAAGTCACAGGTCCCTCTGGTAAAAAGATAACTGCGATGGTAATTTTCCTCATCACGATCTCTTGAGCCATGAGTTGTGTCTGACTATATCTAGGTTGTCGACCAATGCCCAGGCTGTGGCACAAACCACCTTGATCTATTCAGGGAGGCCTTTGCAGAGCTAGCCGAACCGAGCAAGGGCGTCATTGATGTCTCCTGGTCCATTGTCCCCTGTGGCATCACCTCACCCATCACGCTCAAGAACAAGTCTGGCACGAGCAAGTACTACTTCAACATCCAGGTTGAAAACTCAAACGTGCAGGTACAGAAGGTCGATGTCAGCACTGACGGTGGGAAGACCTGGAAAGACACCACGCGCAAAGATTACAACTACTTCGAGATCCACGAGGGTACGGGCACAGACAGTGTCTCCGTCAAGATCACGAGTGTCGGAGGGAAGACGATTACGGTTCATGATGTTAGCTGCGCCGATAGCGCTACGATGAGTGCTGGAAGCAACTTCTAGATATGATCTGCTGCAAGAAGAATCTCACGAAGAAGAGTGAGACGAGGATTCGATTCTTTGTTGATATTTGTACGGAGACGCGGCCGCGAGATCTGAACGTGGAACGTAGCACATTCTACAACCATGTCGTTTGTCCCTGGGGACTTGAGCGAGCTACATTCAGATAGTGAGATATTAGCTTTATTGAGAGGCTCTACACGTCATAGTACGCTCTAAGAAAATGAAATTCATGCTTGATGAGACATGCAAATGGCGCTGTTTATATGAAAGAACCGTCACAATCCGCGAGATTATGCAAGTATTCAGGGTGCAAACCGATCACATACGACTATTTCAGAAACGACATATTATATAACTTCTCATTACGACGACCCTGCGCACCAACAGCCGAGTAGATCCGTTGACCAATGGTACTCTGAATCAAGAAACCAGACTCTTCCTTTCTCCTAACCTTATCGAATATTCATTATCCATGTCTACACAACAGAAATTGGTGCTTTTCCTTCTTTCACATGAAGTGTATCCGCTACCTGGTTGACTGCTCTCTTTAAAGTGCTCTAGTCTACCCACTTCAACGTCTAAGTCGATATCAGCTTGTGAGGTCCTAAATACGGAGGCCGAGTAATAGCACAAGAGAAACTTTCTTCCGTCCCCCTTTTCTGCTCCCATGCCCTGCACGTTGTTACGACTTTGTTAGTCATGTCTGGATAGAAGGCTCGGAGGAAATAGAGTCTTTGGACTCTTGAGGTCTCGAAATATAGAAAGTAAGGTATAGAATGCTTATCATAGATCTATAAGAGAAATATAGCACAGTGACAGCCTGAAACCATGTCAGTGACTGTTGTTGCTTCACACAAAGCGATATATGTGCACTCAGAGGTATTTATAGACAGCTTTTAAGTGACAAAAGAGTCGATAGGAGCTGTATGAAGTATGGACAACGGGACCAGGCGGTTTTAGGAGGGGCATTCGGTAGACGCTTATATTAGAGCTGTTAGAATTGTTCATTCATGTGAATCTTGATGCATATCTTGTTTCTCTCACAGTGTCGCCCTTTACATCCTGCTGGCTTTCAGAATTTTACTATCGAGATGCGTTCTGAGATATCAGCTTTCACAACGTGTCTGTGGTGACCACATGCTGGAGCGCTGTATCAACACTTTCCGGAGGTCTTTTTATAAAGTATGTATCTCTTTCAGTCCTTTCATACTCGGGTGTCCATCTTGCTGGTGACTTATAGTAGAAGCCAGACTTACACAAAACAGACGTGACAGTCTGTCTTGAAATCCCTTGAATCTTTTGTGCCCTGGGAGTGTAACACTCCTGAAATGTGTTAATAAGGGGCGAGGATAGCTGGACGTCCATGATAGGCTAGCAATGGGTAAGCGGTCGTTGTGTTCATCTTTCCAGGCGACTATCGTTCTTGTAGCTACTACTGTAACCGTATAAGCTGGAAACTGGAAGGTGAGGCTGATTCATGGCAGTCTCTCTCGCTCTCGCCCAAGCTCAAAGCAGCTCTAGAGCGCTATCTCATGTTAATCATATCCAGGGTTCAATCTTTTTGTTGGGGGCAATATATTGTCGAAGGAGAAATTGATTGCGCATATTATAAGCATAGATATGTGAAGTAGACGCAGGAATCTTGAAAATTTGTGAAGCTGACTAGCGCCTTTCTTCCATATGTTTTCTTCGCTCTGGCATGTACAGAGCATGCTAAACACCACCATTCGATAATGCGCCTTTATCGTCATAGTACCTCTGTGCAGGTATGATACCCAAACTGTTTGTTGTCAGCTTCATGATACTTCTGGCCTTAGCACTACAGGGTTGTTGGAGATTATGTATTCGACCAATACCACAAGATCAAAGTTCACGATCGCAACGAGTATTCTGCAGGAATGTCTTCGTCTAGGGCACCGGAGGACTCATAATATAGTAAGTATATTCATATTCCTTCCAACTGTCATTGTCGGCTAAGGCATTCCTATCAGGCGCGTGTTAAGTCGCAATATTGGTCGAGACTTAGGGAACCCCAATTTCAATGTCATCAGTTGATCCATCGTTGAATAACATACAATTACAAGCAGAATCGCCCGAGAATACGTTTAGACGCTGGATTACATCACGGTAGCGCAATATAACACGAATATCAGACGTTCTTGCAGAGTTCATCATGCTAGCATTCATGAACTGCCGGGGATTTCACCAATTTTTTTTCAATCCGACAAGAACCATCATCCTGTTACCAATCTGCTGTCATAATGAACTAAAATTCTGAAGCATGGAGTCTTCGTAATCAATGAGGACATAAGACGGTTTCGAACGATTTACTCACCGTCATTGATACATCAGGTCACAAAAAGCCTGTAGCCTACTAGCTAAACGCCGAAAGCCTGAAGACACTTGGTCATGCAGAGCCATTACTACGCAACATGAACTCATATAGGTACTCCTACATACGGAGAATTGAATATGACGCTGAGATTCCAACTCTGAAGGTAAGTAACCGCTACCCCTGGCTTTCGTCTTACAATCGTTAAGAGATTTATTCGCTGGTCAGAACACTGACACTCCAGTGGCTATACTAGATGGCTATATCTACTTTCGAACCTCAACGTACAATATACCTCTCGTCGATTTGGCAGTCTTCGTCTAATCTGGATTGCGATGAAAGACGATTGGCAATCGCGCTTTTCCCTTACGCCAAGTATTCGAGCACCACTAGATACTGTGAGACTAGTACCAACTTCAATTCGAGCCTTCATGTCTATATATCTGTTGGAATACTCGGGATCATTCAGATCTGAAGAAATGCCCCTGGGTCCTTCCTGCAGAAGAAATTAACTCGGAAGCAAGATACTAACATAGTTCAGCCAGTATAAGGTCTACGAGGGCCTACTTACATGAGTTCGAGAGGCATAAGGAAGCCTTGATGGCATCATGGATAATCCTGAGATCTGTGAGATGGACGAAGCAAAGCTTGGTAGCCAGACTACATTGAGTGACTGATGGAAGCGAGCAAAAGATTTGGAGAATGGCTTCGCACGGTTTGTAGGCAAGATTGATGTCAAAACATGGTCTCATACTTAAAATCCCTTGAAGTCTGGAGCTAACAACGGTTTTACACTAGGTCCTTCCTCAAAGCGCAGTCATGTCTTGGTGATGCCACCCACCCCCTTAAGGCCTCCTTCACAATTCTCAGCCCAACATTGGGGGTATGCCATAACTCGGCTTCAGGCAGATAGATAGATAGAAGATAGATCTTAGACCGCCATAAGCTGCTTTGTGGCTATGGATGTCCATATCGGCCCCAAAGCCAGAAAATAATATACTGAGATGCTTGCGCGGCTAGAGTTCTAATAGTCTGTAGGGCCCTACCCTTGATGTACGGGGCTTGAAAGCTTTGATCACAACATCTCAAGTGAGAAGTGAAGGAAATGTAGTGTTTCCGACATATCGACTAGACCTACAGTGAAAGTCAAGGTGATACAACTGAGGAGACATGAACGTCTGAAATCAACTCACGTCGTAGACGAGCTTCGCCAGATAGACTGCGTGACAGCATATTTGCGGTTGTTCTGTTTGTGATGCCGAAAGTTGATCCTTGTTGAACTAGTTATATAAGAGCCTCGATCAGAATTCATAGCCGCGTGATTGTTCGTAGGCCCTTGCTGCTGCTAGCCCTTCAAGCAAGGGATAAGTAATAGATCTAAGATCTCAGAACGATTCACTGTAGTGATTCGTATAGTCGGCTTGTGAGCGTACTTCTACGTGTCAAAAGAGCTCAAAGTAGCTTAGTGTGTTTACAGTCACACTGTTTTTAGAGGTAAAGCTTCAAGTTCACCGACCAACCTCACCTCAACTCTTTAGCAACAAGCTTCAGAAAACGGAGTTTACTTGTCAATTGAAGATTTCTCGGCTTCAGTACTTCTGATATCTATCTTCCTTCTGTCCTATCTTCTTTCAATGCATCAAAAGCCATCTGCTGCCTCAATTTCATCTCGTGTCGCGTCAAAAGTTGATTTTGCCTCACTCACTACGTAAGGTTTCCAGTTAAACTCAAGATCTCAGGACTTCTAAACCTCTTCAAGCGTTCATCATGTCTCAAGTCAGAAACCGTGCAGACAGTGTTCAACCTGAGCACGCCGCGACTATCGTCAAGTCAGATTTTGCAGGTCTCGAGGTCTCTCTCACCAATCCAGAAGTCGCAGTAAAGATCTTTGAGGATGGAGCTCCGGGTAAAGATAGAGAGTATGTCAAACTCACTAAAGTCACTCAGCCGTCTGAGCAGTCCTTGGGTGATACGGTGACAGCTAGCTCTTCCGTTACTTCGAAAGATCTTACGAAGAGTAGCAACCGAGATCCACCAGGTGCCCATGAGAAAGTTAAAGGTCGGAAGATCGATAGTAGTGTTCCGAAGACTTCAATCGCCCGTGAGAAGGTACGCAACTTGGTTAGCTGGGATCGTAAGTTTGGGATATCATTGAGCTTCGCAGGCTGCTTACAAGTTACAGAAAAGGACATCCGGATGCTCATGCTTCTGAACGCCGAGAGAGCTCTATGGGATATCTTGAAAGACCGAGCCAAGGTCTACACGTTGCTCACCAAGAACGTTCTTGGATGTTTGAAGGAGGAGCCCACTCCCGATGCGACTGAACAAAAGTTTGTCAAGTGGCGCAACGAGCTCATGGCGAATGGTAGGATCGTCCCCGAATTGATTGATAAGCGTCGCATCAATCTACAGAACTCCCGGGACCAACGCAAAGCCGAGAAAGCAGGTGATGGTGTTGAACAGAACACTCGCAGCGCCTCGGAAAATCAAGGGGCGGCACAACATGGCGACCAGCGGCATCAGGTCTCAGTAGCCAGGGGCTCCCATCGCGGTGTGCGAAGTAGCACACGCGGAAACACTGCCACGACCAATGCTGCTGGTTTTGGAGATGAATCTGACTCCGATGAGGAAAGGGCACGTCCCTCTCTTAATACTTTTGTCGATGACAGCCCAATTCGTCGCCCACCAAAGAAGACGAAGAAGGGGAAGAAGGCGAAGAAGGGCAAGAAAGCTACATCTCTCGGTGTCTCTTCATCCACCCCACTTGAGGATCTCCCAGAATCAGACGGCTCTGACGGAGAGTATGGTGTTACTATTTCTAAGCGGAACAGAAGAGGGCCAAAGAGAGCCACAAGAGCCAACCGGCCCAGCTACCAGTTGCCTGCTGATCACGATGATGCTTTTGAATCTCTCGATGACCAGAGCTCGAAAGAGAACAGCAGTGGTATCGAGCTAGGCAGCCCTGAAGCCCAATCATCGTCAAACAAGACTCCCACTGGTAGAAGCTGTCTCGTCATCCTGAAAGTCGACATTTCCAAGTTGCTCATTAATGAGAAGCGTAAGCGCGCAGATACCCCGGACGCAACAGAAAACGAAGGCTTCAATACTTCATCGTTTGTTAACTCTATCGAGACTCAGGAGGAGCAGCCCATTCATCCAATGCAAAACGATTCCGGTGGAATAGCTGACTGTCTTCAGAACCATATGGGAAGCTATTTTGGTGAGACTACTTTCAACGACTTTCACTCTTTCGGCACTGGTGGTGCCACCGATGCTCGCTCATTCAGTGCTCCGGGTACCACAGGCTTGCGCTCTTTGGGTGATTCTGGTGTTGAAGATCCTGACGCTGTCTTGTCTAACCATGACAACAACGAGCAACAAAACCCCAAGCCCCCGAAAAGGGCACGCAGATCTCGAAAGAATCCTCAATCACGGACAGAACCAGACCCAGAGAGCATCGGCCCAATCCAGACAGAGTATATGCATCAATACTCTGAAATACCAACTATGTCTCCAGGCCCGCTAGGCCCGGCTCGCCCTCGATCCCAAAGTTTTCGACATCAGAACAGTAGTACGCCTCTCTACGGCTCCGTGATGGCTGAGCAAGATCTTCTCGACACACTTGGCTCCAATCTTGCACCCCCACCAGAACTCGACTTTGCGGCTGGGCCAGCTATGTCTACCGTACCATACTACCATGACAACAACGCGTTTATGGATCCTAGCGCTCCCAATGAGATGTCAATCGACGGCTTTTATGCTCAGGAACAGTCTCAGACTGATAGTAAGGTTCACACGGAACCGATCCCCAGTTTTGCGTCCATTGATCCATCATACCAGTTCCTTAGCGAGCAGGACGTATACGCACAGACATTCCCTCAATTCCCATACCATGAGTATGGAAACAATCAGGTCTACAATCCCAATCAGGGCATTGGTCCACAGGCATTCTTCTTGGGCAACAATTCCGCTGTACCAGACGCCACACAGCAGCAGCAGCAGCAGGAGGAGGAGGAGGCGGAGGAGGCGGAGGCGGAGGCGGAGGCGGAGGAGGAGGTGGAGGAGGAGGAGGAGGTTGACGATAATGAGGAGGAGAATCAAGTATCCCCTGACACGGGAGACCAGGTCTTGCTGCCCGAGCACAAATTCGTCGAAATGCCCGAGGAGCAAATGACCAGGCGTTTCGGTCCAGAGGACGTGGTAGGGGAGGAGGAGAACGCGGAGTTTGCCTACTACATCCAGACCCTCCCGTTCGCATCGGCTGAGTATGCAAGGCTTGCGGAGACGGAGCCTGAATACCCCAGCTGGCCGGGCTCCTGGGATTGAACGGAATAGGGAGCTTGTGCAAAATGGAGTGGAGGGCGGAGAGGACGCAGGAGCGCGTAAATGGTTGGGTCGTCAGATGAGACAGGGCGTTCGGGATGTCTTTCTTTGTTTTTAGAACTTTCGTACATCTCACAGCTTCACGGCTTGCAAGGCCAGGTGGCCAAACAGTGATTCATGCGGTTCAATCAAGCAAATTTAATATACCAATTCCAAGCCTTTCCCCTCGGAGGCAATTCCAGCGTCTGAATTATTGATATCGAGCAGGCCGAAAAGCGAATTCCGTAGTCGTCAAAAGTACTCTATAATATATCATTTCCATGATCACCTAAATATGGCATGATTGAAGGTCATGGCTGTCAGTATCCAAGAGGCTCTTTCGTGGTTCCAAGCGTCGAGAGTATTCATAAAATCATATTCTTAACCTGAACAGATCTGGGGGCTGGCCAGCAGACATCGCCGAATAATGAGTCTTAAAGCGGGCGAAATATGCCAACAACTCACCCGCTCTCGCAATATTCGGCTTGTTGGTCCGATGTCTTATTTTGATCGTCTGAAGCGAACAGAAGAAGGTACCATCAGAAAACATCAACAGTAGTACGAGCTAAACCCGATATGGATATAACAATGCCGAGGCTACTAACCTCACTGTACCGGATCTTGTCTAACAAGGAAACTAACATCTACAGATCAATAATACCATGCCCTGCGTAAGAAACAGACATCATTACACCCTCTAGAATCACTCATACCGCATGTCCCTATACGCAACCACGAAACTCCATCAAAGCCAGAAAAATGGCGTCCGAACACACGGCTGCACGGGCAAAGGTCATGCGAGCAGTGAACGCCATGTTCGAGCGGTAATTATCACAAAAGGTCCCCTTCTATACTCCTGCGCAAGACTAAGACCACCCCAGCTACCATCTAATCGCAGCCAAACTGCCCAAAAAGCGCATCGTAAGTCTCCCGTCAACACCACGCCAAGCCACTAGCACATCGCGGAAAAGCTTCCTCTGACGTTTGATCGACCCGGTCAGGAATGGGATGACGAAGTAATGCGGAATGCAAAGCTTATCGATGCTTCACCTTCCGGCCACGTCGTATTCCATATCGACATCACGCCTCACTTTGCAAACATAAACGGTACATACCCTCGCCCCCTTTCATTCCCCCTTCCATCCCATCCCACTCCACAACTGACAACTTTCCGCCCCCATGCAGGCGTCCTCCATGGCGGCGCCGCGAGCACAATCTTCGACATGCTCACGACTAGCGCGCTATGCCCACTCGCACGGCCGGGGCAATTTACGTTCCTCGGCGGGGTGACGCGCACGCTGAACGTTTCGTTCCTGCGCGCTGTGCCGATTGGCACGACGGTTAGGGTGGAGGCGACGGTGACGCAAATGGGGCGCACGATGGCGATGATGAGGGGCACGATGGGTAGTGTGAATGGGAAGACGGTGTATGCGACGGCGGAGCATCATAAGGTGAATGTGCCAACGCGAGAGGCGCATAGTGCGGTGCGGGTGGCATGGGATGAGGAATTTGAGAGGGATTCTGGGATAGGGGGAAGGGCGAAGTTGTAGGTGAGCTTGAGGTACTTTGTCTTGGCGCTGGGAAGACGATGGTGTTTTGGACTGCATCCAATACGAAGAAGTCTTATGATACAGGTTTTTTGTAAATCCTCTAACAATCCAACAGAGGATAAAATGACCATGAAAGACTTCGGGGTGCCATGGTCACCCTTAAGGAGACTTCTTCGCTCAATTCTCCTTCCTTTCCTTCTTGGTCTTTTTTTCCTTCTTGGTTGTCGTTTCCTTCTCCTTGTGCTTGGACTGCTCCTTTTGCTTCTTCTTGAGTTCTTTAGCCTTCTCTAAATATGGCTTGCGCTTCTCGCGTTTCTCCAATTTGAGTGCCTTCCTTTCCTTCCTAGCATTGATGATCCTCTGTTGTTTCTTGGTGAGCTCTTTCTTCTTTGACCCCTTTTTCTCTGATTGGGCAGAGCTGCTTGACCCCGACGAGCTGCCGTCGCTGTCACTATCGCTATCGCTATCACTGACGTTTTCCTTGTTCTTGATGTTGTCGTTGTCACCATCGCTGCTACTATCACTATCACTGTCGCTGTCGCTGTCGCTGTCGCTGTCGCTTTGATCCTGATTTCCGTTCCTGATCTCCTTCTCTGTAGGTTTTGACTTGGAACTGGGCACATCAGCAGGAAGAGCCAGCTTAGCCTCAGCCAGTTTCCTCTCTGCCTGGTCGAGCTTCAACTTTTCTTTCTTAAGAGCCACGACTGTTCGCTTGACTCCCGCCAATGCTGACTCATCGCTGGGATCAGCGTCAAGCTGCTTGCGGAAGCTCTCAAGTGCTTCTTCGGTAGCCGTCACCCGTTTGGTCGCATTTTCGAAATGCCGTGTCTGGCGCTCGTAGACTAGCACAGGGTCGTTTTTTCCGTCACCAGTGGCAGCCTTCTTGGCTGTCTCTTCTGCCAGCTGAGCCTCCCATTTTTGCTTGCGCTCAAGGACTTGATTGAAGCTTACATTCCTGTCAGCAAGGGCTTTGAGGGCAGCATCATACTTTGCTTCCTTCAAGCTATGCCCTTGTCCTTTGGCAAGAAGGCGTTTTCCATAGCGATCTTCGATACTGGCAGTGACCCAATATGTTGTCAGGCCTTCCTTTGCATCTAGTTCACTCTTCGTCAATTCTATCAGAAGGCGGTGGCCTGGATGGTCTAGCAGCAAATGCAACTCCTGAACCTTATCTCCGAAGTCGTACAAGGGGGCAACTGCCTCTGGAGCGTCAGACACTTCTTTGGCCCACAAAACTGCTAACCACTTTTCCAACTCCAGGATACCGGTAGCCGGATTTGAGAGTACAACAGCCGCAGCGTACGCTTCGAAGACATCGCCCAAGATCTTTGTCCAGCCTGATATGTGGCTCTTTATGTCTCCCTGATACTTGAGCTTGACGTCGAACCCGTACTCTTGGCTGAATGCAGCCAGGGTCGTGTTGCGAACCAGCTTTTCCCTCAGCCTTGACATTCTTGAAGGTGGCAGATTGCGTTGAAGGTTGAAGATGAGACGGGAGGCTGCAAGTTCCACATAAGCGTCTCCAAGAAACTCCAGTCGTTCGTAATTGTTCTTCAGATTTGATGTTGTGTGAGTGAACACCAAAGTCTCGAGCTCTGGCAGGATTTTAGGCGCAGGCGGTAGTGACTGTCTTCCCTTGGAGACGATAGCAGCCATTTCCGAAACCGGTAGTTGTGTGTTACTATTGACTTGCTCTGGCAACGAGGATGAGGTATTCGATGCCCCGGCTCCTGAACCGAACGCCCGCTCATCTACCAGTGTCGATGATGAAGAGCCAAATTTAGGTCTCGCGTTAGGTTTCACGAATTCATTCGCACGCTTCTGTGGCTTCGCCAGAGCATCATCAGCCATGCCATCAAATCCGAGAGACTCAGTCCCCTCGCGCGACCCAATAGGAATATTATTACCACCACTGCTCTGCGGTCCTCCACCACCCCTTCCACGCTGAAAGCCCCTGGCACTTCTTCCACGGCCGTCAAATTTCCCTCTTTTGTTGAACCCAGAATTGCCATCGCCCATCGCGTCATTGAAGCTCCTCTTGCCAGCTGCCGCGCCGGCACTGCTGCCACCTGTGTCCAGAAGGCGAGCTCGTTCGGGATTCATTTGATCCATGGCTAAGGATATGTGTGTGCGGAGCAGGAACATCCCATAGCAATTTTCGAAAAGGCATTAGACAATATTTTTTATTTTTGCACAGGCCGCCAGTTGCGCCGAGGAGCTGCCGGGTGATTTTGAACCTCCGCCCAGAATGCCGCAGCTCACCTCCGTATCGATCGACGACACACCACGACAAGCGCGCTGGGCGACGCGCGACTGTATCGACCATGTCCGTTCCGAAGCAGAGGTTAATGGACTTGTTGAAAGTATGTTTCCAGATTTTCCTTTGTTTCTCAATCACAGCTCGACACCACGACCATACCTTCCATCCCAGAATGCAACTAATAGCACCAGGTCCGCACACGAATCTTTTCCGCCGTATTCAATCCCACACAGGTTCGTCAAGGCACATTTGTGCTACGACAACGTCTTCGCGGGCCGTCCGTCGAATCCTACTACCCATTGAAACATGCGTCCATCAAGATGATGCGAAAAGCATATCCAGGATACGAATTTCCAGATGAATACGAGGAGAAGAGGGTTGCGAAGCTTGAAGATCGAAGGTCGAAGGGCAAGGGTGCGCCGAAGAAGTTGAAAGGACAGAATAGTGAGTTTCCCTTGAGGAGATAATACGACGAGAGAGGATGTCAAGGGCGAGTGCTAACCGACTTACAGTGAATAAACGTAAGAAGAAGAAGAAGTAGGCGAGTCAAGTGAGGGAGTCATGGAGGTTTCAGCGGCTCAATTTACCAAGTATGTTGGGATAGATTGAACCCCAAGAATCAAGTCAAGCTACTAAAAGTGGCTTTGTAACATATGCACTATAACATTTGGACTATGGAATCTGAATCTTTACATAGCTTTCCAGCCTTCATGGATGGCTTGTCTACAGTACCCCTAACTTAAGACCAACATACGTGGTGATGGATCTCACTCACTGTCCAGCAGCAAGGGCAGCATGTCCCTTCACCATGCCTACAGCCTTCGCCTCACCATCAACGATATCCGGAATCTCGCTCCACAAGCTCTTGCCCTTAGGTTCCCATCCAAGTACTTTTCGCGCCCGAATCGCCTTACATCTTGAGTTTGTCCCCCACAAGAAAGCACCGGAGACGCACTCTTTATCAGCCTCCTCAGAACCAATACTTTCGACTTCATCTGTCTTTGTGAAGCCTCTTTTCGCAGTCTCCTTCGCAATCGCCTCGCTGACCTCACCCCACAGGAACTCTCCATTCTCGGCGAAATAGTACCCTTCCGCGCCCCAGGCGGCCTTGCCACCGCCCCGTGCTGCTGCCTCGACAAGGGTGAGGAACAAGCCAGACAAGTCATGCACGTGGACCATTGTCCAATTATTTAAGCCTTTCCCTACTCGTACACCTTTTCCTCGCTTGAGCGTCGTGCGAGTCATACTGTACGCCTGGATAGAGCGATGATTGCCTGGTCCACGCCCAAGACCATAGATAGTAGGTGGACAAACAATCGCCGTCTTCAACGCATCCGATGCGCCGGCAAGTACAACTTTGTCTACAATCCGATGTGGAGCTGAGTCAGGTAGACTCGTCACAACGCTGAGGCCATCCCAATCATCATACACCTGATCCGATGGCTCCCCGTACCTTCCAGTTTCCAGATCATCGGCGCAGAGAATGCCCGAGCCGCCCGTATGGATCAGGAAGCCTTTACCGGATGGCTTTCCCGTGAGACCCTTGATGAGGGCTTCGGCAGAGGCTACGTGGTCGGCGTGGGCGCAGTGGACTACGATATCTGCAGCGGCAGCTTCTTTGGCAAGGAGCTGAGTGTCGTCAAGAGTGCCGTAGACGAGGCGGAGCTGGGGGTACTGCTTTGCGAAGAGGGCACCTTTGGTGCTATCGCGGACGAGGGCTGAGATGTCGTATTCAGGATGGGTGTGGACAATCGTGTAGAGGACGTCGCCGCCGATGTATCCGGTGCCGCCAGTTCTAGGGAAACTTTAGCTGAAGGCACGTGGTTCACAGGGTCATCATAGATGTCCCGTGTTACAATTTGACTAAAGCTTTTTCTATCTGTTAGTGGATTTTGGGCAAAGCGTACAGAAAGATCTTAGCCGACATGACTGCTAAATAGGGACGTTGTGATAACGTCAATCGCTACGAGTTCTGGGAAATGTTAACTTTATCGGTACGATCTCAGACAGTCGACTTGATCCCTTACTATTGAGATCTTCCACTCTCAAAGAGTCGGATGTAGAGCGGAAATGGGAGCTGTGTGCCGATCTTGAGGGAAGCAGGAGAATTTGGAACTGACAGATTTCTGAACTGAAATCGTGAGTGCAAGTATCGTGTAGGTTTTTTCTAGCGTGTGTGGGTAGCTGAAACCTGCTTCGGTGTTGGAGGCAGGAAAGGCACTACCTCCTTCCCCTACGTAAGCCGTACCTGCAACTGCAGCAAAGTTGCCCCCGCAGTCATCTCTACCAAATTAGCTTAGGTAACTCGTAGAACCCGTTCGTATATTGCAGGGAGCAGTATGGGCGATGTGGATGGGACGGGAAAGTACAAATATCAATCACACGTTTGTGATCAGTCAGAGTTGGATATCGGTTCAGAATCATGGCCCGGGCAACAACTTTGCTTTAATTCATGCTATAGTGAGATCTACAAAAAGGAGCAAGCAAGACGAAATGAGGGTGTTAGGTGAGGAACATTCCAACTCTTCTACTGTATGTCTGGGACGCGAATTTCGGCGCGACTCTTCATGATCATATCGGCAGACCAACTATGCGCTGACACCAACGCAAAGCCAGTACCCAGCCCATGTCACCGGATTCTCCTTGTCCAAAGTCGGGTTCCAGCTCAAAATATCTTCCACGGAAACGCCTGCAGCAGGCGCAATCGCATCGACTCTCTGTCCGCTTCCAGCCAGGAAGTACCTGTTGCATTCTTCCACAATGCTTGGCATAACTGGAACGGGGAGCTGGGTCGGGTTCAAGTCTGTCGTTCCAACGATGGTTCCATCGGGAGACTGTACCGGAGGCGTGAACGTGTACCATGGTGTTCCGATACACACGGGAGTGTAGGCGCGAAGTCCAAAACATGTCTGTCCGATATCAGGGTTCCAGTAACGGAAGACGGAAAGGGTGAAATTGTTGAAACGATCTGCGATGCTGTTACAAGTATCGCCGGACTCGACGAGCGTGGTCGCTGTGCAGTCGGAAGGGCGGTAGAGGCAAACAGAGCCCGCTGACGTGGACGTGTAGCGAGTCGAGTTGTCATTGCAGCCCTCATTATCTTGACGTGTAGTGAGAGAGTATGACGCAGGGAAGGGGTTCGCTGCTGCAATCGAGCCGAGAGTCATCAAGGCGGAGACTGAGCGGATGAGCATCATGGTCTTTGGATTATCGAAGAGACGGTAGTATAGTAAATAAGAAGTCGTCGATAGTCGAGGATATGCTTTGATGATGTTCGACTGGACATCCAGCAGATGAGCGTGCTTTTATACCTTGGCATCACTAGGCTACTACACAGTCAAGCTCGCATGGCCTGCTCATTTCGTCCACTTGATTCCACGCACAACGTGTTGTCGAAGGCTGATTTGAGATAAGTCTGTAAAGCAACCTAGAAACAGTGGAACATTCGCGGTGGTCAGTGCGTTTCGCAGCCTAAAGTGTATAGACGACGTCCAAAGCTGTTATTAGTAGGCTCTCTGTGCTATAGGTATCGTTCAGGACTGTTGCAGGTGGCGTTCGCCCAGCTCGGTTAAGTGCTGGTTCCTGCGTCAGATCCAATATATATCCTTGGAATTTTGATCTTAGGCTGAGAGCCTAGTACGAAAGCAGCGCTTCTGCCTTGAAAGCCATGTTGTTGTGCTTACTGTGCATGAATCCAACATTGACTTTTGCTGCGCTTATTCACCACTAATACTCACCGCACTTGATGTCTTGTGGTTTCAAGGGCGTTCAGCATCAGCGCTTGTGACCTCCTCGGGGGCGAAAATTGTGTAGAAAGCAATTCGAAGGAGCGATGGATTATGGTTAGGACGTGCTTGTTCAGACAGCGACTGGAATCAGCGCATATTCACTCCATTCAAAGCTCCATTACGGTGGTTGACTGTTGTAGCACCGTGCTGGTCCAGAGGATGCTGATCCGTTGTACCCGTGGGCTTTCGCGTTGGGCGAGGAACCTGTTTTCAAGACTGCTAGATCTTGCCTAGAGTCCTAAGGGCGTTGTTTACCGTTGTCTCTTGAACAGCCTTGAGGAGAAGCTTGAGACTGACAGGATCTGATAGTTCCAAGACATGTGGAAAGAAGTCGAGATGGCATCTGTTGCATGCATTGAATCTTTTGATAATGTACTGCAAGATCGCAGCTGCATCATCGGGCCCAGTATAGTCGGGAAAGTAGCTTGAGAAAGGAGTCCTCAAAAGTTTATTCCTGAAAGCATGCATATTTGTGAGGAAGAGGATCACAGACGACCGTGAGAACCAGCGAGAGTTCACCATAGAGTCAAAGAGTGTAAGAGATTCCGTCATACCTCCCGAATCATGGTCAGAATGTATCGATTCGTAATCCGCAAGATCTACCACAAACATGATGGAAGTCACGGTCTCGAATGCGTGTATCCACTTCTGCTGCTCGCCTAGTTGTCTCGTGTTTATATCGAAAATCGTCATTTGGAAAGTTTCAAATACAAAATCTGTCTCACGGATTCCTCTTGATTCGTCATTTGTTCTAAGGATGTCTTCCACAGTGGGCTCGTAATGTGGCTGGACGATGCGTGACGTCTGCTCGAATAAACTACACTTCGTCAGCGGTTGTTCTCACTGTAAGTCTGGAAATGCTGGATCTTACTATCGGGCTTCGCCGTCCAAGGTATAATCGGTGCCAGCGGAATGCTTAAGAACTTTAGCCATGCACGGATCGTTCCATAGGGCTTGGATAGCAACGCCTATATGGAAGTCTAGTCGACCATTCATGGGGTTGTCTAAGCGACATCTCATGAGAAATTCACAGTGGCTGATGTTAGACTCATTTCCGGGTTCAATGCCACATTGCTCCATGGCATCGAGAAGTACAAATACATTCCGGAGTAGCTTTGCCTTGATCATCTGTCGCCACTCTATCAGTTCTGAGCGAGTGTACCCATTTGCAGACTTGAGCTTCATATGTTTGACCATTGCATCTTTTCCGCTATCTTCAAGTCCAAATAGTAGGACTTTGACGTTCTGGCACAGACCACGACTATCTTGCTTCAGGCGCCGGTCAATGGCCACGGACCGGGCTTTATCTTCTTTACTAGATTCAGAGATCATTCTACGTTGTTTTATGCGCAGGTCGTGTTTCAGAGATGACCTTAGAGCTTTCTCATAAACTCTTGTTATCAAGAATTCCCGATCAAAATGAAAGACCAGGGACAACTTTGAAAGTTTGTCCGTGTAGCGTGAAAAGAACGAGTCAGTATCTCGGTGAACTACCAGGCTTTCCGAGTCCCACTGCATCCTTTGCATGACCTTACGGGTTTCTGATTTTTCCAAGATACCTTGTTGCTCACTGACAGTCTTGCTATTCTGAGTCAGCACATTGACTAGCAGTAACAGTTATAAGGCACCCACTAAGTAATTGCATTTAATAGTAAGATAAGAGCGCTCGTTTGGTGGTCAATCATCCTTTGCGTCTCCTCAACTCCTCTGCTGCCAAACACAAACTTGACTTTACTCGTAAAATCCATGCCCTTCTCATTCGTCTTGAGTTCAGAGAATTGTCCTTCGATCTTGCCGATGAGTAATCTCACGCAAGTGATCGAGGTGTCGAGATCCATTATGAATTGATGGTATAGATCTCCTGAGTCACCATCGATGATATCTTGGATTTTCGATAGCGCAGCCTTGAGTGCTGTGAGCTGGGCAATGAGGCTGAGCATGGTCATGTCGGCATCCGAATATTGGTTTCGGAGCTGGATTGCGCTCTGGATAGTCTTATAGAGCACATCGATGATGTTGCAAAGAGCTCCAGCCGTACCAATGATCGTAATTGGGTCCATGTCTCCGTTATTTGCGTGCTGTAACACACATATACCAAGTCTCACGACGACAGTATCTCAGAATTTATTCGAATCGATGCCACCGCATAAAGGCTCGTCAAAGCTGGGAGGGCTTGAAAGCCTCTACAGCTCGAGAAGCTCTGTGGCCCGGGAAGACGACGCCGCAGTTTTTGAAGCCTTGTTGACATCGTAGAAGTAGTGTCTGGTACCGAACGGACCCCGCATTTCGCGCCCCATGTGCAGCTCCCTTAAGTTCATATCAAGGGGGCGGCGATGTTCAAACATTAATCTGGACCATCATCGCCAAATCTTTAAAGTTTTTTATGGCGCTCTCAGTGTAGAGCGTCGGGCTTCTACTAGCCTGCTGCAGCCTGCTAGCTTCTCAACAAAGGCCGAGGTAATCATCACGATCCTCTCGTCTTCAATAGGACGTCATGAGCTCCGTAGCAACGTCCATGAATAACGACACCTTGATTTGACCTATCCGTCACTTATCTATCAAACTCTGTCGTGACGAACCTGGGACGCGAAATTCTATCGCCTCCTCGTGCTCTCCACAGCAATGAACGTAGGCGCGCACGCCCGCTCTTTCACGCCTCCCCAGACCACTCTCGAGATTTGCGCAAACTCCCTGCAATCGGCTCTCGCCGCTGAAGCCGGTGGTGCCGATCGAATCGAACTATGCTCGAACCTTGAGCAAGGCGGTATCACACCGTCACAAGGACTGATCAAGCATGTTCTGTCTGTTCTCGGCATTCCAGTGCATGTCCTGATTCGACCACGGCCTGGAAACTTTGTATACGACAACGACTACTTGAGCATCATGCGCGCCGACATAGAGGTCTGTCAGAAGCTCGGTGCCCATGGGATCGCTATTGGTGTCTTAACGGCAGATGGACGTGTCGATGTAGAGCAGACGCGTGCGTTCGTAGAGCTAGCCAAGGGCATGAGTGTGACATTCCACCGGGCATTTGACGACGTGGTTGACCAGGACGAGGGACTAGAAGACGTCATATCGACTGGATGTGCGCGTATCCTGACATCAGGCGGCAAAGACAACATCTTGGACGGCGAATTACGATTACGGAGACTGGTGACGCGGGCTGGAGGAAGGATTGTTGTCATGCCTGGAAGTGGGATCACGACCGACAATATACGTGATCTGTTTGATCGGACTGATGCGAGAGAGTTCCACGCGAGTGCAACAGTGACACTCACGCCGACAAAGGAGGAGAAAAGTAAGTCAAGGTTTGCAGTGAGTCGAAAAAGAACGGACAAGCATATTGTACGGAAGCTAAGGGAACTATTAACTCTTGAGGCAAGGGAAAAGCCAAACCTGCACCAGGGTCATCAGGGGTATCCAACTACTTGATTCTGTTTTTCGAAGACCCGTTCAAGATCATAGATGATAACCTAGACAGTCCGTATCATAGCGACAATTCAGGTTTAAGTTTCTGTATGACAGCCGTGTTCTTGCCTCGGATTAACAGCAGGTAGCAAAGGCAACAGTTCGACGTTGACCCTGTTTTGATATCAGTACCACTGAAACATGCCGGGATCTAAAACTTCCCTCTGTTGTCTGTTTCTTGATTGTGGTCTATCGCCAGTTTCAAAGTCGACATGTGACACTTCTTTTCTCCATCTGGTTCATTTACGTGGATACATTCTCAATATTGTTTGAATATCACGATATACTTCCTGTCACACATAACACGTCCTTCTTGAATAAGCCGAAGGCCACTCCATTCCCTGTCCCCATTATCCTGGTTTCCAGTGCAATAGGCAAAGGTGTCACAGGTTTGACAAATGATACATCGAGGCTTACACTTGACTCCTGCGCCCAAAGCAACTCACCTAACTTGCGTAGATCCATACTGGCACTCGGCCTTGTGGCGGTCCGACCAATATTCTCGACAAGCAATGCCACGACATGGTTTCCATGCGCCACAACAGACGAGAAGCCGAATAGCTTTGACAGCATGTTGGACACATGGATAGGATTGTAGTCTTTCGAGCATGCTGCCCAGTGCCTGGGTGCACTCGCAGGCAGCTTCACAGACACATCTTTGTCTACTTTCAAGTTCACAAGCTCAGCCCGTGCTTCGTTCCCACCTGCGTAAAGCGGCTTCACGTTCTTGGACAAAAATTGCAAGAATGAACTTTGCGCTGACAGCACTAATGCGCCTTTCTTCCAGACTTCAATCACAATCTCAAACTCGACACCTCGTCTCTTTCTCTTGCCAAGCAGGTCTTCCCCACCCATGACCGCTGTGAATGTGAGCTCCCCAGCTTTACTTGCGGCCAATAGCCCTCTTACGTCGCGACATAATGCAAGGTCTGCGAAGTTGAACTTGTTCGTTGTGTTCACCGATCCAAGAGGCTGAATTGGGCAATCGGCATGGCTCAGTAGTAGTAGCAACAATGGCGTTGTGGCTGCGACCAGGAACATCGGATTCGTAGTTTGCAGCTCAATCATGTCACTGTCAGCATTGTACCGGATGCCGCGCGCTGTATTGAAATTGTTCAAATCTTGTTTGCGGATCCGAAGAATGCCACCTAAGTGTAGTCGTGGAAGGAGGAAACCACCATTGTGGATTTGGAGTGACGGTCTTTGGCCAGGGACGTATTTGAGAAGACTATCGAGGATTATTGTGAATAGATCGAAGGTATTGAGGGTATTCGGAGAGTATGGGAGGATTCGTGTTGCAGAGTTGGTAGCGTGGAGGTAGACAGAGCGACGGCGGGTGAGATAGAAGATGGTTCCGAAGAAGACTATAAAGGATACAATCAGCATTCTGTCGACTCAGCTGCACTTCGTCAGAGAAGACTCTACTGATAGTGATGGTCGTGATGTCGTGTTCGTGGTCGTGGTCGTTTCGTAGAGATGATATCCATTAGCTCATGCACGCAACTTCGGGAAGTAAGGTAAATTTATCCGATTTCGCGTATCATTTTACCAATGCAATAACACCTTTGAAACTTGACAACGTCCAGGTGCTACGCGAAATATTGTTAGAATACCACACCACGTTCTCAACCCGTCATCATACTCATTGGCGAAAGCCTTTAACGCGTGTATACTCGGGATCCAAGATCAACTGCATGTTGTTGTCTCTCCAGTTTCCATGCGCTCCTCAGATGTCATCTCCTTTCTCTGTACAGCAGCATCTAGCCATATCAGCAGAGATGGAAAGCTTCAACTTGTATCTCCTGCAGCGAGTCTTCACATGCTCGGGCCAGAATAGCTAGTACTGGACTCGCTTTCAAATATTGCCAAAAATGACTTAGCGCTTCGGCATCTTACCGACCTATGATGTCTGTAAGCACCAGTGTTCAGGTCAACTTCGATCTTGTCTGTGACAGAGACGGAGATTACCCCAATCTACAGCCTGTCCAGCGTCTCTGCAATCTAGGTGCGAAGCGATATGCATAGAGCAGTCTGTGTTACTGCAACGAATGCATCCAAAGGGCCGCGTCGTTATGGCTTCGCCTGTGCGGCATGTAACAAGCGGAAGATCCGATGCGATGGAGAACGGCCTGTTTGCAGACGATGCTTGAAACGCGGGGATCATTGCGTATACAAACCTACAGAGGCAGACAGCAACCAATTACATCAAGCCCTGGACCGAATCGCGTTCCTAGAGGATCAAATCAGAAAGCTTGATATCTCGGACGATACCGAGCGTGCCCGTGTTTTAGAGGCATGCGGAGTTTCTGACGCAGATGCAAGCACTTCGTCAAATGCGGCTCCCAAGTTGGTGCCGCTAGGTGGCTGTGGCACCCTTCAGCCTTGCGATGAATTAAGTGTTGATGAACACGGTCAAGTGAGTCTGGTTGCATGGAGCACAAGATGTTCGTGCACCTTTGGACAATAAAGTTGACAGGGTATACAGGTACAATACTTTGGAACTACTTCGCGCTTCTACATGCCAGACGAACATTCTGAGCGAGTCGAATATTCCAACAACGAACAAATGCTCTTCGACAAACCGGCACATATCGAATGGCTTCGTACGAATGCAAATCTTCATCATTCATTGGAGAAACTCACCTTAGCAAACTTAAGGAACGATCCTTCCGTGGATCCAGCACTATCAAGTGCACTTCTACAACACTACTGGACGTGGCAGCATCCGTTGCATAATTGTGTTTATCGTCGATGTGGGTCCTAAGGCCATAATGATATACAACCATATGGACTAACGAACAGTTTAGGTTTCGTCCGTGATTCTGCCTTGGGTGGGCCTTATTTCTCGCCATTTCTCCTAAATGTGATATATGCACATGCTGGAAGGCACATGGACCCCAATGATGCTCGTTTCAATTCTATTGAATATGGTGAACGATTCTTGGCGAAGGCGAAGGCTCTTCTTCAAGTTGAGATGGAGCAGAGCAAACCGAAGATTGCCACGATACAGGGACTCCTGATTCTAGGAGGTCGGCAGTGCGCATTGGGTCGGAATAGCGAGGGCTGGCTTTACACAGGCATGGCTATTCGGATGCTTAAAGATATTGGCCTACACATCAGTCCACAGAAGCTGCGCGACGCAGACAAGCTAAGCCCTGATGACCTCGAGGCGAGGAAGCGGGTCCTCATATCTGCATACGTGTGGGACAAAACAATGAGTATTTGCTTGGGACGTCCACCTACGCTGAATGATATGCCTTTTACGCATCATTGTTTATGGGATGACTCGGACGACGACACTCTTTGGAAGCCGGACGGATTGCCAGACGCAGATCCTACATATCCGCCCACTAAGAGCTACAACTCCTTGACTTTCCGTCATTTCTTGAGACTCTCGAAGATCACCACTCAGATGTACAACGTTGTATATTCTGCTACTATCAACTCAAAGACTATCGAAATCGAAACGCAAACTCTCGAGACAAAACTTCGATCGTTCTTTGCAGCGCTACCAGATGTCATTAAGGTAGAAGATCCTGCCACCATCACGCACTGTCCACCACCTCACATATTTTCTCTGAATATCCTGACTCATGTCCTTCTGATACTTCTATATCGGCCATTTCTGATATCTTCTCATCCTCGATACAAGCATCCAACCTTGGTCAGAAGAGCACAACGTGTGTGCGTGGAAGAAAGCTCTATCGTACATCACTTTATCAAGTTGTACCAACGAAGCTTTCGCCTTAAGAATCAAACGTATTTGATCTCATACTGCATATTCACCGGTGCGACCATCGATGTGCACGATCTGAAGACCCCAGACGAAGCCTCCGCCGCCGCTGCCGCTGAAAGATTAGCCTCAAAGCTGCAGATGCTCGAATCTGAAGCTCTATTAGCTCCAGGACTCCAGAGAAGTGCTGATATCATCAAAATGCACCTGAGGATGAGATTCAATCCTAGTTCTGCATCACCGATCAACCACAGCTCTGGTTCATGTCTCTCGAATGATTCAAATATAAGCGCAGTACAAGCCTCAGGAGACCTATCGATGCTATCTATACCATCGCAATTACATGCAGCACCAGCAACCCAATCTGGCTTTCAGCCCGCGCCTGCTGTAAATGGTTCGTCTGCTATTCATAGTACACTTCCTGAGTCAGGTTCTTTAACTCAGTATTCCTTCCCATCCCAATCACCCAGCAATTCAGCTTTGACCACTACGTATTCACCTACATGGCAAGATCCTTTTACAAGCCCAAACTTCACCATCGATACATTCGCCAATGTCGGAGGTGGTTTTGTTCCGGAATCCCTGAATTGGACACTTGAAGACACGAATTGGGATTTTATGCATTTTTGATGGCGACACGTTTACAGTCAAACGGATTAAATGAGACTCACGAAGGTCATGTCGACTGGATCATCACAATCAAGACCAAGCGCTGATCCGAACTAATTGTCAATATTATTGGTTATTCATAATTTATGAAGCCTTTAACCCATTCTCCACTGATACCGATACCGTTAATCCCGGCGTCACTTCTTAGTGAATACATTATTTGAAGACTCTCCAATCTCGCAGATACTGCACCGTCCATGGCAGCAGCTCAATTTGCTGCAGGTCTTGTTCTCGTAGTGGGTAATCGACCTGCACTGGCAGCAAGACCACGCTCTCCAAGCCATCATGGTAGAAACGGTTGATTGTCTGTTTTATTTGGAAATTTCGGCTTCGTGTAGTATGGGGTTGGAGATGGTGGCTTGGTAGTGGTTATTTTGAAGTTGTGAGGCTGGGAAGTTGATGATGTTCGAAGTCGTAAGTTTGGAAAGGTATTGAAGATTGTTTGTGGAGAAACCCACTCTCCGTGAACATTTCACTTCCTATATAGCACTTGACAAACCATTCACAGTGGCGATAGAGGCAGTAATCATACGTATCATTGGTATATGCGACAACAACAGTATGCTGAACAAGTGGCATTGTCCGACTATTTACGGCCGCGCAGACATACTCCATCATAAGAGAGGATCGACATAAGTTCCACACATTTTGTGAAAGCTCGCAGCTCTGTATGAATATATACACGCCATCAAGTAAGAGATTAATGGATTTGTACACGCTGACGCAATCTGTGAACACAAGGCTATTGACTCAGTCTTAAGCAGTGGAATGAACCTCGAGCAAACGTTCAACCACCTACACCTATGTTCCAAGCGACGATACCGTTCATACATTTCTGACGTATTCACTGACACAGATTACAGGAATTTGCGTCCATGGAAGCGCAGCAAATGCCTGTATCACATGGTACTGCAGTTTCCTCCTCCGAGCCCAATACCTGTTCACCTCGATTCTATTTTAGCCATCCCACCCTTTCTAGCGGCTCTCTCTGGATTTTCTAGCGTCTGAATATGCATCCATTTTCGCCAAGCCCTGTAGAGTGTCGTATGTGTAGTGGTCCGACAGCTGTCGTGTGTCTGCATTATTCCGTGCTCATGGTGGCGAGACATGTGGTCTGTGCCGCTGTGTGACCAAATTAGATACGCGAATCTGTCGTGGGGATATACCTAGGTACACTGGAGGGTTTTGAGATATAGAAATTGAATTGGTGCTTTATAAGTCTACCGGAAAAGAACGGCGCATTCCAGGACAAACGGCTGCATCAAAGACTAATTAGGAGCACTGTAGAAAGCCATAACGCCGTGTACATCCTAATGCTATTATCAATCCAATTCGTAGACCGATGTCAGCTCTAGGAAATGGTCCAGGTACATTCCTCGTTGCAAGGTTATACAGTATGACATGCCCAGGGCAACAGTCGTTGCGTTAGGCGCTATCTTGTACGCTGTAGCACCGGCGCCGCAACAGCACGAAAACTGTCGTATCCGCTTTTCTTGTGCAGGAGCTTTTTCCGAGTCTAAGGGAATGGGTGCTGGTAGGTCTGCAGCTCAATATAAATGAGGGCTGCTGCGTCGTTCTGGCTTGAGCTCTCAGCCTTGAGACAGCCAGCCTCATCTCCCTCCCCTTATCGAGAATAGTATTGTTTCAGGTTCCACAAAATGTTCGCCCTGTTCAAGCTCATCCTCGCTCTATGCGTGTCCTTTGTTGCGGCAACAACGTGCGAGATGGGAGACGGCGGCATCAAATCTCCTCAGCCTGGTGATGTCATCACAATGACTAAACCCTTCAATTTAACTTATTGCGCATACGCGTACTACAAAGTCCAGACAATCGACATTGATGTCGTTGTTATCCGCTGCGGATCCAAGGCCGGCGACCCGTGCCCAGACTTTGTGAGTGGCGAGGAAATTGTACATCATCTGAAGAGAGTTGAGGGTGAAGAATATGGTAAGTTCTCCTTTCCATGTCCGGTAGAAAGGAAGAATTGTGAGAGTAGTGGTACGTCTGTACGTGACATGATGCTGAAGCATGTTGGTAGGATATCAAGTAGACGCGACGGTGCTCAGGAGCGGAGGTGGCGATCGAGGTGGACAGTGGGCGATTGGAGTGCTGGAGCATGCGACGGGCTACTATGTGCAGATGGCGATATACAACCATCATGTTCCGGTAACATTTGTGTTGCCAGATGAGCCAGAAGATAGGTCGATGAGGAGGTACGCGAGGGACTTGAGAGGGTAAGGAGGTCGGATGGCAGTTCTATTGTGTACGTGTTCTGTATAATCCTTCCGCTGAACGGTTTGAAAAGGATCTGTAATCGTGAGTAGTATTAGTAGTAGTCTCAGCAGATGCACTAACTTGTTTTCAATAATGAAAAGCATCTGCTGTACATACGTTGCTGTAGGTACCAGACTTCTCGGTTTATTCCAGCAGTGTGATCGACATGCAAAGGCTTTCAGCGACTAAGCATGAAGCGTTTTCCAAGCACCAAGTAGCCAGATTTGATAAGACCATCAGTCACAGATAGGTCCTCGTGCAGAGTTCCGAATCGAGACAGTTACGAGTAGCGCTGAGCTGAGATAGGTAATTATGATCTCAGGGCTAGAATTATCACACTGTGTCATTCCGATAACGCGGCCTCCACATCTATTACAGTCAGCAGTTCTGCGCCTTGCACCGTCCGCGAGGCTAAGAAGCGTCGCTGCTTCACGCTTTGCACGGACAAAAATAGCAAAGTACACAGTGATTTAATACTCGTTGATTGGAGTGTGATGAATGCGTGCTAAGCTAGTAGACACTTGCGTGAAACGCTCGGACTAAACCCGCCCCCAATCACTCAGCAACGATGGATTACACAATCGGACATAGCTCCCTCCGTAGCATCGCCTCAACATCATCGGAACGCCTTCTCCGACTTCTCCCATCTATGATCTCGGCCAGCACTTGCATAGCACGAGCGAATACAGAAATAGCGGTACAGGGTTAGTGACGACAAGACCTATATACGCAAGACATGGAATCAGGAAAGTGTAGGATAATCTACCAGAGGGCAAGCACAGATGTATACACACGTCCAAGTTTCGGGCTCGGGTGACGACACCTTTTTTTATCTACCACTGCATCGATGAGATCTCGAGCTGTGCTCGATCCCTGGACCTTCAGCAGGGTCGAAACTACTGCGCTTTTCACATCTCTCAGGTACAGCATCATAAACAGATTCCAGGGTGGAGTCTCCAGGGCTGCTATATGGGATAACCCCGAGATGGAGAACTTGCCGTAGTTTAATTAGTGCCAACTTTAGGTGATCGACTAGAGCAAAACGACGTCCCTAGATGAATGGGGGTCCTTACGGACACGCGGACCCTCTTTGGCGTGACAAGCCACCTTTAGCATGCTCTGTCATGGTACTTTTAGGAGAACGACTATGTATTCTTGCTTATGACTTGTCGACAGCCAAGATAGTTCTGATAGTTCTCGTAGTTTGTCCTTGCTAGCGCACTACCTACGATCTTAGCTTTGTGACGTTTCAAAGAATATATAGAACAACTGATGCTGCTCTACTGAGGCTTGTATTGACCAGTTCCAGACCATCCTCGCAACATCGTAAGACAGAATACCACATATACCTCGCAATATATCGGCCGAATCTGGAAGATGGACCAAATCCAATGGACACAACCTCCGTCAGACCTACCTTCCATAGTAGATTCACCCTTGAGTCACGACAGCAGATGGCCGTGTGATATAGCAAATAGCTCTCAAAACACACAACCAGGCCCTTGGAATGAATGCTATTATCCCGTACCTCTGAGCTCCGCAGATATCACCGCTTCAGTAAGCTTGACGTCTCCGCATCTTCAGACGTATACTGACATGAAATAGTCTCAACTTGCTTGTTCAAGCAGCGTGTCTTTAGATCCAACATTTGCACAGTCGAACATATTCAACACAATGAGCAGTAACATGGCCCAGTACCCCTATATTCGAGGGCAGGAGTCGCCAACTCCGACCACCAGTGATCAAGATTCTTCGTATCAAGAGCACCTGCAAAGCATGACATCCCAACCACATTTTACACCTTCTCACGCGCGAAGGCATAATAGCTATCCCGAATTCGATCACGCGAGCACTTTTTCCAGCTCACGCAGCAATCCTTTCCCTTCAGGCGCCTCGGCAACTTCACTCTCTGGCCACGGCAGTGAAGAGGAAGGCGGGACGACCAAAGAGCAGGAAGAACGGCTTCTCCTGGAATTGAAAGACGAGCAAAACCAGTCATGGAAGAAGATAGCGGATATCTTCAGGTCACAGTGTAACAAAGATTACAGCGTCCCGGCTTTGCAAATGCGCTACCGTCGATTACGACAGCGGAGGCTGCTGGACTTCAACGATGCGGATCAAGCAGCCTTAATGGCTGCTTACGACTACTGGGAGACTAAACGCTGGGAGATCATAAGTGAGAAGATGGCTGAATTTGGAGCCACAGACTCCTGGACACCAAAAGCTTGCTCGGCCGCATGGCTGAGACTGAAGAACAGAGAGCATAGCATGAATTCACAGGGGCAACTCAATACACAGTTACCTGATATATGGAGACCGATGGATGTCCTCAACTGAACGGTTCGTGTTCATGTTTTTTCTGCGACTTAGCGAGCATCATTGTATTATCATAACAGCATTAGATCATGTACAATAGACCTCAGCAGGACCGGTATTCCATTTGGTGCAGAAACACACATAACTTCTCAGAGTGTTCCCGAAATTGACATCGTCAGAACTTTACAGTTCCCAAGCAGAGACACACATACCAGCATAGTTTCCAAAGACACATATTACTTTCGGTCCTTCTTGGGGTTGCACTCCCTACTAGCGCTTTGACTAAACAAGCTTCATGCTGAGCAAGCGCTCCGCATATGCAAAGACAGATTTCAAACAGCCCTGGCCACGCTGGGAGTTGCCGTTTACGCATGAGCGTTTGGACCAGATCAATGCGCTCCGAGACCTGCTTCATGAGTCAGGGAAGACACGCACGTGTCTCAACCGTGAAGTAGGAAAGGAGACTAGACTACTTTCCATGATCCCGGCAATTATAGAGGCTGCCTGAGACCTAGTTGTAGTTGCCGTTGAACCATTCACGAACCTATATTCGCATCAATAAGCAGTTTACCAGTCTTGTTGGGCGTACCCACTTAAATGATGTGTGATGGTGCTGTGTGTCCCTAAGGTATTTCCATACCGGGCTAGCACACGCCAAGACACCACCGGATAGCGTTCCGAACCATGAGACAGATCAGGTGTTAGCTCCGAGGGTGCGTAATTAGTGGATTCCGCCTTGAGAGAATCCAACACTCCATGCGTTGTGTCTAAATAGGGAATATCGCAAATCTTTGTAACAGTTTCTGGTGTTGTCCTAGCCACAATCTCGGAGTCTTCAGTACAAAAGCCTGCCATTCACATGCACAGCGGATTGAATGATGATGAGGAGGTACAATTACCGCTTCCTGCATAGCGAGCTAGATTTCAAGTTCGCTGCTTAGAATAGACCTAACTGCTTCGTGGCCATATAGCCAAGTGTATACACAGAAACAAATATAGAGATCTACACAGCCGCACTTCCACATGCCCAAACAGCAGAGAACTCTCTTCATCACGGCGCAGCCCACCCAGCACACACGATACATTACTCGTTTCTACCGCAACTTTCTCCAGCCTTCTCGCATCCACGAGCTCACAGATGTTCCTTCACATAGAATCGTCAGTCCACATCCGTCCTGATCTCGCAGTCCGTACGCTTGATCATGAAGGTGGCTACGTGAATGCGAATGCAGCCCACTGACCACTTAAAGCAAGACAAAGAAACTGAGGCACTCTCCCCTCTCCAATTTCATGAAAGCAGCTCATTGATACGACGATGGTTAAATCACCATACTCTTGCGTAGCGTCGTGAGTTCAAGATTCACCAAATACCCCTTTCACACACCACACAACACAGCAATAAAGTGCGTTCCGGGCCGCTGATTATGTGGCGTGCTGGTTGGACAGAGGAGAGGATTGGGGATTCTGCTTATTGGCTTGCTTGTTTTTCGAGGTTGTCGGCTGCTGGGGGTCGGCTTACTGGCTGATGGGTATGCGTAGAATGATGCGTCCAGGGGACTGAGGTACTGTTGTAGGCCTACGAAGTACGCTGCTTTGTCATTCTTGCCAGGCTGCGGAATGCTGTTACACGTGGTTAGGTGCACTCGAAAAGACTGCTTGAAGCGATGTAAACCAGCACAAATGTCAATTGATGCGACGTATATGAGTGCTATAACACCCCCTCAATGGTGACATTCCGTCATTCCTACACGAACCCCTAATGTCCAAACGCCTTTCCGTACTTCGCCTCCCAGTCCGGGTATCCGGACCTGGGGAACACCTCGCCCTTGGCGCCGATGCCCTCGCTCACCCCTTCTCCCTTCTCCGCCTCTGCGGCCAGCCAGACCATCCACTCGTTCTCGAAGAGGAGAACGACGCGACGACGCCAGGGGACCAGGACCGCGGTGCGGGCGGCGAAGACGTTGTTGGGCACAAAGTGCGGGATGCTGCGCTCGCATTCCAAGCGGATCTCAGCAGCCAGGTCGGTGATCAGGTCGAGTGCGGTAGGCGGGGACGCGGCGTCGCGGGACTCGGCCCAGCGCTTGCGAAGGAGAACAATCAGACGCTCGTAGGCGATCTGGCGCTCTGGTGAAGTTTTGGGGAGCGGCTCGAGGCGCAGGATTGGTGGGACTGTGAAGAGGTTAGTGAATCCACGTCGAAATTTGAGTCAGACTACGCTGCGATACCAAGTGTTCAGCGAACATACCACCAAGCATCTCGCGAGCATTCTTGGCATCGATCTCGAACTCGATCATGCGCTTGTTGTGCGCCTCGGCCGCAGCTTCATCGTCAGAGTCAGAGTCTTCTCCGAACGTAGCAACTCTCTTCTGGTGTATGAGATTTATGAAAGATTCATTGACGACGCTGATCGCCTTTGTGCGACTGATTCCAATGTTGGTGCTATTGGCGGACGGAGCAGGAGAATCTCCGTGTGTTTGTAGAACAAAGAAAGGATACTTCTTACCAGTGACGTTCTTAGCAGCGCCAGGCTCAGCGGTGCCGTCAACATTAACTGCAGTGCTGGCATCCTCATCAGGGTACGAACCAGGGATCGCTTTGTTGCGTTCAGCTTCGGTCAGTTCGTTCCAATTCATAGGCACGTCGATGATGTCGACCCATCCTTCGTCACTATCGTCGACATTGACACCATACTGCTCCATCATGTCGCTTGGGATCGCACCTCCACCTCGCATCTTGCCACGCATGGCAGAGGCCATCTTCCCGCGCTGGTCTTCAGTACGGTTCGAAGCTTGAGTAGCCTCGTTGCTGACAGTGGAACCGTATTCACTGGCGTCGGAGGGAAAGTCATCGAGATCTGCGACGTTCTTGAGATCCTTGCGCTCGGCGGACGAGGAGGACTGAGCTTCATCATGGGTATCCTTCTTGGATGGAGTGGAAGACATGATTGCAACAATAGTGACGTTGAACTGAATGTTTAGAAGTAGAGCTTGAGTGGGGAACGCTGTTGCGTTCAGGGAAAGGGCTTTGTGTTGTGAGGTGCGAACGTTCAGTTTGAGACGAGTGACGGCAGAATATATACTCGCACAGCAGATTGTGCGTAGTGAACTGTGACGTCGGGAAATTGGACGAAATTGGAAAGAGCAGGTGATTGGATACCTGGCGGTGCGGGCACGTGGTGCGATACTGTTGTCAAGTGAACTAGGTGACGAGCACTTCACTCTGAACTTGCTTGGGGGCAAACTGGAAGTATCGTTAGCTTTGTGGTACCCCGAGGTACGGTATCGGACTTACCGTGTCAATACCATGAATACATGACGGCATTTTCGCTTTGTCAAGAGAAGTGGAGAGCCCATCATGAAAACATTGTGAACCTTTGAAACATTTCTTCATTCAATATCATATCGTATCGTGGTATCTTATTGTCCAACCTCAAACACCCTGTCATTGCCAGCAACAAGCCGCAATTTTGTGTAGTCCTTTTCTTCCTTTCATACAAGCCTCTTTCTTAAGATCGCTACTTACTTCCTCAATCGCAGGCTCTTGGCAATATCCTCCCACAGACCCAATGGCGGCGTAGTCATCGCCTCATATTTGTCGATGGATGGCCTCTCACCAACAAGATCTGCCTCCTCGGGCCTGACGAACTTAGTCCTCTTGACGACCTTCCACCCGACAAAGAGGAGAATGCAGACAAATATCATTGTGTAATAGGTGAAGAAGGTGCCGACAACGAAACCAGTCTTGCTGGGCAGGAATACAGTATATCCCTGGATGCAAACAATGATGGTGGTAAAGAAGAGCGCAATCCAGGCGCAGTATGGCTGGAACCAGCCCTTGTAGGGGAGCGCATTACGATCGAAGCCCTGTGCCTTCATCGCGCGGTAGAAGCAGATGTAAGTGATGGACATGATCACATAGTTGAGCACTTGCGAGGCGGTGACAAGGTTGACGAGCCACTTTATAGCCTGAGCGGATCCGTCGGATACAGAGAGGAAGGAGAGGAACGGGAAGATCATGGTGATCAAGAAGCAGTAGATGGGTACACCACGACGAGTGGTCTTGCGCAAGAACTTTGGCGCCTGACCTTGAACTGCAAGACCATGGAGAGAGCGAGAAGCACAGAATGTATAGGCGTTTCCGGCAGAGAAGATAGAGGTGACAAGAAGAGCGTTGGTGAGGTCGGGTAGGAACTTGATGCCCATGTTCTGCATAGCAATGATGTAAGGTGAGGCTGCGCCAGTGCCGCTACCTGATGTGCTGAGGACATGTGTGAGAGTCTTGTCGTTGTACGGAACCACGATACCGACACAGAGAGCACCGACGATGAAAAAGACACCGAAGCGCCAGTAAACAGTCTTGAAGGCCTGTTTGATGGTAGTGCGAGGAGACACAGCCTCACCAGCGACCATGGAGATATACTCTGGACCAAAGACGGTCCATGCCGCAGTAAAGAGCGAGGATAGGAATCCCTCGAATTTTCCAAGAGGGCCAGTCGTAACGCTTTCAGCAAAAGCACCGGGCTCACGCCAGTACCTGAAACCGTACGCATCGTGCTTGGGGTTGCCTCCGCACATTGTGACGAATGTGAAACAAAATAGCATGACAATGAGGATAAGTTTGCCGGAAGCGAGCCAGAATTCCGCTTCGCCATACCACTTGACAACGAAGACGTTGAAGATGGCGTACAGGAGAATGACGACCGCGCAGACTGCAGCTAACGGGATATCGTCTCTCCAATACGTTAGCACCAAATTGAGTGCCGAGATCTCGAATGGGATAAGGATAGCCTCGTATAGGAAGAAGTTCCACCCGGCCATGAATCCGAATGCATCGTCGACGTACATGCTAGCAAACTTGATGAAAGAACTGGAGACAGGCTTATCGTCTGTTAGCAAGTAGGCAACACTCGAGTGGTAAATATCATACCATGAAAGTGGTCATCTCGGCGATACAATTGTTGACAGCAGCGATGACTAAGGAGTAGAAAGTGAAGGCAATGAGTAGAGAACCTAGAAATTTGTTCAATAACAGATACCAACAGATCGCTGCGAATACTGACCTGGTCCACCGCCAATGAGACCCCAGCCTATCGATACGAACAGAGCTGTCCCGATAGCACCACCCAAGGTCATCCATTGAATCTGACGATTGGAGAGCTGACGAGCCAGACCGTCGACATTCTCAATCACACCGTTGATCGAAGCTTCTTCGTCGCCCGAGCCGTAGGCTGGCGCCTTCTCTTCCACGACGTAACCGGTTTCTTTGCCCATGATGTCGATGAAATGGGGAAGTCGGGTGAACCTGGAGCTCATGAGGTATATAAATACTGGCGAGGGTACAAGTCTGGGTTGCGTATGGTGGCTTTCATTCTCTTGTGGCGCTTGCAGCAAGGTGGAGCCAGGGGTGGGTTCTTAGATCGCCGTCACGAACACCCACCTGAGATATCCTGGGGCTAGGCCATATGTTGTGCGCGTGAAGAAGAGAGAGAAAAGACGGTCGATCCAAGCGCACTGTTCGGTTGCCCACTAGCCTTCTCTATGCGTAGTGCAGCTTTCTCTCTCGAATAATATGCCTTTTGAGCATTGTATAAGAGCAGCCTGGTGAATATCAAAGGACAACGGCGTCGTTATGGAGACGGATACTCCTCAACAGGCTGACTGTATTCTCCAGCTAAGAGGGCGCTTCCATGCAGACGAGATACTGTCTTTTGAGAAGGTGACTCAGCTAGTGTACTGCCGACAGACTGGCTGCATGGAGACCACGTGAGCAGGCTTATCGTGTTTATGAAGCACTTGATGGGTCATTCGGACGTCCATCGGAGCATGTTGGCAGCTAGGAAGGTTGTGTTACGGTGTTTTAGAGATAGTGTCATGAAGAGCATCCATCATGCTGATTAGCAGACGACCCTTCTCTTCACCAATGTTACGCGATAGACGGCCTGATGTAGACATGGGGCATGCAGTGAAGCAGGTAAAAGCGCGTTGCATGAATAAGTATTAGACGATTGCAGGGGTAAATGCATCCTGGTTGAGTCGTCGATGTCAGGACTTGGCGTTCGGCAGTCCCGTCGTGGTCTAGATTTGGCTCTCATACCTAAAATGGTTAGCGTGCTGAAAACACATGTAGCCTGAGGTTCAAGTTCAACTCCATGTTAATGTTCCAGATTCCCATCCTTCTACCCCATGGCTACCGTCGCTAAGGCATCTTTGTCATCCCATGATGCACTTGTGTGATTTGGGATAGTAGTCCTTGACTGATATGTCTGTGCTTCTATGAATTTGACATTCAGATCGACGCCGAGTGAGTGCGACTTCGGCGCGTGCCGACAATCCAGTATTCGGTTCAAAGATCTCTGTCGAGCGGGCTTCCTATGCTGTGAAGATGCTGTGGTGAAAATAGCACACGCATGCTTGAGGGGACGGGGGATACGTATTGTAATGGCGAGCTCTGGACTTCGATGCTGTTTCGTTGCCATGTTGGCGACTACCCGTGAAAGATTAATGAGTGCTAAGGCGAAGAGGCTTGGCAAGGAATGGAAGAATATGGCAATAAGAAGAGAAGTCTGGAAGTGTTCAGCAAGCAGTTGATTGAATGGGTATCTAGAGATAAGCCGCCTCCATCCCATCAGTTAGTGACTCCAGTATATCGATGTCCACCCAAGAAAACATCAGCCATTACAGTAAAAAGGATATCATATCTGGTCGTAGATAACGCCAGTATTGCTCAATGCAGTGCCAGCCTGGTTCACCAGCGTCTCCTGCCAAAGGAAAGGCGCACTCGGGTTTTGCGCAAACGCTCCAAAGAAGGCATATTTCTCCACATAGGACTGCGCGTCCAACCAAGGCAGGACATCCTTCATGAACGCCTGCACCTGCGCGTCTGTCCCACTCGTGCAACCAAACTCCGTGATCCAAATCGGCTTGTTCCCACCTGCCGTGTACGCCTGCTGGACATAGCTCTTGAATGCCGAAATCTGGCTAGCATCCGAGTACCAGTGGATCGTGATGAAGTCAATGGTGCACCCACTGCAGGCCTGCATGAAGTTCTGCAGATAGGTCAGCCCCATCGGGGCACCTCCGTTCGTGATACCGGGAGCGCCAATCTTCGCTTTACCGGCAAACGGCTGCATCCAAGTCTTGTAGCTCTGTGCCGCGTAGGTCGCATTCATGCAGGAGCCGCCGTCCGAGCAGCCATCTGGCTCGTTGAAGGAGAGCAGCGCCTTGGCTCCGTTGGCAATTGCTGCGTTGGCATTGGCGTTCCATACGCTTGTCAGGGCATCTGCAGCGCTCCAGAGCATGGGGATGAAGGTCAGGGCGGTGTTGTATGCGGCAGCTGAGCCTTGATTGGCAGGTGCGCTATACCAATTGTACGCCCATGAGGCTTTGCTCTTCACGCAGGACGTAGAGAACAGGTTTGTCAAGGCCAAGTCGTTGTACGATACTCCTCGTTTAGTGCCTGGGGAGAATTAGTGGTTGTCTCAACGTTTTTATGGAGATGTTAAAACTTACCAGAACTCTTGTTCGTCGGTGTCGGAGCACATCCTGTGATTGTGGACGAACTCGCCGGCTTTGACGAGGTAGTTGAGGTTGTAGATGGCTTTGGTGACGTGGTCGAGATCGGTGAAGGGCTGGGTGTTGTAGAGGACTTGGATGAAGTAGTAGATATCAAAGTAGATGTTAAAGATGTCGAAGATGGTTTCGGCGAAGAAGTCGAGGTCGGTGACGGGCTAGGCGTCGTAGAAGACTTTGATGAAGTAGTAGATACGGAGGTAGAAGTCGAAGAAGGTTTAGGCGAAGTAGTCGAAGTAGAGAAGGATGTCGATGACGGCTTTGGAGTAGAAGTAGGAGTAGGAGTCGGCGCTGAGCTGGAGCTTGGTTTAGGAGTGGTGCTCGTCGTCGTGGGCTTTGAAGAGGTCGGGGTGGCCACTGTAGATGCCTTGGAGGTTGAGGTTGGTGTTGATGTAGGACATGTGGGTGTTAACTTCAAGCTGGTACATGACGCGGATCCAGTAACTGTTCTTCTCAGAGTATACGTCCTCCAATACATGGTACTCGTGCATTTGCATGGCACTGTTGTTTGCGCGAGAGCACAAGCAGCCAGCAGCACCAGCACGAAATGAATGTATGCGGCCTTCAACATCTTGAACGACTTTTGTAATAAAACGAATGTAGCCTTTTACTTCTGCCAGAAAGTCACAGTGATCCAACATCCATCCATCTAGTGGCGCTGCAAGTATATATACCATGAAGACACACCATGCCATTCAGAATGCTGAGCCTCAAGGGGTAAAACTTAGTCGAGTCCAATTTACCATAGGACACTCCAGACTTTCGAATCAAGCCGTCAAAATCGCCCATGACCACGTCAGAAAGCGATCAAACGCCCTGAGATCAGACAGATTCGGTAATCCCATCGTTGACTTGTCCCAGTCCGGGCAAAAGCCACGGTGCTGGCGTCGTCTGGAACTGCAAGCCATCAGGGTCGAGCGAGCACTCGGGTAGTGTCAAGATCTCCATCTGCGTTCAGTCGGTCGCGACCACGAGTGTGTTTTCGCTGGCGATGCACTTTACTCGTTTGAGAGATGGGGGAGAACAGATTTGGGCAGCGCAGGGCTGATGTTCCTGTCTTAGCACGTTTTTACACGTGTAGTGTTGTAGTTGTACGGCGAGGCCGTGGGCGATCGGTGGGATCTGGCCACACTTGGCGTCGGCTGTGGCTTTTTATTTACTCGTCCTGTTCACTCGTCTTCCTTTCCTCGGCACGGCTCCCAACTTCTACTGCATCTCGTCAACTCAATCACAACATGTACGCGTCTTACTTTCCTTGCATGCACCAACTCTAGATGCGCACTATCGTTGATGAGTCTTGCAAATATCTCATCTGCCCAGGATGCGCCCGTTCTGAGGCCTTCTCGACCACGATCATGTCTGTTGCAACAGCTCCTATAGGACACACCCGCACAAAGAGGTGGCGGTGAAGATGCGATTTTACGCTTGTTAAAGTTTTTGAAAGACTGAGCCCTTGGAACTATTAGCCCCTTGATGGTATATCTCACCGAGTGGGATAAGACTGTGGAAATTTGACTGACTGAGCCTTCGGCCGCCGACGCCCCTCAGAGCACGCTCAGCATATCGGCAGCGCCATATTAATTTTGGGAAGACGCCGTGTCCAAACTTCTGGAAGGCATGTTAGTAATCTGTTACGTGGTCGTAGTTCTCTAGCTCAATGTTCCCTGATATCTATTATCAAGTGCACGATGGCTCGTCTTCCGATTCTTGGTCAACTTTCTGTCATATGAACGAATTCGCTTTATGTCACATATCAGACATTCTCACTATCCATGTAGCATTAGACCATTAATGTAGCAACCTCGAAATGACCTAAATATACAGCATCGGCTCACACAAATACCATGTCGATTGCAATCTCTCGAGCAGCCTCGCGCGCACATAGCATCACGCTAGTCGTAGATATCATACCGAAGCCCAAAACCTGGCACGCTTAAACATGGCAGCATCCGCATTCCATCATCGCCGCTCAAAGCTCTAGCAGAACAGTCGATCAACACCAAAAATATCAACCGTCCACAACAACCCAACCCTCACCCATACCAACTCCCCCTCGCCCACCTGCAGCCATGTCGAAGATCGAAAAGACAATAGCACGCCAACAAGCGAAGTACACATCCCTCCCTCTCCTCCCCTCCCCTCCCCAAACTCAAAGTAAATCAAGACCCTCTCTACTAACACGCCCCCTCCCCAACGCCAGAATCGAAGAAGGCCAATTCTACGAAGCCCACCAACAGCTCCGCGTAATCGCCTCACGCTACATCAAACAGTCGCAGCCCGACCCCGCCATCTCGATCCTCTACTCGGGCGCACAGCTACTGCTCAAGGCAGGCCAGGGCGGGTCCGGCGGCGACCTGGCGCTGTTCCTGCTGGAGGTGTACAACAAGAGCGAGATTGGCGTGAATGCGGAGAGCAAAGGCCGGCTGATCACGCTGATGCGCGGGTTTCCGGCGGGGGAGCCGACGCGGAAGCGGTTCATCAATGAGGCGGTGGGGTGGAGTGCGCGGTTCGGGGAGAGCGAGATGGGGGATGCGGAGATGCATCATGTGGCGGGCATGTTGTTTGCGGCTGGTAAGATATTTGGGCTTGGGGGAAGGCATGTGCAGCGAGGAGATAGATCTGAGGCTAATTATGGCATGGCAGACGACGAGACGTATGATGCGGAGCGACACTTTCTGCTTGGCACGCGCGATTCGCCTGTCGCGCTGAGCACGCTCGAGTATGAATGGTATACGGAAGATGAGCCGTCCACGGCGCCGCTGTACGTTTCACGGGCTGTGCTTCCGTACCTTCTCACGGGCAACTACATGGGAGCGAAACAGTCATTCTTCCTATTTACGCGCAAGCTCGAAGAGAAGAACCCAGGTCTTCCATCCAAGAAGGTTGACAACCAAGATGTCGACGTCAACATATACCCAAGCATGCCACTGCTCAATTTCCTCGGCTTGCTGTTGTTGGCCGTCGAGCGCGGCGCCCAAGCACCATTCTTGAAGCTACGAAAACAATACGAGGCTCAGATCCGAGATGTCGGCACGTGGGGCGATGCGCTGGATCAGATTGGCGAGAGGTACTTTGGAGTGAGGATACCCAAGGCATACAACCCGCTCGGTGACATGATGAACATGTTCATGGGCGGCGGTGGTGGAGGTGGCGCGCCGCAGCAAAAGAGGAGAGTCCAGGCTGCTGCTCCGGCGCCGGGTGTGGATTGAGATGTTGTGTGTGTGTACAGTGTCGCATGTCTTTTTCTCTGCATGCGCGCCATAAGTAGCAAGGGAGTCTCCGGCGTCTCGTCTGTACGATGTAATAGTGACCATAGCGTATGCATCCGGAATAGACATCTTTTTCTCACCTCTTCACGGCGAGCCCACATCCTCAGACTCAAACATCCACCTATCTCTGTCCAGACTCGCCAACTTGGCCTGCAAGCTCGCAGCCAGCGAAGCCTTCAACTCTGCAAAAAAAAAAAATTTCCCACAAGTCAGCCAGCTTCCTTCACTTGCCCCAACTCCAAAATATCACAGGAGGGGGGGGATGGGGGGAACAAGAAAGAAAAACATTACCCAATTCCCCATGAATCTCCCCGCTCAACTCCCCGCCACGGCCCAGAATCTCAATCAGTCGCATCTCGTCCTCGGCCAGCTCGTCGTCCCCGTCCTCCTTGGCCCCCGGCATCGGCGGCATCATCAGCCCCAGCGTATCCACGATATAACTCCCGCTCTCGTCGCGCGCCACAATATCCCCATACTCCTCTTCTTCCTCCTCCTCTTCTTCCTGGGTGCCGCCATCAGCTCTACCACCAAACACATCCCCGGCACTCGCGCTCGCACCCACACCAGTACTCATCACCGACCCCCCACGACTCCTTCCCCGCACCTTCTCCTCATTCCACGCGCCACGCCCGGACATCTTCCGCGACGCAACCCGTGCCGGCGCAGCAGGTGCCAGAGGCGGCGAATCCGGCGCGTGGAGCGCAAGCGTGGCGGTGCTGGCCGACGAGCTGGACGCGGCGGTTCCGGGCCGTCTGGAGAGCGCGGGCTGGAAGAGGTTGCGGCGGATGCTGGGGTGGGTTGTTGAGGTTGTGGTGTCGTGCTGTTGGGCGCGGGCGGAGGGGGCGCGGGAGGGGGCGGCGGGGGGTGCGCGGTTGGACATGTTTGGGGGAGGGTTTGGTTTGGTGTGAGAGGGTAGGAGGGAGGGTGTTGGCGGTGTAGAGATGGTGGGTAGGAATAGTGAGGGTGTGGTGGTGGGTTTGTGAGGAGGGTTGGTGTTGTTGTTGTTGTTGTGGTGGTGGAGGTTGTGGAGGTGGAGAGAAGGGAGACGATCGGAGGGCGGGTGTGTCGTGGTCGCGTTAGTGTATATATATTTCCAGTTTAGGCTTGGTCACCAAGTCCAAGCGATGACGACAGATCAATTGAATCCTCTACATTAAACCACACACACAACCCCTCAACTCCCCATCCCACAAACAACACCACCACCACGACCCAAAAATGACACGCTTCCGCCCCTGCATCGACCTCCACGCCGGCAGCGTCAAGCAAATCGTCGGCGGCACCCTCTCCCCCAGCACCCCGTCCACCCTCCGCACAAACCACATCTCCCCGCACCCAGCCCGCCACTTCGCCCAGCTCTACAAAGCCCACGACCTCCGCGGCGCACACATCATCATGCTCGGCCCCGGCAACGAAGCCGCCGCGCGGGAAGCCCTCGATACATGGCCCGGCGGCCTGCAAGTCGGCGGCGGGATCAACGACGGGAATGCTGCATCGTGGATTGCGTGGGGCGCCGAGAAGGTAGGTTGAATCATACACATACACATACACACAAAGGAAACCCCCAGAAACACACACACACCCACACACGAACCCCAAACCGAAAAACAACACAAACACGCACAACAAAAGAGCTAATCCCCACGCCCCGCGCGTCCCGCGCTCAAACCAGGTAATCCTAACCTCACACCTCTTCCCCAACGGCACCTTCTCGCAAGCCCGCCTCGACAGCGTGCTCCGCGCGCTCGACAACGACACGCACAAGCTCGTCATCGACCTGAGCTGCCGCCGACGCGGCTCAACCTGGTTCGTCGCGACGGATAAGTGGCAGACTGTCACGGACATGGAACTTAATCAAGGTATTAATAAATATACAATAAACACATCCCATCCAACCATATCTAAACCCCCCCAAAAACAGAAACAATATCCCACCTCCAACCGCACTGCTCCGAATTCCTCATCCACGCCGCGGACAACGAAGGCCTGCAGTCGGGCATCGACAGCGCTCTTGTCCAGAAGCTCGCCCGCTGGTGCGATATACCCGTCACGTATGCCGGCGGTGGGCGCAGTATCGCGGATCTGGAGCTTGTCAGGACGCTGAGCGGCGGCAAGGTGGACTTGACGATTGGGAGTGCGCTGGATGTGTTTGGTGGGGCCGGGGTGCGGTTTGAGGAGTGTGTGAGGTGGAATGCTAGGGAGGATGGGGGGGAGGGTGAGGATAGGGGGGAGGATAGGGGGGAGGATGGTGAGGGTGAGAAGGAGGGATGAGGGGCATAAGTAGGGGTGCGTGGTGTGTAAAAAGTGTATATGTGGATATGATGAAGAGACAAGGTCGGCCATGGATCAAGTCGAACTGAAAATGGAACCAAGGAAACGATAGATAGATATACATACATACCTCACGACACCATACGGAGCACCCCACACACACACACACACACACACACACACACACACACACACACACACACACACACACACACACACACACAGAGCAAGCAAGTATAGCAAGTATAATATACACACCGCCGCCAAATCGGCGCGCGCGTGCGCGTGTGAGCTTTCTTCTATGTACTCGACCAGAAAAAGGTATTTATTTCCTCTCTAGAAACAATCCCAGCAGAATCTCTCGAGACACCACCAATATTTCATAAGCCCAACACCGCGAGGACTTCCCACTCGAGGATGAACACCACAAAAATTTTGCAAAAAAAAAAGAAAACAAAATATGCAAGACACTTTAACAAGAGGTACTCAAGAACAAAAAGAAGATAGCCACCGGGCAGGCCAAGTATAAAAATAAACAAAAAGTTCGAACGGGTAATAAGAAAAAAAGATGCGTCGTTGCGTCGTGTCGTTCCCGGGGGCATACATATATGACCGTGACAAAAGTTGCCAAAATAAAATGCTGGTCGCGATGCGGTTGTATGTGGACTAAACGAGTCTAATGGGCAAAATGGACAAAGGCAATGGAAAGTGCTTTTCTGATGTAGCGTCTAGTAGTTGTGCGCAGCGATGAGTTGGTGTGGCGCGTGCATTCCGTTACCCATGGGGCCAGGAATATCCGAAATAGCCGCCGGCATGGACAGATGGTGGAGATAGTCGTTTGAAGGTTCTGGCGACTCTTCTTCCTCGAGAGAGCCGAGACCCTCTTCTTCGCCCTCGAGATCCTCTTCGTCAAAGGGAAGTGGGTCGCCTTCTTGGCGTGGCTCATGGGTGCGGCGATGTCTAAGGCTGACGTTAGCATGCGAACGAACTGTATGGACTTGACTTTGGCGGCGGCAGTAAGGCAAGGCAAGGCAAGGCAAGGGCAAGGCAAATGACTTACTGTGCGAGATTGTCAGAGCGCGAAAAGGCCTTGTTGCAGAGAGAGCAAACGTATGGTCGTTCTTGGGTGTGGGTCCTCACGTGCCTAAGCGCTTCGTGTCAGCGGCTACAGTTCCAATGCTAATGTATGTCTGTCTTCTGACGACGACGGGCGCTTACCTCTTGAGGTGCTCCAATCGCCTGAACAATCGACCACAGGTGGGAATTGGGCATGAATGCGACTTCTGGGGATACGGTCCAAGCTCCATCATGGTGGCACTGCGCGCGCGTCGGTAGATTCCCCCCGGAGCGGGATTGCGAGCCATGTTGTGTTGCATCGGCTCGTAGTCGCTGTGTGTCGTCGTCGTCATGTTGCCAAAGTCTTCGTGGGCGAGCATGGCCGGTTGCTGCACAGGACTGCCTTCAATGGTTGCCAGAGGAGTTCCATGTCGGGAGGCCTGAACGTCAACTTTGTGCGAGTTGACGTGGTTGTTGTGGTAGTCGGCGGCATTCGGGATCTGGGCCACTGCAGCGCTCTGTGGCGAGTTTTGTGCAGACTCGTCAGTCTCCGGGACAGGAGCGACAGAAGCAGACATTGATCTACGCAATTCACTGGGTCGGTGGACTGTGTGTGACTGTGCGCCACCACCACCACCGGTCGCAGTGACGGCAGCGGCGGCAACGGCGCTGGCGGAAATGGAGGATCTGCGCCGCCTCTGCTTGTAGGTGGGTGAGCCTTCAATAACGTTGTAGACATTGCCTGAAGGGAAGGGTCTGGACATGCTGGGGAATTGGGGCCCAGACAGGTTTGAGGGGGGAAGTTGCATTAACGGATTGAAGCTGTGCGAGACACCCATGTCCGGGATGGCCGTGTAGAGACCAGTCTCTTCATTGGCAATGTAGGCAGGCTCAGTGCCCATGCCCATGTGCTGCTGGGGAGGGGTGATTGGCTCAAAGGAGAGACCACGATTGCTATAGTCATCGTAGTGTGAGGACACAAAGGAGGGGGCAGGGGAGTATTCCATGTATGCAGGCATTGAGCTATGGCGCTGGTGGACCTGAGAGATGGGGATACCATTGCGGTCAAACTGACCAGCACTTGGGGTGTATTCGCGCTCCCGACTCTTGATGATGGTGTGCGCAGGGTTGGCCATGCTGGAGGCGGGCATGGCCATGTGGTGGTGATTGAAGGCAGCCATGTGGTTCAACGAGTCGTCAGCAGAGACGGCTGGGGGCAGGCTCTGTGGCATCATCTGAGGCGGGGGCATGGAGTCGATGGCGCGCATGACTGGAGAGGTCGAGTGCGAATAGTTCTGAACACTGCTGGTATTGTTGTTGCTGTTGAAGGAGGAGGAGTTTGTCTGTTGTGCCTTTGTCAATTGCTCAAACAGCGACTGCGACGAGTCAAACTCAAAGGACAGGGCCGGCTCGCTGACGGCCATGGTGGTGGCCTCCTGCCCCATCTTCTCCCGCTTCAAATCACGCTCAAGCGCGTCTAGGAACAGCCTGTCATGGGGCACACTATACCAGTAAAAGACCTTCTGCTTCTTCTGGGTACGAATGCAGTTGTTCTTGTACAGGAAATCAAGGAACGCGCTCTTTGGCTCCTCCAGCGACGCATCCGTGCCCGACTTGAGATTGCGCAGATCCGAAAAGATACCTTCCTCGAACTTCTTGGAGTTCTTCACAGGACGACCAAAAGCCTGGAAGCGAAAGGAAAGACAGCGGACAATATCGGTGCCGGAGATGTGGAAGAGGTTGTTCCTATCGATTGTGTGTGAGGGAGTGGGGACTGGAGGAGGAGAAGTCGAGATGATGGACATACCACAGCACACACGAGACATATTCGCCCGTGGGTAGCAGAAACCTGCGAATGTATTGATCGGGTTGCCAGTCGACAGGCGCAGATATGAGAAAGTATTTTACTGGTGCGGCGCATTAACGAACGAGTCTTTCAATTGCAGTTTCGGTGGACGAGTACTTACAATTATCGACCTGCTGGAGCGCTACAATCGAGTCTGGCGGCAGGCTTTGTTGCGCGTCCTGATCTAATAGAAAGGTTTCAGGAGCAACGGAGCGCTGCTGGGGCGGAGCCATCTGAGCATGAGAGCTGGAGTACATGCTTGCAGCAGCAGCAGCAGCAGCAGCAGCAGCAGGACACGAACGAGGCGTGGACCTTCAGGGCGAGCGTGTTGAAAACAAAAGAAGGATATATATGAGACGCGCAGCGATTGTAGAATTGAGGGGGATTTGGTGTTTTGATTGAGATGAAATAGAAACAGGACCTGCCGGGGGGGGAGTGGATTTGGATGGAAGAGGGAAAGCAAAAGGCGCGCGACACAGACGGGCGGTGCAGAGGATGGAAAATGGATTGATTGCGAAGAGAGCGAAACAACAGCGAGGGCCTGCCTCGAAGCAAAAAAGAGTCAAGACGTCTCGCGTTGGAGGTGAACGAAGCAGTGAAAGGGATGTGGAGGAAGAGGAGGAGGTGGTGGTGTAGTTGTGGTGGTGGTGATGGTGGTGGAGAATGGACGAGGAGGAGGAGAAGGTGTGGAAGTAAGAAGAGTGGGAAGATGGTTTGAGAAATGGAGTGGGCGGGTTTGAAGAAAGATGAAACTCGAGTGTGAGGAGGGGGGAGGCGGGCAGCTTTAGGTGTGTGAGCAATTGGTGAAACAGGGATGGCCAAGGGCAAAAGCGAGCAGAAGAGAGAGCAGAAGAGCAGAGGAGCAGAAGATGCGGCTGCTAACTGGACTTGACTTAGACTTGCTTGCTTACTTACTTTTGGGGAGGGGGGAGGGGGGTAAGAAGAAAGCTGGGCGGGCTGGCTGATGGGGAGAGGACGGAGGACAGAAAGAGGGGACGGGAGAGACGACTGGGGGAGTTTGTTGTTGTAGTTGTAGTTGTGGGTGCTGGTGCTGGTGCTGGTGCTGGTGCTGGGGTGTTGCCTGCTGCTTAGGGGGGGGGGGACTTGACTGACAGCTGGGGGGCTTGCTGGGGGGGTTTGTGGTGGTGGAGGAGTGGTAGTGGTGGTTGACTGGTGACTGACTGGTGGTGGTGGTAGTGGTCGTGATGCTGCACAGGCGGCTGCACTTGGGCGAGGGGCAGCAGCTATTTGGGGTAGCCAGACTACTATTACTCTTCAGAGTCTTCGTCTTCACTGCTGTTGTTGTTGTAATTACTTACCGTTGACCGTATATGGCTTGTCTGTCTCGGTCTTGCTTGTCCGTTGGGTTGGGCGGGCTGGCTGGAGGCGCCGGGATGATGATTGCAGCTAATGATTTCTATTTCTATTTCTAGCTATGAATGTACGTACTGTAATATGTACTATGTACAGTACCTAGTCTTTCTAGCCTCCCCGTCCGTCCGCCCGCCTCTGTCATGTTGTCGTCGACATGGTCTATTAGTCCATTAGCCCGCGCGCCCTGCCCTGCCCTGTCCCAACTAATCACTGCATCCACTCTTTTTTCCACTCTTCCACACCTCCACTCTTCCACACCTCCACTCTTCCACACCTCCACTCTTCTCCACCACACACACGCACCACACACACACACTGTCCACTCCATCGTCGCCAATGACTGATGCGCCAATGCGTCGCCTATTTGGCTCTCTGGCCACTCCGCGCTGGCTGCTCTCAACCTCTCTGCTGCTGGTCTGCACTCTCCCTCTCCTCCACTCACAGTCGCCCTGCTGCACAACTCCTATGTCCATGCCTATGTCCATGCCTATGTCCATGCCTATGTCCATGCCCATCCATGCCATCCTCTCAGAGCCGCGCCAAGCCCCTTTCCTCCCTCCTTCACCGATGCGATGCGCGCGCGCGCTCGTCCTCCTCGCTCCCATGACATGACTTGACAACCCTCCACCAGTTCGGTGCGCAAGTCTCAGAACGGTCTAGCCGACCACTGACAAAGACCACAAGAACAACAACAGAATGGTCAAGACTTGGGAAAAGCCGTGCAGTGCAAGAACTCGTGTGTCACCGCCCAAAGACCTTGTTGTAGAACCCACTTCTCTCATTTACCTACCCACCCCGTCCACTCACGCCCATGCCTGACCGATCAAGCTTCAAGCCGTCCGAACGAGGTCAAGATAATTAGAGAGCGAGAGAGAGAGAGCCCGTTTTATGCTTTCAGCCCAATTATTTCTTGCTGACGCCTTCTTTCCAAAGTCGCCGGGTGACAAAACTATACCATGCCCGTTATATCCTATCCTGCTCTCACACTCCCGAGTTCCCATCTACTTTACCATCCTTCTCGTCGCCCAGACCGGACCACCCACTCCTCAATCCGTTACCCACGCCATCACGCCTGCCCTTTTTGCCCCGAGCCTTGTTCTGAATCGTGATCCGTCCTCACTCTCTCGAATAAGGTATTATAGAACCGTTTTCGCCGACAAACGACGGCAATTGACACACACACACACTCTCGATCGATACACATGACTTGTCAACAAACCGTTTTCCTGCCCTTGTCGTCCGGTGAGTCCGGGTTCTCTGTTTTAAAATGAACTACCACTTCTGGCGTGGTACATTGCGAACGCTATTATTACCCCCAAAAGTCATGCTGCTGCTGCTGCTGGATGTTGCGGCCTAACTAACTGTGCTACCACGACTGGTTTAGAGCAGTTTGTCAACTTTTGTCTTCAGACTAGGCTTGATGATTATTCTGAACTTGACTGTTCGCTGGCTCTCACATACTGTCACCTGTTCCATTGCATGTCATCACCATCCATAGATCCATAGACCAAGAGCTCAACTCTCAAAGTGTGGTGCTAATTAGGTACACTGTAGCTCTCTCTCTCTCTCTCGCTCGCTCGCTCCCTTCGTTTCCCGAGAAGAAAATCCGAGAGTTGTACATAGTAATAAATTGGTCTGTGCAAAAGGATTTTGGGGGAGGGGGAGGGGGGCCCATTTCTCATTTCCTTGCCCTACCTACCTAATTAGCCATTCCATCCATCTATCCATCTATATCGGATATCCAAAGTCTTGGCAGATGGGATCCTGCGCAATCTCATAATTCATTCATTGCTATTCACCTCTCGCCTTTCTGTGACATTCAGAACTATTACTGCTAATACTACTACGGTACTACCACCGTTGATGACATTTCGTCAATAAAACGCAAAGTGCAGCTTGCCTGGCTGGATGGATGGCTGGATGGCCCGTGCCGTCATTGGGTCCCTGGCTTGGGCAGTTCTCAGCGAGACTTCTGTTCGCTCCCAGGGCTGGCTAATTAGCTCCACCAACCAACCAGCGCAATCAGCAATGGCGCTGGTTTTTCCTTTCTGTCGGAGTGAGTGCACGCTCGTCTGATTAATTAGCAACGGAGACGTTTTATTCTGTGTATATTTGTAGAATGCTTTTTGGTTATGCATGCTAGAGTAGGACGAGTCTGAGATTGATAGCTTTCTCACGCCCACGTTGGACTGCCTGTCTGTCTGTCTAATTATCTGTTTGTCTGTCTGCAGGAACAAGCACATTCAACGGCCTTGCTTCGTTCTCTTTTTCTTATGGAAAACGTTGACATGCTGCCGACCGTTGGGGCTTGGAATAGCTTGCCTGTCTGCAGGAGGGCTTGAGAATGCTTGCTGCTTGTTGCTTGCTGCTTGGTGCTTGCTTGGTGCCTGAGGCGACAGCAGCTGAGTAGGAGGTTTGAGCCCACCATATTAACCAACCTCCACCTCTTCCACCACCACCATCATCACACGATCCGTTCCATCGCGACTATGTTTCAGAATGCTTTTTCTTTTTTCTTTCCGTTGTTGGCTGCATCCATCCATCCATCCATCCATGCACGTAGCGTGGCCGGCCGGGGGGCGCGTGGGAATCGCCTCTCGTCGAATCGAGTAGCGGGCGCCTAATTAGTCAATTATGAAATGGACGCGCCTGCACTAATTATATGTTAATTATGGATCGGCCAGCACCACCACCGGTCCAACTGCCATGCACTGCACCCATACGAGCCGAGATCTATGGTGCTGGAGGTAATGTAATTAGTAGTGGTGGTATGGATACATACATCATCTGCTAGAGCGCGCGCTCACTGGAAACCTTGCGAGATGGGTGTCCATCCTGCTGTCGATGAGAGTAGTTGGCAGTAAGCAGCATGCCTGGCGAGGGCGGTTAGATGAGCGGTCAGATGGCTGTACTGTGAGAGCTGGGGATGGCCAATTGCTAGGGCAGTGTATCGTGGACATGATACCTAGAGTCCAGCACGCGAAGCATATCGAGGACATGATACCTAGAGTCCAGCACGCGAAGCATATCGTGGACATGATACCTAGAGTCCAGCAGCACGCGATGTACATCATCCACTTTCATCTCCACCACGCGCCGACGGGAGCCCACCGCGGTCGAAGCCGATGGCCACTAATTACTGTATGTATTGCTGAAGCCTGGCGAGCGCTCTGGACGCATGCGCATGCCTTCGAGAACTCAGAAAAGTCTATTCTTTAGGCCTCCACCAAGCGTCTGACCCGACCGATCTTCAGTCTAGTATAGCTTCGTCGTCTTGTCGTCCTCGCGACTTGTAGAAGCGTTGGACAAGGCGACTGTTTTGCACTTCTAGCCTATCTAGCGCGTCGATCGTCGTACTATGGGGTTGCCGTTGCTTGCCGTAATACGCTTCTTCTTCTACGGCGATGGCGCGTCGTTGCGTCTGCGCAGATCGCACACCACCCACACCCGTCGGACAAATATTCGTCCTATTCTCGTCGGGAGTCTAGGCTACAGGGCAGACTAATTATCTACAGTTATGACACTCCCGCAAGGACATCACAAACTAGACACAGATAGCAGTAGCCCTAATCACTAATACGTCTTCAACAAGTCGTCTCTGCATGGTCAAACCTGGACGCACCGGTGGCGATCACTGTCGGGAGACATGCCTCGTTGAGTTGAGGGCCGATATGCAGCAGTGCATGCGGCAGTACATGCCGGCAATGGATGTGAATGATCACATAATTACAGTACGTGCTCGCTATCCATCGTTGCAGCAAGCACTGCAGCTATCCCGCCCACACAACCCCGCAGTCTGAAGCGGAGTACTGTAAGTCCAGAGAACGGAGGAGCAGAAGATATCGCATCCTCCTCCGAACCAGCTGTCAGGATGAAGGCGAGCGACTACAGCCAGCAAACCCTGTGTCTACGCGAAGAGAAAGGCAAAGTGTTCAAGATTGTAGACAATAATCGTCCAATTGCCAGACTGAGCAAGCCGCTCTGTACAATGACGATGTCCAGCCACCAGCGTGTAGGTAATTAGGTAGCTATTCGGACCCTGTCAGACGAACGACTTCGAATAGGCTTGCCGGTGCATGTCTATCCCCACAAAGCGCGGGCCCGTCAGACCAAGGCTTTAAGGGCAGATCTCGAATCGCCCTTCGGTCGCGATAGAAAGCCGCCGCCACGGTCTTCAGACTGGATCAACAAACCTCATGGACTCCGCGGATAGGATTTGCACTAGAAAGTATTAGAAGAGTCTGATACAGGTACGACATCTTCCAGGAAAGCCGCTAGTGTTTCGAAATCTGCACCTCCTCGGCCATCGGCCTTCGCTTGGTTGGCCTCAGGTTTCACGACCAGCCCTTCCAGCTTCTCCCCCCCGACCAACATCGGCGACACGCACCAGACATGCTTCCAATTGGCCACAAGCTGCCTTCTCTGGTCTAGCGACAACTTTGTTCCGCCGCCGTCGAGCTAAACAGGAACGGCACACAAGACGTGATTGGCCTCTTGTCCGAGGCATGATTAGCCGGAAGTCTGACCTTAAGATAGGATTGAGAGGCGGTCAGACTTACCTCTCGCTAACGAGGACTACAGCTTATCCCAGTTTATCAACGTCGGTTATAGCATATCGATGTTGGGATAGCCCTGCCATCGCAGTCGACGAGTCATGCCCAGGACCGTACTGCTGCAGCGTTGAGCCCATCAAAGACTCCAAGTGAGAAGCGTCACATGCATGGCAAGCATATACTGAACCAAACTACAGAACACGCTCGCATCTTATACGAAGTGCCAGGTAATTACCAGTCGTAATCACTGTCATCCACCCTCAAGACGGTACATGTGCGTGTTGTTCTTCAGTGTTCACTACCAGAACCTTACCCAAACTCTATCATCATACCTCGAGACAAAGTACCCGCAGATCTATCGAGTACGTCTAGTTGGCTAAAGAAACTATACTTGCAGTCGAACAGACTTCGACCACCTTGGATGCTGATGCAACAATACCATTAGCCTTTCACGCCGCTCTCGAGCATCACGGCCACGCACGGGGCTACATACATCTGTGGCTGCAACAGCATGACAGCCTAAGCGAGGGTTATGCTGATGGACTGAGCATCCACCATGCGTGTGTGTGTATACACGACTGTCCAGTGTATTGCCACAGCACGAGGCAGGATGGCAGATTGGCTAACCGCATACACTGTACTTGTACTTCCGATCTGAGCACACACACTTCCACACTGTCCATCTATCAGCACGGCCGCCATGGTATGTAATAATGTATGTCTCCATCGCTGACTCGAGCAGCCGCCCACTCCTTCCTTTCCCGCGTCCTCCTAGTCCCAGGTGAAACATACTCTATTCATCCCCGCCATGGAGAGATAGGAATATCTGGAGCGGTATGTACCTGCATATGCATTCTAGATTCCTCTCTCCCTCCCCCTGTTCTTCCCAGGCACAACTGCACATAAAAAAAGCCTTCTGCAGGCTGTTAGCGTTCTTCTTGCCTGCTCAGGCACGCATGCACGCACGCACGCACCGGGTGGGGTGCCCGGATCCCGTCTCCCGAAGCCGGTAGGCGGCGTCGGCGTCCATGAATGCATGCTGTTTCAGATTTTTCTTGTCTTCTTCGAAAGGCCTCCTTCTCTGGGTCGTGGCGTCTGTGTTGTGGGTGTGTGTGTGTGTGTGTGTGTGTGTGTGTGTGTGGGTATAGCGCTTTCGAAAATTGAAATGCCAGATTTTTCATCGCCTGTTTCGGTACTTGAGACTACGTGATTGCATCTGTCGATGCTGGTTTTAGGGGTTTGTGCTGTGTATACACTTTCTCCCTTACAGCATTATTATTATCATATCTACCCATACCTACCCATAATTACCAATAATTACCCATACCTACAACTAAATCCATCCGTAATTCATCAGAGAAGCCATACTAAACCCCGCCCGTCCGCCCGATTATATATCCACATTATACCCCACGCCCACACCCGCATAAACATACAGTCAGTTACTCCGTGGTAACGTCTAAAGTTTAATATGAAGCGCCGCTTGAAGTCTGTGTGTGTAGTATAGTAGTATATTCTGCAAGCAAAAGTAAAAGTAAAAGTAAAGCAAAGCAAAAGCATAGCAAAGCAAAGACAATAGGAAAGTGAAGTAGAGTAGAGTGAAGTAGAGTAAAGTGGAGTAGAGTAGAGTAGAGTAGAGTAGAGTAGAGTAGAGTAGAGTAAAGCAAAGTAAAGTAAAGTAAAGTAGAGTAAAGTAAAGTAAAGCAAAGTAGAGTAAAGTAAAGCAAAGTAGAGTAAAGTAAAGCAAAGTAGAGTAAAGTAAAGCAAAGTAGAGCAAAGCAAAGTAAAGTAAAGTAAAGTAAAGCAATCCAAAAGTAAAAGCAAATCCACATCCCCTTCCCTCCGCCCTCCCTCCCGGCTGTCGTAACCACTCAGCCAAAATGACTAGTCCTAGTCATCTGACTAGTGTTACCGAACCTTTTGAAGCCTGAAAACCACACGGCAACCGCTCAAAGATCCCGTGATACTATATACTCGACAAGTAATATAAGTAATATTAAGAGAAAATAGCCACTGTCTCATGATGCTTGATACATACGGCGGACTTGATACTGCGAGCTTGATACATACTGCGAGGTTGATACTGCGAGCTTGATACTCCGAACTTGATACTGCGAGCTTGATACTGCGAGCTTGATACTGCGAGCTTGATACTGCGAGCTTAATACTCCGAGCTCAATACTATAAGCTTAAGTTGCGTTAGGTCAGGTAGATGCTTGATGTTTTGTGTGAGTTATGGTATGCCATGTCTTCGAAAAAATCAAAACAGTAATTACAAGCAACAGCTGAAAGATCTACCACCATGGCCTTTTTTTTTTTTTTTTTGGAACGGCTTTTTTTTTTCTTTCTCGGCTGATGAGCTGCTGATTCCTGTGTTGTTACTCACGGGTCCCTGAGGTGGTATGGATCTAAGTATCAGGCAGGGGCTGTTTCTTTGTTTCCTCGTTTTCTCTGGGGACGTAGGAGGAGTTTGTGGAATCAATTACCGGGCCGGGCCGGGAGAGGGGGCAGTGAACGTGTTCGAAATAATACGGATTGAGAAGTTTAAGAGTGTTTGAGAGTCCATCCGTTTGTTTGTATATAGGCCTTTGTAGTCCTGCCACCCTGTTACTCACTTACTTACTTGGTTACTCACTCAACTGCCTAGTTTGACAGCCATCTATCTGGCCATTCAGCGGGCTAGCTAGTCGTGTGCATAGTAGCATTCATTAACCACTTGGCTTAAGTCCCCTGCCTGTCCCTGTCCCTCGCTAAGCTTGAAAAGAACATAGAACGAGAATAAAACAGGGGATGAATAGATAATTAATAGAAGAACTAGAATAACCCAGTCGCTTCAAACGTTATATCATGTATCTCATGGCCTTTCTTATATCGTTCCTACGTTCCATATTACATACACTACCCTAGACTCGAATAACAACTCAGACCCCGAATAGCGAGACGCGGCAGCTATGATGACTTGACACCCAACCCATCACAGCAAAATACAATCCTACCAACAGGACAGCCGGGTGCTGGGGGCATCATAGTCTGGTAATTCGCGCCTTTATAGGTATCGTGTTAGAAAAGGGGGTTTAGAGTTCAGAGGGGTTTGAGTCGTTGTGTTCTTGATATCTTATGTAATACTTGGTTCTGTAGCTATCGGACTTAGTAGTACGTTACTCTATTCTCTTCGACTAATTATAATTCCTACTATGAATTTTCACGCGTGGTTCTATAGGTATATTTTATAATATATAGCTACGCTAAGTCTAGAATGTATACCCTATATAGCGTTTAATAGTAATTCAGTCTATATACTAAGCGGTTTTCTATCGTGTTAGGCATTATATAACTTGTTGATTCTCTACTGGCTATCAAGTCTGCTATGACCTTCTTCCTTCCTGTTCGTCTCGGCGTGTCCTCGCTACGAATCTTTAGGCGTGGTTCTGTGGGTATATTTATAGAATCCTACGCGGTCCCGTCGTGGTGTGCTTAGTCTGTGTGGGTACAATAGTAGTTTACTATACATGCTATGAGGTTTCTATGGTGTTAGACATGGGATAGATGAGTACATTCTCTACTAGCTATTATATCTACTATTTTAATTCCCCCTTCCTATTCGTCTCGTCGTGTCCTCGCTGCCATATCTCACGATGGCCATGTTCCCTCATTCACAATTCATGGCTAGCCTGACCGTGGTGTCCTTACTCTGCACCATTCTCAATACTAGGGCACTGCACATGCTACGAGGTTTCTATCATGTTGGGTATCAGATAACTTGTTCATTCTCTACTGGCTATCAAGTCTGCTCCCAAATTCACCCCCTCCGCGCCCCTGCCATCCCCAATACCTGCCATCCGCCGCACGCAGTTGGCATCAACCAGACGTCTCGTTGCCGCCCTCCTCCCGCCACTGCACAAACTCTGCGGAGAGGATGTGCGAGTAGTCGCCGAGTGCGCTCGGGAGTTTGACGACTTCGATTGTCGGCGAGCCCTTTGTGCGGCGGATGCGGTATTTTTCTGGCGTAGTCACCGTCTCTTTGAGGTCTGTTTGTGTTAGTAGGCTTTCATTATGTAACGTGTTCAGAGAAGTAATAGGGAACGGAGCGAGGAGGGAGAGGAGATGGATAGGAGATATGAAGAGGAAGAAACATACACGCCAAGAACCCAGCCGCAAAGTTCACACACGTATTGCCGTCCCAAGACGCGTGCTGCCGCTTGACCATCCCGGGCAAGCTGTGTGTCTGCAGCTCCTCGAGGCTGCGCAGGATGCCGTGCCTGTCACGGAAGCCAACGATGATGCGCGGCACGCCGAGCAGGAAGGATTGGATCCAGAACTTGAGCAGCTTACGCTCGAATGTGAGCATTTCTCCGGTCGTTGCCGGCCAAATTGCGGTTTTGAGCTCGACCCAATTTATGGGTTCGTCGGTGGAGGGGTCGTCTTGGAGGCTGAAGGTGGAGGTGGAGGTTGGGTCGGGAGAGGGTTTGGAGGGCTTGGAGTCCCATACTGTGTGTGTGAGTGAGAGATTCTCTAGATGATCCAAGGGAAAGAGGGCGTGGGATCGCAAGGGGGCGACTTACGGGCGTCTACTTCGCCGCCGATGACCATAGAGGAGGTGCCGATGGCAGTGCGGACGACGGAGCAGTATTGGGCCTTGTTGCTGACGGGCAGCGAGGGCCGCGACTCAATGTATTCGCGCGATACGTTGTCCCAGATGTCCGGGATTAGGGCGAGGGTTTCGAATTTGTAGCCCGGGAAAGGTCAATCAAGAGGTAAAAGGAAAGATAGCGAGAGCAGGATGTGGTGGGAATCTTACCCCAGTACTGCATCAGCTCTTGTGATGCCGAATGTTGACGGCGTGACTTTTGGGTCAACTGTTTGGCACGCTGGTCGAGGTGCCACTGGTAGTCTTCTTCGATAAAGCTGTTTTGTGATTGCGGATTAGAACGCGAGCTGTACCATACTGTACAAGACTTAGAGCGGTACGTACATCGTTCCCTTGATGGCGGAATGGTTAGCCAAATTCCTAATAGTGTGCGCTGCAATCTACTCACTTGGTAACACGTTGCGTACATCTCGAACCTGATATGCGTAAGCCTTGCTCCCTCCCAAATGACCTATTCCGCTTGACATACTCGCTGAACATGTCAAACGGCGCAGCCATGATCTGCGCTTCAATTAGCCTCGCTGCTCTGCCCCTTCTTGAACGTGTCGCATGCGGACCTTGGTCATCATGCCCCTCCACGTCACGAAGTCTGCCTCGCACTTCTTGCCCTCCTTCTTCTCCAATGCCATGATCGTCTTCAGCAAGCTGTCAATATGCTCATCGCCCTTCTGGTCCTCCCTCAAGTTGTTAAACGTCTCGAAGCCCGCGTTGAGGTCCGCAGGAAGCGCGGGTGGGTAGTAATAGTTGATCGAGGAGTCATCGAGGCGGAACTTGTGTTCGCTGTCATATGAGAAGCATGCAATTTCCTAGATACACCATTAGCTATTATGTCCCCCCAAAAGCTTCCCGCTCACAGCAGATACCCACCCGTGGTCTCTTGATCGCAGCACTAGAGCCTGCGAAGCGCGCAATTGGAATAACATCGAATGTAGACATGTTGACAGAATCGTGTTCACATGGTGTGAGTTTTGTAGAGGCAATGATTGCGCGTTGTTCTACGAGAGTCCAAAATCTACTTGTCGCGAATTGTTGTTGCGCGTTGTATTTTGTGGAGCTTGCGCTAGTGCCAATTCCTGCCGCCAAGACGCTAGTGGTATCGATAAGATAGACATGTGGGCAGCGATCTTTTCCAGAACTTCGGCTGTAGCTGACACTGACGTACCTTTTGATACTCAAGCCCATTACGCTTCGCTATGTTGGATCAGATAGTTCTAACTACGCGGAGTCAATAAAAGACGCAACGTACAATGTCCCAGGAATCTTTCGCGTTATATATGCACATTTATTCAATAAGACAGCATTAATTGCTTCAATTGGATACAAGCAAGCATGTCACGTCCCTTGCAGACGTCCGACATTATCTTCCCATCACAGTCCACGAATTTCTCCGAAATTCTGTCGTCGTTGAAGCGCTCTACGCTATCTATTTCAAATCGTCTGAAATCAATCACAGAAGATGCAACATTTGTATGCTCTGTGGCAGATGCAGTGCGGCTGCCACTCATTGCGAATGAGCGTTGCGGGAGCTGGTACATACCACCCGAGCGCAAGACGGCGAGTGCATACTTCAAAAGTACCGACGGACACATGAACGAATGGGCCTTCAGCCTGAGGAGACTCAACACGCAAGTGCTGGACGTTATCGGTCAGTTCGACGGGTACGCAGGACATGCGATCCAAGGCGAAGATGTCTCTGCTGAAACGTATTAGCTGCATAATAGTCGACTCGACTAGAAGAGGGAAGCGAATGCCAGATGCCCTGTCCAAGACGGTTCCAATTTGGTGCTGCGTGCTGAATCGAGTTCTCTTCCCAGAGCTCGAGGAGTCACATACACTATTTACAGCAACGATGTCGGTGTCTGCTTCTGAACACGCCCAGATTGAAGCCAGAATCCCTCGCTTCGTGCGCCAGCTTCAAGAGCTGGGTATCAATTTGTCAACTCTCCGAGCATCTTTGCACAAGCCCCTTAGACCAGTGTTCGTGACACGAGAAGGCGATATATTACAAGTGCCTGTATTTGAAGAGTTTCACCGGGTAGTGCTGTGTACAACGTCGAGGACAGTTCTTGGCGGTGAAATGTTTGAAGGGAGTTATGTGCAAGGGGCAGGAGACGATGCTGAAGGCTGGTCTCGGGGCTTGACAGCGCCGCTGTTCTGGAGACACAAGGCACGACTACTGAACTCCACAGATGAGGATATGCCTGAGTTGATCTCACAGCTGCTAGTGAACGGCGAATGCCCCAACGAAGCTGGTCTAGTTCTCGTGAAGCCCACAACATGGCTCTACGTAGGTGCTGAACAAATACTAGACAACGAGAACGCTACTTTCGATAGCGACGCTGTGATACACTGCGGAGGGACCGTGCATCGCAGCTCAAGCCTGCGATTGAAGTCTAGATACTTGCATATGCAGTGTTCCACTGGAAAGCTTGGAAGTAGAGATCTGCGCAAGGAGTTGAACAAGTTACAGCCCTTCATGTCGAACCTCAGCACCGGACGCCTGTTTGTCTGCTGTCAGACTGGCAAAGATCTATCTTTAGGCACCGCATTAGCTATCATATGTCTCTACGCTAATGCCAATGGTAAGTCCATGTCCCTATGCGCAGATGCTTCGCAGAGTGACTCAAGTATACCAGGGAGCATGACATCAACTCCAAAGTCTCCACATTCGATGGACAAGCCATTTATAAGACAACGCCTTGCGTGGGTGACGACCTCCATGCCAACCTTGAATCCCTCTCGAGCAACGCTACAGTCTGTCAACTCATATCTCATGAGCTCCATGTCCTCGTCCCCTACACTTGACTCTCCAAACCTCGCCCCAACCGGAGCATCTTCGCATCCAACATCGACGCTACTCATCTTTCGATCCCTAGTCGGCACATGGCAGCTCGAACGCACACTTTCCAGCAAACTCACAACCCATCCATCAGGCACCGTCGAAGGCAGCGCGACATTTAACACCCACAATGAATCCGTCAGAGACATCAAAGAAGGTGAAGAAGTCATGTACGAAGAAAGTGGGTCATTCAAAACCAATAACGGCCTGGAATTCAGCGTGAGACGACGATACCTCTACCGATACGATCCCAAGTCGGACGAGATTAGTGTTCTTTTCGTGAAAGAGGACGGCAAGACAGACGATGGCTTGTTCGTGCAGCTGCAGATCCTCGATGGGGAAAATGATGGTATCACCAGGAAGGCAAGATCGAAAGAAACACATGTGTGTGCTGCAGACTTGTATGATGCTGCTTACGAGTTTCACACCCAGAAACCAAGCGGAGGAGAAGGCCTGGGCGGCATGGCTGAGTTCCATGTTCGATATGACGTCCGGGGACCGCAGAAAGACTACACGAGCGCGACAATATATACGCGATTACCTGGCTAGGTGGGAAGCTGTGTCATTTCTTCATCCTGTAAGAGGGATTCGGCGAATACTTCGTTAGTGTGCAGTCTGGTCAGGCTCTGTCCGCATCGGAGAACCGCTGGCGGAAAGTCAAGAAGTATTACGTTTGACAAATCGTGAAAACAGTAGACTACGGCCCAACGATGTATTCATCCACAAATTCCTCAGCAAACACAAGTCACCTAGAAACAGTACACATGCCTCGCACCTGTTCCCAATCCCTTCCAGCGACCTACACCAATCCTCGTTCCTGACTACTCATCCTCAAGCAGCCGTAGGAACCGCAGTCGGCGGCCCAGGGAAAGGTGGCCTCGACCCAGTCGGCGGTCCTCCCGGACCCCCAGGACCCCCAGGACCACCGCCGACGGTATTCGGAACGCCTCCGTTCTCACCATAATGCGCCGCTTCCCTGACCGTCCTGACCGCCGCTGGATCCAAGCCAAACGTGATCCAAGCAAACACCCCGTCAGTAATGGCGTCTCCAAGCAGCACATAGTTGACAATCGGATCGTTCTGGCCGACCGCGCCAGACGCCAGGATGCCGTCGTTCGCGTTGGTCGTGATGGGCTGCGTATTGGTATTGTACGGCGCTGCCATCCCGACGACGTCGTTGAGGCTCTGGTCAAAGTAGATCTGTCCAACGTGCGACGCCGTGCCACCTGTGATTGTCGAGTTGGGCAGGATCGTGGCATTGATATGCGCTAGAACTACACACAATATGTATTAGCCACGCTTCCTCGACCTTCGCAATCACCACCCGGCACTTACTATGTGCATGAACCGCCCGTCCGGCATAATGCCCGGGATACACGGTATCAAACTCCGTCACGCCATCCTCGCCACTCATCTGTATCCCGCGCAACGCCGTATTATTGATATTCGTCGGATCCGCAGTCGGCACACCGCTGTACACGCCGAGCGCGCTGCAGTGCCAGATCTCGAGCGCGACACCACCCAGTGGATCACACGTCGTCGTGTCAATGATCTGCAGATCCACCGTCAGGGGCACGCCCGCTTCGTCCTCGGTGATGTCCTTGCGCACGAACTCGCCGCCGACGTCTGCGTATTTTTGCATGGTTAGCTCATCACACCATGTAGCCAGCGAACCCCCCCAAAATGGCAAAGACGGGGAAAGAAAGAAGAAAAGAGAAGGGAAGAAACACACAATACGGCCCCTCCGTAACCTCCGGGCTCAACAAACAACTCGCATTCCCACCAAACAACAGCTCATGCGGGCTATTCGTGTCAACCGTCAGATTCGAATGATGGTTCTTGGCCAGCACATCCGCCAGATCACGACGTTCCTGTTGCGACTTGAGGCCTCGCTTGCGCAGCAGACGGTCGACGGTCGCACGGCGGCGCGCGATAGTCTCGGCTTCGCGCGCCTTGAGCTGCGACGTGCAGTGGTCGAGCGATGTGTACTCGGCATTGGCGAAGTAGGCGGCGCGTTGGGCGATTTCGTCGTGGATGTCGTGGCCTGGGTGCGCGGCGGCGGGGTCGAGGTTGGAGATGAGGGTGAGGGCTGTGAGGGCGAGGGCGAGGGTGAGGCGGAGCATGGCTGGTCTTCTGTTGCTGCTGATACTGCTGCTGTTGCTACTGTTACTGCTGTGAAGGGAGGAATTTGGATGCTTGGAATGGAGAGACTTTTAAGTAGGCATTCCATGGGATTTATATTCTTTTACACTCGCCAGGGAGGTAATCAGTGCTACACGATATCATGCTGAATATATTGACTACGGAGCGCTGTCTGAAGTCAAAAGGACAAGAGAGACGCGTAATTCACTATGTTTGAAAACAAGCATTGATAGGACTTGCTATGATACGTCTTACCCTATGAGGAAGAAGTTCGTGACAAGCACGAAATTGCGACGAGGTGGATAGGTCGACCCCCTAGGCGATCGATAGAAGCGCGTGGCTCTATACCCTTCCATATCACACTCTCCCTCGTACTCAAGCATAGGAGAAGTGCGAAAGCAAGCATCAACTCCCAGTTAATCGCCTCCCCCTTCCACCGCTCAAGCCTACCCAGTCACAGCAGCGGCGAAGCTTAAACAAGAAGCCAAACGTGGTCGACGGGGTTGGCCCAAGAAGAGGCTCCTTGCAACGTGCTTCGGAGTTGCACAGTCTGGAAGTGGTGAGAATGAGGTGCGAGCACTGCGAAGATGCCTTGTCAGCCAAGTCCGACTCTTCATCAACGACTTGGCACGCTCATATAATCAGAATGTCCCATTGGCCGTCCGACGACTCGCGCTATCGGCTCACTCGACGGATGCAGCAGCTTCGAGACAGAGGAAGGTTACTCAGAGCTCCCACCACGAGCCTGCGCAATATGGTATATTCGCATGTCTATGCTGTGCGAGGTGCGGAATGTTCTGCGAGACTTGGCAGTTTCCGCTTGCGCCAATGACCGCGAGGATGTTGTAAACCGGCTGGTGAATTCCTGTGATAATGGAAGTTTATCGTAAGGATGGCTCGTGCTAGCCTCGAGGTCGCCAGGATTGTTAGACAGCGATCGACATGGGAATGTTTCAATGTACCCAGTCTTGCAGCAAACCCTCCCCATGCACTGGTAATCCGCTCATCTAGTTGTTAACGACTAGCAGGCCTTAAAGTACTGCGATACGTGACAAGTACATCACCATGCTCAATCGTCATCTTGAGGGTTTGTTTGTCTCATAGAAGACTTGATTTGCGTAAAAGCTTGTTGGGCACGTCAATTCGAGGGCACATGTATATTACGCGAGCCTGCGCATGTGACCAAGGACCTCTGACATGGACCCATCATTCCATGTGTTTTTCTCGTGACGCCGAGAGCGAGTCATGGCGTTCAAATTGCAAAGCTGTAGAGTCGCAAGGTACGTCTGATATATGTTCATTATCGCGTGGCCCCGGGGGTGTATTTGGAAGGTCAACCACATGTAGCTTCATCCATTCTCAGTCATTCGCGTAGGTGTGTGATTCAAAGCATCATTCGCAATGTCGTCGTTGTCGCTACTGCGGTAGTCACCATAGAGAACCTCGCAGACACCCCCAAAAGGCACATCGAGCACACCATCAGTACCAATGCTCCACAGAGTACGCCAATCTACGTCATATCCAGCAATGAATGTCGTTTGTACACCGAAATTGCTCATAGTGCGGAGGTCGCCTCCTCGCCTGCCTACAGTAGGTGATACTGGGCTTGACGCTGCATTTGCCGAACCCTTTCTAGACCCAGCTGGTACGACACCATTCTTGACAATCTTTCTTGATCTTGTATCAATGCACGCAACGGCTCCCGCTTCGTCAACCAGGTTCTCGCAGCTCGATAATGGCAGCGTGAGATATTGGGTGTTGTAACTTGCAAGCGCGATGTAGATGTACACGATCAGGACGACGAGCCATGAAGGTACCGCCAGCGCCCACCACCTGTTTGGATAATAATGTATGCCCAATTGATGTAGAAACGGTGAAGGCAAGTATGACCAAAGCAAGTACATTATGAATGCTGCAGACGAGGCGAGGTACAACGCGAACCCATAGTATTCGTAGGTTGGCACCTTGGGTGAGGCTCGGGGGACAGAGGGCGGCGCAAGGCGAGCAGAGGTATTAATATCGGCCGTGGTCGTGGTAGTAGAGACGGGTGTCGCTGCGCCCGAAGGAGCCGTGTCTCCAAGTTCCACATCAGACGACTCGGGTGTCGTAGGTCTTGAGGCTTGTGCGGAAAACGATGGCCTGAACAGCGAGGTCAAGGTCGGAGATTCTGGGAGTGGAGCAGGCGGTCGATTATAGAATGGAGGAAATAGCATGCTAGAATTTGTCTGCGGTGGCAGGCTAGAAAATGATCGCGATGCGTGCGTGTAGAGCGGTCGCTGTCGCGGTGCTGTGGTATCAGCATCCTCAGCGTCGGACGAAAAGTCCTCATCTTGATCGAGAGCAATCCCACTCGGCGACTGCTGTAAGTCTTCGTCTGCGATATCGTCTTCGCGTGACGCGGACTCTAAGGATGAGATGATTTCTGGAGATTCAGCCAACGCGCCGGTATCAGAGTCTGTGGTCGTAACATGTTTCGATCGGCGTAGCGACGCGAGAGTCGGGAGGTTCGGCGTTGACTTTGACTGGAATCCTGCGGGCACCTGCAATCCTCTGCTTTGCGGTGGCATTGCCGCGCTGTTGAAACAGGCGTGAGTGTGTGGTGTTGCGGCGTGTTCAACCAAGGCCAAAGGATGTCGCTTTAGCTTAAGCCTGAAGCCTCCGGTGCACGGACTAGCCTCAAATATACCCTTTCGGGAATGGATTGAATTGATTCCATCCATGTTGCGCACAAAAACTTTCGTATAGCAGGTTGCGCAATTGTATACCGATATCAAGAGCTGATAGGTGTGCTCTACTCATAGTCACGAGTACGTGGCTGCTACATACAGACCAAGCAGGCGCACCTTGATGATTCACTTCTGCCCTGGGTATTTCTTATATAGCATATAATGTCCCATCCTCGAAATTACCTCCGCTTCCCTTTGCCCTTACCTCTCGATCCAACAATATCCCTAATATCACCCTTACTTAAACTCAGCGTCCCTCCCTTGAACCTCCCCACCGCCGGTCCACCTACCCCCCTGTCCCTCTTCTTCGCCGCATCCCTCCCTTTCTTTATTTGCGGCCTCTCCAGCACAATCCCATTCTCCTTCGCTTCCTTGCGCCTTGTATCCTCTCTATTCTTGGCTTTCGCCACAATCCCTTTGCGGTGGGACGCGGGCATCTTCTCCTGTTTAAACACCGATACCTTGGATCCGAGTCCTTGAATGCGAAGATCGATTGCTTTGTGACGATTCTTGCCGGTGGGATTCAGGCTGGTGGAGCTGGTGCGGTCGAGAAGGTGCGATTCGCGGAGGAGTTGTTGGAGTTCGCGGTCCTTTTTGAGATTTACGGCTTCGCCTTCGTCGTCGGAGTCGGAGGGTGGCTTTTTGGATTTCGTGGTGGGTGGGATCTTGGTGATGGATATGGGGGGTTTTGAAGACTATTGTTTTTTTAGATCATGAGCTGAAGTAGATGTGTGCTGCTTCGCAAGCTGCTTACCATGAACTTCCGCTGTTCGGATCTGATTGTGCCCTCTGTTCTGTGTCTTGAAACCGTGGCGACCTCTACTACCTCGACATTTTCCTCCTCCTCATCCTCTGACGAGAAGCCACTGAATTCGGATTGCTCCTCTCCTTCGGCTTCGCGCAGTATCTGTACATGGGCGTTGAGAGGACTCGCAGGTTTCACTTCTTCCAGAGGCTGAAACTTTGCCTCGAATGCTCTCTTAAACGCTGCGCGCATGGCTTCATTGTCGCTTTCTGCTTCTTCTGCCTGCTGTGGTCGCTCGGCAGTAATCTCTACTCTTCTCTTTCTCTTTCCAAGTACAGCAACCATATCTGTAACGTTAATGTATGTAGGACTTTTCGTCGATTGCGGCGATTTAAGCTTGCTGGAAAGCATTCGCAAGACTCAAAAATTTAGGTTACGGGGCGGAGGTCTTCGCCAAGAACAGACTAATGGATCGCTAAAGGGTGAGCCTCTAGTGGGGACATTGGTATAAAATAAACACGTCTGGCAAGGAAGCTTAGCAGAAAGCTCTATAATATAGTGCACTAGAATGGAGCAATCTTTCTATTAATATAGGCCATTCTATCAGGCTCGAGAGAAAGAGAGAGTGAAATCCTCACACGTGAATGGAACACGTCATAGTTAATGATGCAAAAGGTCTTCGAAAGTTGATCTATTCAAGGTGCATAGTACGCTCTAGCAACAAAACATGCATTTCTTGTTCTGAAGAAAACTTTCGCCACTTTGAGTGGCAGCAGATGATGGCATCAGATGGAAAGCAAGCCGGAGCCGCAATATTGGGTATCATACACAAAAGACAAGGCAGTAAAGCAATTCGAGTGACGTTCGGCACCCTCGGTCGCTGATGACGAAGGGCAAACTGCACGGTGTTGAACTGTGTTCAACCTCCCATGCATAGCAGTTTTTGAGCGGCACAGACCTGTGCCCAGGCGATGAAGATTTTGCAAAGATATAGTAATTCAGTCGTTCAGAAGTAGAGTATTAATGTCAAGAGATGCCGACTCGGATGTACGCCAGTACACATGCTGAGAACATCTGGTTGTAATCGTGTAGTAGTATAGCAGTCGACCGTGAATGACGCCTCCGAATGCAGTAAGTGATGATAGTACAGCCAAAGATGAACCTAGACCACCGCAGGCCATGCTCCTATAGCAGCCGTGCTTCAACGCGGGTCCAGATCGATTCGTAAAACAAAATGAGAACTTTGTAAAGTATGGTCAACTTTATGACCACATCGTCGATGTGCGTTCTGACAAAACAGGTTGTTGATACTCGTTCTACCCCTGAGACCGTCGCGGCCGCTTGTCTAGGTGTCCCCCTTGGGGCCCTGATCCGGGCTCGTCTCCTCTTCCTCTCTTTCTCCCGCCTCTTTCACCTCCTCGTAAGTCACCGCTATCTCTTCTATGGCCCTCACCGCGAATCCTCATGTCACTAGGTCTGTCTCCCTGCCAAGTATTGTTGGGCAGAGGACCTGGTGGTGGAGCTTGGGGAGGTAGAGGTGGTCTACGACCTTCATTTCGCGAGCTCTGATGCAGTAGATGTGATCCACCGGCTTCCCGTTCGCGATCCCTGTCTCCGCGTCCTTCACGCCTCTCCCTATGTTCACGTTCGCGCTCTCCGCCTCGCTCATTCCCACGATCTCTTTCTCTCCCTTCTTCTCTGCCATTGCGTCGACTACTCTCTCTCCCACTCTCAACCCTCTCTGGTCGTTCGGATCGCTCTGGACGTTCAGCGCTGGTGGTAGGCCGTTTGTCTCGATGCTCAGTGCGTCCATCGTCGCGCTCGCGTCGATTGCTTCCCTCTTTCTCGCCACGTGGACTTCTCTCGCGCTCGCGATGTCGGCTGGACTTGCTATCACGGCCATCTCGTCGGCTGCCACGACCTTCGTTGCGCTCATCTTGAGAGCCTGTCTCGCCTTGGGAATTCGAAGCCATCAGGTCGCGGCCGCCAGTAGGGGGTTGCACGTTATCAGGATTGACGCTGATAGGAGTCGAAGGTTGATTTGGCGATGGAAGGCCAGACGATCGTCCTGGTCTTACAATGGCACGATTAGGCGCGCCGCGATCAGTTGGATTGCGCTCGAAAGAGCCACCGGAATTTGCCTGTTGCAGAATATTCTGTACACCTACGAATCGTTTGTCTTCTCCACGATGATCAGATCGAGGAGGTCGCTCACGATCAGAACCGAAAGCAGGCCCAGTTGGAGGACCTCGTGCGGACGGCGATGGCCCGGCAAGTGGGCGCTGGGAATTTCGAGGGCCAGAAGGTGGCGGTACATCTGTCTGAATATGATTAAGCCGACTCGGATGAATACCGGCTATCTCTGTAGCTGTCGGCTGCTCGGTAGACGGGGTCGGTGGAGCAGATGAAGTCACTGCCATAAGATCAGCTGACCGCTGTTCTCGCCGGTCATCGAGAGGTCCAGGCGGTGCTCTATCGCTTGCAGGGGATGCTGGAGGCTGTACCGAAGCACCCTGAACGTTCGCAAAGTTACGACTCTCTCGTCCAGGCCGCCCTCGGGGTCTTGGCCCAGAAGGAACTTCTGAGCCTGAGTTGAGTCGACCATAGTTCGGATCCTGATTTGGACGAGCTGGTTGAGTAAACTCGCGGTTGAGACGTCCATGATCAGGGTCTGCAGGATTTCTTGGGTTGTTTGAGGGCTGGAAAAGCTCGCGCATGCCACCGCGCTCACCACGAGGTCCAGATGGGGGTGGCCCGCCGCTTGGATCATCACGCCTATCATGTGGCGCAATCGAGTAGCCAGAAAGAGGCGGTCGCTCAGAGGGAGTCCCTCTCTCATCACGATAATCACTTCTGGGACCGTCGCCTCTAGCACCTTCGCCCCTTGATCCGTCACTTCCTCTGGGAGGATATGGTCCTGGTGCGATGCGATCATCACGTCTTGGAGAATGAGGTCTAGAGCCACGTCCACGAGGCCCGTCATGCTCGCCACGCATATTATCGCGAGTCTTTTCGCGTATTTCAGCTTCGATCAGTTGAGCGCGAGCAGGATTGACGCCTGCTGAATGATCAACCGGGTGAGCATTGCGATCAGCGTTGCGATCAAATTTGGGCGGCGGATTTAGCATTCCTCTTTCTGGACGTTGTTGATGTGGACCTGTCGGGGTTTCTCGGCCTGGGCCATGGTATCCAGACGCAGGTGAGCTCACAGGACCGACACCCTGCAGTCGTCGATGACCGTCTGCAGTCGGTGAAGGTCTGGAATCAGGACCAAATCGATCACGTCCATCTCTCGGACTCTCGTAGGGAGGTCGTACGTCTGACAGCCCATCTCTAGAGGGCATAGGCCGCACTCTTCGATTGTCAGGGTGGTCACGCGACAGCTCTCTCGTGCCCATCCAATTTGGATCTCGGTTTGGCTCGCGTCGATCCCGCTCTGAGCTGCGACCACGAACGCCACGATTTGGGGATCGTTCTCGAGGATCTCGATAAGGGTAGGTCTCTCCTACTTGCTCTAATCTTCCATACTCGCCATTAGGAGGCAGTCGACGACCATCAGCTTGTGGGGTCGAGTTTGCGTGGCTGCGATAATCCAGGGAACGATCGAGTGGGCGGTCGTTAGGCTTTCCACGAGAGAAGCCGTCAGGGCGATTGGGAAGGGCGTGCTGAACTCGTGAAGCTGCTGGTTGGCTGGGAGGGCGACTTCCATCTGGCTTTTGTGGTCCAGAGGCAGAGAAGGTCGGCGGCGTCGCGTAATCACTCGCTCTGTGCTTCTCGACCTCCATCTTCCCAGGTGCAGATTCTTGATCCATGGGCTTCGTGTCATTAGCACTGGACATCCCAGCCGGCGCGTTAGCTGTCCTTTGACGAACAGAGCCCTTTGTTTCGTCTATTTCACCGTCCGAATCATCATCGCCACCTCCTGGCTTAGTAACGGCTCCACTGATGTGATGTTAGATGGAGTCGGTCGTAGGTTCGGTACTAGACTCACTTTGCTTTGCCTACTGGTTTAAATTCAGAAGCCGTGGCATTGAGCCCAGAAATCCCAGGCTGTGGTGTATCTGGCCTTGCTGAACCGCCCCTGCCTGTGGATCCAACGGCACCTCCCTGATGTATATTAGCCATCAAAGTGCTTTGCACGTTTGCGGAAGATGTTCCTACCGGTCTGAATGCTTGTGGCATAATCCATGACTTCTGGCGTCTTGATAGAAGACCAACAAGCGATTGGGCCATGAGTTTCAAATCTCCGCGGGTATCATTCTGCGCGATCTCTCGTACAGACTCAACTAACGTTTTGCCCATGAAGTCCACAGACGGGAAGTTTTCATGCATGGCTCGAAGCATGATAATGGAGTTGCGGATGTGCATGTACTCACCGCCTTTCAGGCAGTTCATCAGTGCCGTCTTAAGATTGTTGTGCCATTTGAATAGTGACTGCCGGAACTCATCAAAGTCTAAGAAGTCTGTCGGTCGCTTTTTGTTGTCGTCTAACTTCCTTGCAAGACCGGGAAGATCTCTCTTTGTGCCATAAGCTAATCGACAATACTCATCCCGTGTTGCATGCCACTTAGCCAACTCTTTAAGCAGGTCGTTCAAGAAACGCCCAAAGTTTGAAGCTTCTCGTGACGTGAACTGGAAGATTAGTGGAGTAAGGAGTTTGTCTTTGAAAATCTGGTCGATCATTGTCCACGTGTGAAAGCCCGGAGTGCCTGCATTATGGAGGTAGAACAGCATTCTGAAGACGTAGTGAGCGTCGTAGGCCGAGATCAGAATACGAGGGAGGAAGCAGTCTTGAAGAATTGCTTGATGAAGTTGGGCATTGTTAAGTGTGAGGCTGGTGAACCAAAATTTGTTCTCTTGCTTGAGCCTGCTGAAAGTGATAGTGTGAACTTGGAGCATCGATTTAGCCCCTGCGTTGAGCATATCAACTTCGTCATTGAGTTCAGCGATCTGTCGCTTCTTCCTGTCTCTGCCCGAAGTACTGACGTCGGTCTTGCCGGCACGGATTGCTGCTTGCTGGGCCCTTATCTTGTCTGTCTCGGCCGTATTCTGCTCCATGGGAACATGCAGATCGTGTAGACCAAGTTGCCAGAATCGAGTGTAAAATGCGAGGCTCATCCTGTCCTCGAGGTCCTCGGGCAGGGCAGATTTGAGGCGTTCCGCAATTTCTTTCAGAATGGGATGAGAAGGATCAGCAGGGTCGGCTGGTGCCGTGGTTGGCGTTGTGGCATCTATGGATTGGGGAGCATCTTTCATGTCTTCATCCTGTTTTAATCTCGAACTCTCACCCTCGGCAGTTACCACAGGTTTACTCTCGTTGTCGACCATCTCGACATCATCATCGCTCTTCTTGACTTGATTTGTTGAGTGAGCCTTTCTTTCTTTCTCGTCCTGCTCTTTCTTTTCTTTCAAGGCGGCATCATACCCATTGATTTTCTTAGTTAAGCTGTCTCTGCAGATGGCCCAAGCGATACTGGGCTCCACGCCGTATTCGGCTATCAAGCTGACCAAGTCTGGGACGATAGAGTCGAACTCGTCTACGTTGAGGTTGTAGCGCAGTACATCGAGATATTGGACAAACAGATGATGAAGCTTGTCCAAGTTATTCGCAGCGACTTTGAGAGGCACGTCTTTGTTCTCATCACGGAAAACATGAACTTGGCGCTCCTGCGCGATGGAGATGAGTAATGGAGCAGCGAGTCGTGGCTTCACAAGACTTTGTATCAGGCGATGGGCCGACAATTGAGTCTCAGGTTTTGTGCGATGATCCAGAACTTGGGCCAGAGTCCTTGCACGTAGAGTGGTAGAGCCAGCCATAGCCAAGACCTGAGGACCGTTGAACTCAATCTCGGATCGAACACCAGACATGATTTCCAGCATCTGTTCCAGGATTTCAAGATCGGTAGAAACGCCGTTGCGAAGCTGATAAGTGATGTACTGTAGGACCGGTGTTGGGTCCATGTTAGCGTATCGTTTGAAGACGCCGCCGGTAAAGGTAGACAGCGCTTTGAGCCACGGACTGGTAAGCATGCCATCACCCTGCATGCGGTCTCGTCCTCGACCGCCAAGAGAGTTCAATAGAGACCAAGTGAGAACGTCGTACCCAAGATAGGTAAAATATTTGGCGCATTCAATGACGACTGTGATAAGATTGCTGTACGACTCGATCTGGTTCAGAGTGACCTGGAAAACAATACCTGGTGAGCCGTTCGCGATTTTGGCTAGTGCTCGTGCCATTTGCTTGACATTCTCTTTGCTGATCCTCTTGAGAACATCCTTCGTCTCGGCTTTTGACTGATCAAACGCAACAGCAATGTCTGGAAGCCTGCTTGTGGCGCCAGTGAACCATTCGGCATACATGTTGTATCGCACCGCGGTTGAGAACCTTTGGAGGAGCTCAAAGACCTCGTTCAGAACGCCGGGGTTCCCAGATGCAAGACTCAGGGCCGGAACGAGAAGTCGCTTGCAGAGATCCTGCCATCGTTTAAAATTTGCGTTGGATGGATCTTGTTCCAAACTCATCTTCCCGATGCGGGCGAGCTTGATCATGAGCTTCGAGTCTCTGCCAATCTTGACACCAGACAGATTCAGAAGCGATCCGCAGAGCGTAAAGACGTCATCGACATTTTGGCAGATCGGCACATTGTCCGTCCATTCGTCCCAGTAGTATTTGTAGTCCGTTCCATTGTCACCAGCATCCATACGATCAAGCTGAGCCCACCGAAGAACTCGTCTGGTATAACCATCGTTGAGACTCAGCTGCCCCTTTGTCAAACCCCCGACCTCTTCTGCTATTTTCTTAGGCGTACGGAGACCGTCCTCTTCGATGATAGGCTTGAGGGGATCATAAACCTTGCTTAGACATTGGTGCAGAATTCGATGAATGTGTTCGGGGAGATCGGGATAGACATCAAGCAGCCATGGGTAACGTCCTAGGATGAACAAAGATTCTGGTATGGCGCCCATGAGTAACAGAGTCTGCAGGAGCTTGTACTTTTGGTCCACTGGATCTGGTAACTTGTTCTTGTCGTCTTCTTCTCTCTTTCCTGCGTCAGACGATGCGTCTGGTCTGAGAGAGGAAGCTCGGGCCTCTTCAGCTCGTAACCGCGCAACAGCTGGTGGTAGCGTGTCATCAACCAAAGCACCAGCCATAGCAAGAGCGTTCATTGTGCCTCCTCCAGGTCGGTTTTTCTTTTCTCGCTCAGCCTTTTCTTTCATCAACTTGTCCTTCAGGGCCGGCATGTCTTCCTCAGCAGGATACAGATGCGGATAGAGATCAAGAATCGAGATAAATCCAATCTTGATAAGCAAGCCAGCCAGGTAGATGAGATTGTCAGGGAGTATATCGTTAGTGTCCCGGGCGCTTGACGCGTAGAATCGTAACTTGAAGCCGAGAAGCTGCGCAGCAATGTGATTGCCGGATGGCGGTAGTAGACCAGTGATCCGTCTCCACTGAGCGTCAGTGTCCTCCTGTTCTGCTTCGTCGACTCCATTCGAGTCACCATTTGAGACTTTCGTTTCATTGCGGTCCTTGATTATGCGACGTCCACCAAGCTCGAAGAAGGCACCCATGCCTATCTCTTTGACACGAAGCCAAAAACCCTGGTCACGAATCTCGCGTAATGAGTTGAAGCGAGATTTTTCATCGTCGGTAGCAAACCATTTCTCATAGTCTGGCTCTGCCCAATTAGGTAGAGAAGTGAAACCTGGGTCTGCAACCTCAATGCCCTCGACAGCGCGATGGACTGGCCACCAGTAGCTACAGCGCAGAAGTTTGATGAAGAATTTGTGGTGCTTCACGAGTAAACTTGCAAACACATCCAGGGTAACATCAAGAACACGGCCAACGTCAAGGTCGAATGTTCCGATGAGAGCCTTGACTTTCTCGAAACATTTAGCAACGAACGGTCCGCTAGGGCCCTGCTCGTTCACGGCCTGAAAGTACTCAGTCATGAGCTTGGAGTAGCCCTCCGACTCTTCGCGGAGTAGGTTGAAAGCGCATTGTCGGTACAGCTCGTTCGTAGTCTTGCGGATAGAGCTCCTAAAGAATGTGTCTCGTATAAGACCAAGAGCAGTAAGAACGGGAACATCGAGTTCAGTTCGCATCTGCATAGGATCGATCTCGGTGGCTACGAGAAGCGGATGTAGTCGAGGGGGAATCGGATTTAGCCCTTCAATCATAACGGACAAGGTGTCAAGGAACTGCGACGCGTTGTCTGCGTCAACAGCATCAGCCAAGATGTCTTTTACAGTAGCGCCAGCTTCAGTAGCATCCAGGTGTCCATCCAAACCAGCTCGGATAAGCTCTTGGAATACAATGTTGAATACAAGGTAGTCATCGTCAACCAAAGCTTGCTTCGTGGCATTGACCAAATTGTTTCTGCCCTCTGCCTTCCACGATGATATGCAGCTGTCAGTGATGTACTCGTAGTAGAACGGAATTCCATTAGGATTTGGAAGCGGTACTGGGTCGAGGTTTGGCGGTGCTTGAATTCGGGGTTGCTGTACAGACTGTGCAGGTGGAGGCTTGTTGAAAGATGGATTTTGCGGAGGCGACATAGCTGTCGGAGTTGGGTTTTGGCTTGGCCTAGCCGGAGTGGCAGGACTTCTTGGGGGTTGATATCCTCCTCCTCGACCTCCACGGCTGCCTCGTCTACCGCCGCGATTATTGTTGTTACTGTTATACGATTTGTTCTGACCTCCGGTGTTCATCTCTTGCGGACGGTGCGGAGAAGGCCTGCCGCCGTCATTGCTGTCGTGTGCAAATGTCCTATCACCTCTCTTCCTTTTGTTTGCAGGAGCCATCTCCGTCACCTTTCAGCGCTTCACAGGAAAGGAAAGGAAAGGAAAGAAGTCGATAGTGTGACCTCGTCGCACATACGGTTCTTCGAAGCACAGCTCTGACAGGCGTTCCACAGTGGTGTTTAGCTTACGTAGAATTAGAAGCTATTTAGGATGCGGATGGTTGATGATTGTATGGACTCGCGCGGTTCGGTTGAGTTAACAAGAGAATACTTGAAGCGTTGGAGTTGCGCGAAGATTGTAGAAGTTAAGATGCGCGGGGATGGTAGGTGGATGCTTGCGTCGGAAGATCCTTTGACAAGGTGAAGGAATCTGCAGAGGCTGGGATGTCTATTGAGGACCGAGAAGAGTCATCAATAGGTCATGCCAATGCTGTTCAACAGCTGTCTGGAGCTGTTCACTTCCCTGAGCAAAGGTTCTCCTTCAGCGAGTTGGCGTTCACTTGTCTCGTTCACTAGGCGCGACTCAGGTATCGCGCGGCTAGTGTATCGCTTAGTCAGTGATGGTCACGTGCGATGGGTATTACTTTAAAGTTCGTCATACGTACAAATGATCTTTCGATTTTCACGATTTCTTTGGATGACTTGTCCTATGCGCGAGGTTATCCTGTACACATATGCATAAAAGTTCTTTAGTCACGTCAACATGAAGGTGGTGGAATCGCAAGGGACCGCCGTCGGTCTGGTACAGACCAAGGCATTAGCATTGAGTGCGCTAGACCGGGGCAGAAATTATCTGTAAAGACCGTAAAGGAGTTGTACTTAAGCAGCAGCTGAAACAAGCTTCGCAGCTTCAACACGCTCATTCTCAAGAACAGTCTCGAGAACGCCGACAGCGCCACCGGCACTCATCTCCTTCAGAACCTTGTCAATACCGAGCTGCTCGTCAGTCCAGAGAGGCTCTGGAACCACCTTCTCGGCTTCTCCTACGCCGATGAAGCCTCCTTCCTTTGCCCAATCGCTGGTACGCTTGATGCCCAATTTGTCCCAAACTGCCTCGACAGCATCAACTAATTCATTTCGGTATTCGCGGATGTGGCCAGGAGTGGGAGTGATGCGGAGTCGCTCCTGGCCGACGGGAACGGTTGGGTAGTTGATCGCTTGGACGTAAATACCATGTTCCTCGAGTAGCATATCGCTGGCTTGCTTAGCGACCTCAGCATTACCGACTAGAAGTGGAACGATGTGGCTTGGGTTTGGAATGACAGGGATGTCCTTGGCCTCAAAAGCATCCTTAACTGCACGTGTATGTAACTGTTGCAGACGTCGGTCTCCTTGGTAGTTCATTTGATACTCAATTGCAGCTTGGGCTCCAGCCATGGTCGCCGGAGGAAGCGAAGTGGTAAAAATGAAGCCAGGTGCGAGGGACCGAACAGCGTCGACCATTCTGGCAGAGCCAGCGATGTAGCCGCCGACGCAGCCGTATGCTTTTCCGAGGGTTCCTGTGATAATATCGATACGGTCCATGACGGTGCCCTTTGGCTTTCCAGCAGCGTGCGCCTCGAAATCCAAATGTTCTGCGACACCAGCCCCCTTTGCTCCATACATACCAACGGCGTGAACCTCGTCCAAAAAGGTTATGGCACCATACTTCTCTGCTAGGTCACAGATCTCCTCGATCGGCCCGACAGAACCACACATGCTGTAAACACTTTCAAAAGCAATGATCTTAGGAACATCTGGAGGAAGTGAAGCCAGTTTGGCCTCCAAATCTTCAACATCATTATGCCTAAACACCAACTTCTTGGCGCCAGAGTGGCGAATGCCTTGAATCATGGACGCGTGGTTCAGCGAGTCGGAAAGGATAACGCAGTCTGGGAATTTGCTGCCGAGCGTCGCCAGCGTGGCATCGTTTGCAACATAGCACGATGAAAATACCAAGGCGGCTTCCTTTGCATGTAGGTCTGCAACAGTCTTTTCAAGGCTCATAGCGTGCTGATTATGACCTGAAATGTTTCGGGTACCCCCAGCACCAGAACCATACTTGTCCAATGTCTCATGCATCTTCTTCAAGACTTGTGGGTTGCGTCCCATGCCTAGATAGTCGTTTGAGCACCACACCGTCACTCTTGCGTCTTTGTCTGCCATGTGAGCGCGTGGAAACTCTTGCGCAAGACGGTTGATGTTGTTGAAGTAGCGGTAGGACTTGTCCTTGTGCTTCTTGTCCAATTCAGTCTGGTAGAATCGCTCATAGTCGAATTTGACAGGTTGCGGGCTCGGTGGAGGTCCGGATTGCTGCGTGGTCTGCTGCACCGCAGCAGACTTGACGGATTGCGGATAAGGCACTATAGCGAGCCTAATTAGCGATGAAGTCACAGTAGCGTTCTAGCTTGCGCCCACCTTTATCATGCCTCGCCACACGGATATCGACAGCCTGCGCTTCCTTTGGAGAGCTGGTGTGCAATTTGGCACGGCCGACCTTGGAGTGGTAGGCTCGCATGCCACCGTAAGTCCCAGCGAGCAGAGCATTCGTGTTCTTGGCGCTTTGTACAGCGAGCGCCTTGCCCATTATAGGACAACGGCGGCCGAGAAGCTGCAGATTGGACATGCTTCCACCGCCCGGAGAAGCATTGTGGGCTGTGGAGGTCGAAAGAGACCTCAGGGTCGCAGGAGAAGTCTTCTTCAAGAAGGGGCACATAGCCCGAGACTGGCGCAAGAGGGACTCCATGGCCGTGAAATTCGGCAGAGCAATGTTTCAGTCCTTGTATACTATAGCTTGTTCAAGTCGAGGGCGTAGTGAGCAATCGAGTCAGTGGAGGTGGGAGAGAAAGAGATTCGGTTATGACAATCAACGTGAATGTGAACGTGGGGAAGTCCAGTAATTTGAACCTGAGCGGACGTAAGGCACTTCCGGTCAGCGATGATTGGTCGGCTTAGGGACGATCGTAAGTGTGTAAATAACGTGCAACAACTGTGGTTCTGGACAAAATGGCTAACTTGTACAGGGCAAGTCCGGACATTTAGTTGTCGGTCCGAGCATTTAATGGGCGATGGCTGTATCCACAATAATAATGCACGTCTGATCGGACTAATGTTCATCTTTATTTATAATTGGTGCTGCTTGGTCTGAACTCGAGCCTACCGAAGAATTTGACCAGTGATACACGACGAGCACCAGCGTTTGTACTGGAAATCCGGGGTAGCGCAATCCAAGCATGCTCCTGTTTGCTTCATCCGGCATCGCGCCATCCGACTACTTGCACGGCTTCTTTTAGTGCCGAACAAGATACCTGATCTAAAGGACGGGACATGTCTCCCGTTCTCATCGTCCACCTCCACATGCTGATCAGAGCTTCTCCTCCACCTACAACAGAGGGTAAGGGGCGTCGATTGACAATACACCCGTGTCCATTGGCGGGAGCAAGACAACAACAGACCATGCTGTGGCTGGCCGGCATTCTTGACCAGTTGCTCGACTTGCATATAACTACGGATATGCTACGATTTCCTTCTGCACGCTGCCGGCACTTTATCCATGACCTCGCTATTCTGAAAGTCGCTTGACGTAGCCACCAGTCTAGGTGCTTGCAACTCAGCCTGACTGGCATATTCCGTAAGCTCGCAAGCGTCTCCGTCTCTGGAGGCCTTTTAGGACTCACGAATGCTTGCTATCTCACTCGTCTTCTACCTACTCCTGGCAAGATGACTGTGCTGAAGTCAGCCCTCGGCTTTAGCCCTGCGGACTGCTGATGGAACATCACCTATGCGAGCTTATCCATTGCAGCCGGCCATCTAAGACCACCACGAGCTGGGGTGCAATCAGCACCACACCACCTTACCTGTGTTTAGTCGTTGAGATGCAGCGCCATCAAACCCGTCATCTGTCTTTACGTGCGTCGGCAAGCTCAGCAATTCTTCAGCCTTCAACTGGAGTGCAATCAAGCTTATCCGCGGTCCGTTTCGCCCCACCATCCATGGGACACTCGCTGCAGCGCTGGTCTATCGAATGATGATACATTTCCGCCATACACAAGAAACGTATATAAATACGGGGTGATTGCGGCGCTGACCTGTCGTACGATGGCTTCGCGAAAATGCGTACTCTCCTTTGATGTCGTTTCTCAAAGGTGAGACCACACCCCAGTCTCACAAGATCTCAGAGCTACGGAGGCAAACTCTTCCAAGGTTCCCTTGGCTAGCTTAGACATCATGATCATGGTGAGTCAGTAACGTTCAATAATGCCAGATTGATATAGTGAATTCAGTAGTTCTTCACAATGCGAAAAACTTTCCTACCTTATCATGTGTCTTTGGACATCATCGTTTTCTGCTCTGACATGCTTACTTTCGAATGCTTCCTGGTCAACGTCCAGTAATGCATATCATCTTGCTTCTTCGACCTTACGGCAGAATATCAGACAGTGAAAACGATACCATCAGCGCCGTATATGGACTACAATATTGTGAAAAACATGGCCATGGCCACATGTTTCACATACATGACGTTGTTATGGGGCTGTGCGAGTGGTCTTCTTTTTGTAGAAAACTTGAGGGTCATGCAGCTGTCTGAACAAGGATTAAGTCTCGCTTCCTGGCTGTTCATTCGCTCTAACGATCTTCGCTGTCGTTGTCGAGTTACCCCAATGTCCCCTCGTTCAATCTCTGCTCTCCCACCTACGTGATCAACGTCACGCTCGCTCACCATGGCAACAAACACCCCAGCAACGATCTCAGTGGAGCACATATTCATTCCTGACGGCCTTCCGGCGTTTATGCAAACTCTCTATAGCCTTCCGAATTGCCCTCCTTCCCTCTATCTTACCGTCAGTAGCTCCACCAGCTTGGTGATCTATGTCGCCCCAGCGTCACAGATCGCTATCATCAAGCTGTCAGAGCTCAGGACTGCCCTTGATCAACAGGATCAAAATGCACTAGCCTTGAAATCTCTACTCGAGCATGGCCCAAAGACAAAGGTCTTCTTTGATGCTCGCGATGCAGCAAAGGTCCTGTTTGAGCGGTGTGGTATTAAGCTCACTAATCAGGTAAACGCGTCAGCTACTGTTGACCATCAGGAGCGCTGACTATGATATTGAGGTCTGCGTCATGCAATCCGAGGTTCACGAAGTGCAGTTGATGGAGCTTACAAGTCGCCAACGTGGCAGAAATGGCGTATGGCTTGCTGGATTCGACAAATGCATCATGGCGGAATCGAAGCTCGACCTCAACCAAATACAATTCTCCGACTACGGCACCTTCGATAAACGCATTCTCCACCTCCCGATCTTGTGGGGGAAATATCATGCCTTGCTCCTGAAGCTAAAGTCCGGCAGTAAATTCTGGATATCGGAGGTTCGCTGTGCAACCAAGAAGCGACTGGACTTTGCGCACGGCAAAAAACACCCAGGTCATAACTGTGAAGGTGCTAGGATCTGGTGGGACAGTACGTATCTTGATGAAGCGACGGACTCCTGGAATGAAGACATCCTTTCGGATGCGTATAGTGGAGGGGACTATCTAGGTGGTGCGGAACATTGGTCTCTGTTTAACAAGTTGTGAACACCACACTCACACCGATCGCTTCAAGAGAGTGCATTGGATCCTTTGGAACTGTAGCCCATTTCTAGCAGCAGACATACTTTGTCTACAAGCTCCAACTCATGATTTCCTCGATCCAATGGTGGTCAAAACCTCTCGTTATACGAGATGAGAAAGTCTTCGCCCTTTTCTCCTACTAAGAAAACAAAACGATGTCTTGCTTGCGCGGCAACATGCATCTGCACGTTAAATAGTTGTAGGAATGTCCAGCGAGTACATCCGTCCGCAACAACAGAGCCCGATGAACGCAGAAGAGGAATTTCGCACGACAGAAAAAGTCTTAGCTACTCGGCTGTTGCGTTCCCTTGCTTCATCTGTTTAAGCATTCATGGCAGTCGCCAGTCCACGTGAAGATAGTCTCGTCTCGTAGGTATCGAACTTTACCACACTGAGTCACTCCCTCTACCTCCGATGCTTAAGTATATATCACTCCGCCTTGCCCGAGACCAGCGTGAGCTAAAGAGATAAGGATATAAAAGGCGCGTCTATGTCATAAGTAAATCTCACATCTTCCTATCATGTGGAAGAAATACCATGACCACAGAACGACTGCTACGGTTGAGTCAGACCTTATAATTTCAGCTATCTATACGACGACCAGAGAGAGGAGCTGAAAGCATTCTAGATTAGAGATTCACCAGGCAACAAGAGAGAAGCTTGACATAGCGCATGGCGAGAAATATGTAATGGATGCTGGTATGGGTGCTGAAAGTTGTTGGGGAAGTACAGTACGAGGTAGAAGATTTTCCCGGGATAAGGTACGGATAGTATTTTCTACAATACTATTCTGTATTAGCTTCCTTTACTACTCTGAAGAGGTACTAAGCTAAAGCCGGTGATATCAATGAATATCTAGTTAATAGCGAAGCAGCTGGTATGATACGAATATTAGCTATATATGTATACATGTATGTACTCACTATGCTACCTAGTATCAGAGCCATTATATAGTACAATGTTTTAAATACCTAATAGGATATAAGAAATAGAGATATTATACGTAGGTAGGCATGCTCAGAGTTGCGCTGAAAAAGTTGAGGACAGACCGACATGCCCCATTCCGTACATCAAGTCAAATAAAACGCTGAGTTCTTGATCATCGGTCTACAATACCTTCACGCACGTGTTCCCAAGACAGAAATTCATGTTCAGTTTCTTTTCTCTAGAGCACAACCCTGGGAAGAGAAAAACTATGTTTTCTACTCCAAGAACGATTCAGGTCAATCGTAGCGTTCCTTAGCTGTGTAATCTATCATACCGAATCCTAATGGTGCTACTTTCACTCATGGGGTGGAGAATGAACTGATATATCCATAGTCTCTTATAGAGGTGTCAATTGCTGACAATGATGCAGTCTTGTGCGACGCGACTAAGGGGGCCACCGTCGTTGGATTAGGGTAAATGATATATTGGCAGTAGTGCACTATCAAAGTATTCAAGACCATAGAAGAAACAACGCCTGTTGAAAAGATTCTCAATAGTTATGATCAGGCACTTGTGAGGAGAGGGGCCAGTTTGTCCCTCAAGCAGGGTTCTGCGTCAGCTGCAACCTCATCGTGATGTTCTTGTGGAGGGTACTATCGTCAGTTACCCGTAGCACCTTAGAGAGAGCACGTTGAACCATCTCGGAAATCTCTTTATGTTCCCACTCCTTTGATGACTCCGAGGCGACAGAATCTTGTAGCATGAATTCGATACCGTGACGTGAGTATATCATAAGGTGGCCAACAATGGCATCCCTGAATACATTCCAACGCTTCATATCACATTTGAGAAGTCTGGTGCTGACAAGCGTTCGTTGAAGCGATGCCTCATTCGATGCAATATCAGGTATTCTTCGGGGAGGTCATTTGTGTTCTGTTGATTAGTTCCAGGCGTTCAGATCGCTTTCTTGATCCTCATACTACGACCATGCACCGAATGTGCCTGTACCACATACAATCCAGTCAAGCAACCCACATTCCTGCCTCTCGCTTCGATCAAGTTCGCTTGCGTGCATACCTTTGATAAGGGTCTTTACCCTTCTCAATGGAATGCTGCGCGTTGGCAAGATACGCCACTTGGACTCTCGCCGGTATTCTTTCTCTACGAAGGAGAGTGTATATTAAAAAGGAATGGCCACAACATTTGAACGCTAGATTCCAAAGTATACATATCTCCTCTAATCCAACTATTCGACAGCAGCTACTCTAAGTTTGAAGGCAAGTCTTCAGTATAAGCTTTGGTCTTCTTCTGACCCTCGAAAACGATGGCCTCCGGACAAACCTCCCGCATTGTTCATTTGATCCAGGCGGTCTGCTATCCAATGAACAAAAACTTCAATCACTGGTCCCTTAACGTCCAATTCAAGACTGATGCGACAGGTGCTAAAGCTACAGGCTCGATTCGCTACCACATGAAGAAAAGTCTAGAGACTGGCCGTACGGAACTTGAAGCTACAACCGCTTCTTACGACGTCAGTAATAATCGTGTCTTCGCGATCGACTTCGACCCAACATCGAGCAACATACTCACCCACAATATTCTCCAAGTTATCCATCACAAAAACCTCCACAAATTCGAGTTTTCGCCGGACGGATCCGGATGCCGGCACTGGCTGTATGGTCTCTCTAAGTCTTCTCTGACCGTCAGTAGCTAATGAAACAGCCATCTGGTCATTCTTAGCCTTGAGAATGCTCGTTACATTAGTGAGGGAAGTGCTGCACGTCTTTGGCTTTACTTACAAAGCTTTTGGTTTAAATCTCTGGATGTAAGTGGTGTGGAGCAACCTGCCTGTCGACCGTCAGCCTTGATTCTTGGGGTTGTCCATAAAGCGAATCAGTGAAGATTCTATGCATAGCTCTTTTTTTTGAATTGAGCTCGTTCGATTTAGAATCGTTTCTTATGACATCTCGGACTACATAGAGAATCTAAGAAGCAATATATTTCGACTCCTTTGCGCGACATAGTACCGGGATTTGCCTCTCAGGCTAGCAAAACTTATGAGATATAATGAATTATACCAGATACCAACCCTTCAGGGTGTGCGCGACGAGAAGTTCTGGCCGCCCGACGATGATAACGTTTCTTTGTTTCTCCTTCAACACAATACTCACCAAATATGCTAAGAACTATGTCGCAAAATGCTCGTTATTGACTTCGCTCTCTAGTTCTTCGATGAACAAAGGTGCGAGCAATGGTTCAAGGATGTCGTGGAAGTAAACATCCTTTGGAAGAAATTTGTTCACCATATAATCCAAGAATCGTAGCAAATATCCAGCGGTAGACCATTTGACGAGGTGGATACGATTGCCATCTACCATGATGTTTCTTGCATTAAAGTCGAGGTGGCATAGAGACAATTCACGGTAAGTAAGATCGACTTTCACGTCTAAGCTGTAGGCATGTTAATCGAACCAAAGCTGGAGGTCTTCTGGCTCCAGAAACTCTCTACCTCTAGAGCACAACAGCCACCGGTCCAGCTCCAAGTGATCCAGGACTGCCGGAAACCTGTTGAAGCATATGGTTCAAAACCTCGCCCAGATTTCCAGTCATAGTTTTCGCACTCGCTAGGGTAAGTGTGTAGCCGTTGACAAAGTCTATCACAATGTGCCCGGTTGGTGTCCCTTTGGTTGAATCTGTACACTGTCAGGACGTTGCTTGTGTCCGCATCAAGGCGCTGTTGTGTGAATATTTGATTAGTGTATTTTTCAGAAGGGACAAGATATCCAAATTTCACAGCTAGATTTTTGTGATGCGCACTACTTTGTTCCATACTGGAAATCGGAGAGAAGTGTCGACGCCGAGTCATGGTAGAGTGCAATGACGCCATCATTAGCGTATGGAATATCAGCGGTAGGGACGTGCTTGCAAGGATTTGTTTTCGGATTCGAAACGGGATCCATCAATATAACATTACTAGAGAGTTCTTAGCTTCGAAGTCTAAGTGGTCGTACGCTTACCTTAGGTGGTTGCCTAGCTAATGAATTAATACTAGGGAGAAAGTAGCGTAGTCGATTCGGACCTTTTCTTTCTACTATTCAATGCGATACAGCCACCGAAGACGACATCATCCAGCATTGCTCGCGTTCCAAACCGCATCGAGACATTATCAGCGAGTTAGATGGTGGCCTTTCAGTCATTAAAATATCAGAATCTGCAGTTGTCAAGTGCGGATTTAGTGTCACTCAATTCGAAGCCGCAGATCAACAGCGAGCATACGAGATTCTCAATCCGGTGAAAATACGAGTTCCACAAGTTTACCGCTTCTTCATCACTGTCTTCCCATTTCTTCCGCAACGATCACTGACGCCTATTTAGGGCCAGTGGACAACGTCCTCGAGACTTCCCATGCCCGGGCCTTTGCATGGGAATGTAGCTATTGGCAGCTATGGTTAGATTACGTTTCTATCATTCCTACTACTATAGCAGACATCGAGGAATATGATAACAAGAGACAACTAAGAGACTCAGACTATCTTAATTTAGCTGGCTACTCGCTAGTATTTTGCCACCTCGAAATAGCCCCTCGAAATATTCTCGCCTTAGAAGATGGTACACTTTGCCTCGTTGATTGGGTTTCTGCAGACTTTCACCCTAGACTTTTCGAAAGGACTGTTCTAAAGATTAGTGTACGAAGTAAGGATGACTGGACCACCAACCTTCTGAGACTGTTGGATGAGCTCGAGGAGAACGAAAAATATCAGGCTGAGCTGTTAGAACGAGCATACTATCTTGGACACAAATACTCACAGTAAGTGTTCGCCACACGTGAGGGATGAGAGTTACTGAATAGACTAGTCGGACTCAGAAATTGAGACATCAATCGCCACCTACCGCGCTACCTCTAAAGGGGAGTAAAAGAGCGAGTACTGTAGGAAGAAGAAAAACCAAAAGCAGTCCGGACATGAATGTAGAGGAATTAGGGTAGAGAACAAATTTCCTCGTCCTCCTATTCTTTCTCTTCTTTCTCTTCTTTCTCTTCTTTCTCTTCTTTCTCTTCTTTCTCTTCTTTCTCTTCTTTCTCTTCTTTCTCTTCTTTCTCTTCTT